GTACATTGTCGCGAGATTTTGTTTTCCACTGATTTCAAGTTCCAAGCTTCAGCACTCAGCATCCGGCACTCGGAACTCGGAACTCGGCACTCGGAACTCAGAACTCAGTGAAATGTCTAAGGAAATAGAAATTTCACAATTCCCTGAGTTAGTACAAGACACTCAGTGAATTGTCAAAGGAAATAAAACATTTTCATGTGTACATTGTTGCAAGATTTCATTTTCCACTGATTTCAAGTTTTGAGCTTTGGCACTTGGCACTCGGAGCTCGGAACTCGGCGCTCGGAACTCAGAATTCGGCGCCCGGAACTCGGAACTCAGTGAAATGTCCAAGAAAATAGAAATTTCACAATTCCCCGAGTGTCGTGTACCAAGCCCTGAAGCCTGAAGCCCAGACTGTGTTGTCAGGTTAGTACAAGACACTCAGTGAATTGTCAAAGGAAATGAAACATCTTCATGTGTACATTGTTGCGAGATTTCATTTTCCACTGATTTCAAGTTTCAAGCTTCGGCACTAACCCAGAACTCGGGACTCGATTTTTGAGATGAAAGACATTTTTCAAACATGTTTGAATCAACCTTTCGTGTATCCATAAACATTTTACCAACTCCCGAACCCCGAAATTGTGGACTGCTGGGTCTCGGGGGTCGGGGGTTGGTGCTCGGGACTTGAGAAATTTGGGGAGATCAATAAAATTTGATCTACAATAAATTTGATTTACAAACAAATTGATTTACAAACTTTTGAAAGATATGTCGTCTCACATATCAAGTCCCGAGTTCCGGGACCCCCAAACCCCGAACCCCGAGACCCGGCAGTCCACAATTTCGGGGTTCGGGGGTGATCTACAATAAATTTGATTTACAAACAAATTGATTTACAAACTTTTGAAAGATATCTGTGTCATCTCACATATTGAGTCCCGAGTTCCAGGACCCCCGAACCCCGGAATTGTGGACTGCCGGGTCTCGGGGGTCGGCGCTCGGGACTTGGGAAATTTGGGGAGATCAATAAAATTTGATCTACAAACTTTTGAAAGATATCTGTGTTGTCTCACATATTGAGTCCCGAGTTCCGGGACCCCCGAACCCCGAGACCCGGCAGTCCACAATTTCGGGGTTCGGGGGTGGTAAAATGTCCATGGATATACAAAAGGTTGATTCAAACATGTTTGAAAGATGTCTTACCCGGAACTCGGGACTCGATTTTTGAGATGAAAGACATCTTTCAAACATGTTTGAATCAACCTTTCATATATCCATAAACATTTTACCAACCCCCGAACCCCGAAATTGTGGACTGCCGGGTCCCGGGTTTCGGGGTTCGGGGGTCCCGGAACTCGGAACTCAGTATGTGAGACAACAAAAATATATTTCAAACACAGGTAAGTCAATGTGTTTGTCAATCAACTTGATTGTAAATTATATTTTATTGATCTCCCCAAATTTCCCAAGTTCCGAGTTCCGAGCTCCGGGACCCCCGAACCCCGAACCCCGAAACCCGGCAGTCCACAATTTCGGGGTTCGGGAGTTGGTAAAATGTGTATGGATAGATGAAAGGTTAATTTAAACATTTTTGAAAGATGTCCCATATGAAATGTCAAGTCCCAAGTTTCAATTTCCGGGTTTCTGGAGTGCCGAGTCCCGAAGCCCGAAGTCCCGAAACCTGGAGTCCCGAAACCCGGAGTTCAAAACTCGGGACTTAACATTTCATATGGGACATCTTTCAGAAATGTTTAAATCAACCTTTCATCTATCCATACACATTTTACCAACTCCCGAACCCCGAAATTGTGGACTGCCGGGTTTCGGGGTTCGGGGTTCGGGGGTCCCGGAGCTCGGAACTCGGAACTTGGGAAATTTGGGGAGATCAATAAAATATAATTTACAATCAAGTTGATTGACAAACACATTGACTTACCTGTGTTTGAAATATATTTTTGTTGTCTCACATACTGAGTTCCGAGTTCCGGGACCCCCGAACCCCGAAACCCGGGACCCGGCAGTCCACAATTTCGGGGTTCGGGGGTTGGTAAATCTTGGTTTGGGGTTTTGCACTGAAAATTTGACATTTATACATATCTAGGCTCACCCATATATGTACCCATCTATGTATTATCCCCCACGTCGGCCCACCCGTCTATGTAATACATCCTATGTTGGCCCACCCGTCTATATAATTATACCCCACCTCGACCCACCTGTCTATGTAATAAATATTTTATCACACCCTCGGCCCACCCGTCTATTTGATATCCCTTTCGTCGGCCCACCCGTATATGTAATACTTTTTATGTCGGCCCACATGTATATGTAATACACCCCGTGTCAGCCCACCCATCTATGTAATATTCCCCTACCTCGGCCCACCCATATATGTAATACACCCCCGTCGGCCCACCTGTCTATATAACAATATTTGCCTTACATCTCTCTTCAGCCCAGCTGTCTATAATATCCTACTCTACATATTACCCTGATGGGCCCACCCATCTCCATGAATGATCATATTCCCCCGGCCCATCCATCAACATCAAGGATATATATATCATTGGCATACATGGGCCCACCCGTCTCCATCGGAAATAATATGTGTCCCGGCCCATCCGTCATCATCGAGAATATACACAACATGGGCCCATAATCCGCTGGCCCGTATAATACGGAATTTGTCACTGAAGGGGCTCGTTTCTGGGGATGAATATGATGGTTTGTTGAAGTATAAGACTTGCGGTGCAAAGTCTATCGAAAGGACTTAAGGATAATCAAAAGGCAAAATGGCAGCAGTCAAGCCAAACAATCATTCCGAATGAACAATAAGATTGATTGCGCAAAGTATGACTATCCGAAAGTGACTCTACAAACTATGACTCGTAGCAAGGAAAGTGAAGTGCAGTGCGAGTGTCTAGCGAGCCAGATTATATCCTACAGTGTGAAAGTCCGGAATTGCTTAGGCAAAACTAGTAGCAAGATAAGCTATCCAAAATGTAATGAGACTTGAGGCAAGCTGCTACACAGATATGCATGTAATAATGTGTGAGGCGTGCTGCTATATGTATTAACCTAGCTTTCGATGGGCCAACAATGTATGTGCCCCCAAGACATAATCAATAACAGATAAACCAAGTGAAAATGCATCAGCAAAGTCAAATGGACATGGATGGGACATGGTACAGAGGATCGGAAGTGTATACAGGCCTTGGAAGGAGACAGATGACCTTCAGACGATTCGGATGAGTGCATGGAGTGTCGAGGAGTATAATATGAGATACCTATGAGATTGGCAGGATACACAATGTAACGAGACAACAATTGCTGGGCACTACACAAAGTAAGTAACCAGCAATATAAAATGTTGTGGTCTAACACAGCCTAGTCTGCTATACTTGCAAGACAAGTGCATTCGACCCAAGGGGTTCACGTAAGGTATTAGAATAATTAGTTATATGAAAAGGAAGATAGTCCGAGCATGGGAAACAAAGTCTGAAGGTAAAAATGTTGGGTCTGATGTTTTCAGGGTTTCGGATTAGCGGATTTCATCAGGTTATGTCGGATTAGTGTCAGGAATGTAGCGAGTGTCACGGATAGTGAATGGTGGGTTACTGTCAGTATTTTCGGAGTGTTTTGGATAATAAAAGGATGATATTTGCGGAATTCAATGAAGAACTACAAATATCTAATGACCTCCTCCTACTCAGAGGTAGAAAGGTAAATAAGTAAGTAGGAGGTATGCAAAATATATAGTGTCTATGTAGAATTTCAGAGTGCTATAGGCGAAAGCAGTAGCAGTAATTTTCGGGTCCAATGTCCTATGTAATAAGACATGTGGTACTGTGGACATGTAATGATGTGGTCTACAGTGTTAGCGACATGAAAACAGATAACTGCGCACCTAGTGGGGATAGATATGACAGGACAGGACATAGGGAGGACAAGTGCACGGGAAAATATCGGGTCTGATACGCGTGAAACATTGGGTCTGTCGGACTACATCGGGTTAGTGTCGGGTTAGCAGATAAACGTCGGATTGAGCGGGTAAGTGTCGGATAACATTGGGAAGTTATTTATGTGTTTGACATGCATTGAGAATTGACTGAATACATGCTCAGCACGAGGCTGAGTGCTACAATGACCAACACCAACCCAAGTGCTACAGTGGGACAGAATACACAGATACATGTAATAAGCCTCGCTATCATTTAGTCAAACTGAAAGAGAAAATAAACATGTACCAGCAGAGATAGGAGGACATGGACAGATGGTGTGGAAAAGGAACCTGAAGAGTGTGGAGCAGATGCATGCCGGATGAATACAGCCGAGAGACTTGTTGCTGAATAACAAGGGAATGATGTGGATCCTGTATGTTTCTATAGATCCTGACACATATATCAAAAGACACTCATTCCTGCTGTAACAAAACAACAATGGCTGGACACTACACAAAGTAAGTAACCAGCAATATAAAATGTTGTGGTCTAGCACAGCCTAGTCTGCTATACTTGCAAGACAAGTGTGTTCAACCCGAGGAGTTAGCTATCTGGTATTAGTCCAAAGTTAGTGAATAGATAAATGGTCAAAAGTCCAAGCGCAGGAAACAATGTCTGAAGATATAATTACGAGTCCAATGTTTTCGGGTTAGTGGGTTTTGGGTTCAGGTTCAGCAGATTACAGGGAATAGTGATAGCAAATGTCGGGAAAGCGAGCAGTATGCAGATTATTGATAATGACAGGTATTTCAGATAGAAAGAGTGGTAATATTCACAATGTCAACTAAGAACTATGAAATATTGGGTTTGACCACAAAGTGTCGGGAAACGGCTCCCTACTACTTGGATAATGAATAATGCTCGAGGTCAGTCCAATATATATATAAGTACATAGAAATCCAGAACCCATAGGCGAAAGTAGCGGCAGAATATTTTGGGTCCGAAGTACATGTAAACTAACATGAGGTGCTGCAGACTATGGGAAAACATGTAATAGTGTTTGCTGCATGAGTAATGTGTGAAATAATCAACTACGCACCTAGTGGGGCTAGCAAGACAGGATGGGACATGGAGAGGACAAGTGCGCGAGAAAATATTGGGTCCAATGTGGCCAAAATGTTGGGTCTGCTAGTCAAAGTGTTGGGTTGTGTCGAATTACATCAGGAAGTGATTATTGTGCGACAGGCATTTGATGTGAATCACAAAATAACTGAATATGAGCCTAGCGTAAGCTCATGAGCCTAGCGTAAGCTCAAGTGCTACACCGATGTCCAATGTTTTCGGGTTTGGTGCATATTGAGCCAGATATGATAGGGAATGATTTGAGTAATGATTAGCATTAATATTTCCACATGCATTGGAAAGTAGACCTCTACAAGGCCAAAAGGACTCCAAGTCCTACAGTGAGTTGAAGGAAAGTCAAGCTTCAGAGGTCAAGTTAGCTAGACTATGGATATGAGATAAAAAATTCTGGCAGGCTTACTCTCCCACACCAGAGTGGGTGGGCCGCTGCTCCTCCCCACCTAAGAGGTACTGACATGCGAGTGCAACTAGATGTCAAGCAGTTATTCTACAAACTGGATGAGGATTATACATGTGGTGGGTTGGCTACTTATATATGTAAGGCTACTGCACACGGACCATGCATAGACCATGCTACCTAAACAGGCAGGCAGACAATAAGACTATCTTAAGTAGGTAAGCAAGAATGATTCAACTACAACACAAGTCAAGGCCAGTATGGTGCCAAAGTCCATTGATGAGGAGCTCTCAGTGATTGATCATGGTGCGAGAGGCAAAGAGAGTGGTTGGGATGTTGCATTGTTAATGTCAGTGAATGGTTTTTTGTAGTTGATGAATAATTTACCTTATGCCTGGTTTTTCCATGGCACAACCCTAGTTCTGCCATGTTTTGCCTGTGAATAGTTCTGCCCACAGCACTGTTAGACTTACAGCATGATGATGAAAGTACAAGCACAGGAGAGAAAGCTTAGTAATATGTTGTCCTGCATGATATGAGAATCATGCAGAACACATACATGACATATTATCTCACATATCTACAGTCTGTTAGCCTTATCCTCAGACTACACAAAGTACAGTGTTTTGAATAAAAGTCAAATATGGTGGAGAAATCATATATTGACATAGTCCAAGTAATAGGTACACAAAAGCTTAGGTTATTACCTAACTTTTGGCTTATTTACTTTGACTACAAATAACCAATGAGAAAAGTTAAAAGCCTACAAAAACCCTAACAAAAAAGCCCATGTTTTGCTTTGTTTTCTTTTATGATTATTCCTACCTTATCTTCCCTATGTTTTTCTTTCATTTCTTTATGTATATGATTCATTGACATCCCAGATGCTTCATAAAATGTACCAGCAAGGTATGATGTCATAATGATGTCACATAGCTCCACAGATAGTTCTAGCCTATTCTGTTGGTTTCCCTGATGTCACCCATGATGTCACAGTGATGTCATTAGATGCTAGAATATTCCGCTCCACTTGGCTCCACAAATGCTCCATATTGCTCCACAATGAGGTCATTTATGATGCAATTCTGATGTCATTCCTCTTTTCAATCTTATTTCTTGGTACTATATAGTTTTGCTCATCTTATGTATAAAAGGAGAACCAATCTCCACCCAAAAATACAAGAATCTATTTTCCTGTCAAATATCTGAAGGAAATCCCCCCTCACATTCTTCTACTTTCTCTGACATTGACACTTTGTGTTAGCCAGAAAGTGCAGACCAAGTAACTAGACTTGTTCTGAGATCAGTTTACTCTTTTCTTGACTGTACCTATACTGTCTAGTGTGCATCTGATATACATTTCAGAGGACTAGGAGTACCAAGTCACGCCATTTATCTGTGCCTGCAGATTCCTTTGTTGGACTATCTGTGTACATATTTTCAAATCGTATAACTTGTAGTTGTACGCATCCGTTATATTATTGTAGTTGTATAACACACAGTTGGTTATAGACTATCATCCTATTATTTTGGATACATCCTTTGTACTTTACTTCAAAGGAGTCCAAATCAGCATCTTTGATTTGTATCGCATGGTCATACAAATCTTTCTATTTCCCATCAATAAGTCCTTTCATATTTAGGCAGGGGAAATTCTAGCAATATCTGCTACATCCAGTTGCAACCAGTTGCACAACAGTACGCACCTCACATCACTTATCTGTCTGGTCAACAAAAAAGACTAGAGAGACTTATTTGTATCAAGTATTTTCCATCTAGCCATAGGAAAGGCTAGATATTCCTCTACAAAGTCTATATTATCTGTCTTGCCAGATAAAGTTAGATTTCTCTTGTAGAACATCTACTGTTCTAGGTAGAATCACACCACCAGGCTGTATAGCAGGTAACCTCCCATGAACAATGTGTTGTCTACCACAAAAGAAGAAAAGTTGTAGACCACGAACTTGAGGTTGTTTGGCAGCATCTAGTCTTATCAAAAGTTTAATTGTGGTGTCATTGCCTTGTGACCACTTTTATATAAGACACCTCAAGTAAGAAGACAATGTATAGGAATGAATTATGTAGGGAATAATGAATAGCCGGTAATGTCCGAGATGGACACAATTTGTCATCAATAGCGTGGACCATAGACAAGTCCGTGCTTACACATGCATGGACCAGGTACTTATATTTAGCGTATCATAGTATATATACTGTAGTGATATTTCGGATAGTTTTTGGAGTCAAATATAATATTACAATCCTACTCTAAGATCTACAGCTACTTCTACAGGTTATGAGCCCTGCTTCGACTACAGATAGTACCATGCTCCCCAGCTCCAGCTCCACACTCTACAATATACTCCAGCTTGCTGAAGATGGCTTGAACTGGATCAGATATAAACAAAGGGCGAAGACAGTGATCGGCACTCGAGGTTTGATGTGGTACCTAGACGGTCAAATTATGAAGCCAGTCCCATATGGGACAAATACAAGTGGCCAGGTTGTGAAGCCAGACAGCTTGATACCAACTGCTACTGAAATAGAAGACTTGAAGAAAATTGATGAACATTATCAAAAAGACTCACTAGTTAGACAGCATATATTCAGCACGATAACAGATCAGCTGTTGCTGCGAGTCTAGCACCTGGATGAAGTCTCCGAAATATGGAAAGAGCATCAGTAAACTACAAATTTCCCACAGAGGTCGCAAATTTGAGGTCTAGCGACAGGAAGCCACAGGGCTCTACAGCTCACACAGGCTTACAAATGACAGCAATAAAGCACTCACAGTTTGGACAGACTCACAATTGATAGCAATAAAGCACTCAAGTAACAAGGCTCCTACTAGTATATACTCATTACTCGTACTAGTAGAACCTTGACATTTGCCGCAGTCTGACTTCGTCAAACAAACACGCTGATATATGAAAATTGGTTACATATAAAATTTTCATTGAAGACAATGTAAACATAAGCCTTGCATACTACATAGTATATCAAATATATGGATGACAGCATAACACAATATGATGATAACAACATGACTCCGAATATCAATTAATCGAGAACAATTGTTGGGTGCCAGCCCTGCGATACTTTCAATCCTGAGCAGAGCATCAAGACCAACAATATTACAAGAGAGTGCACAGACTTACCTTGCACACTTGACCGACCTTGTCCTTGTGGTGGATGACTGGATGTGACGTGGGACCAACTGCGATCTTTAAAGATAATCCTCATGCATCCCAGCCTTATGTCTGTCTCATCAATTTTCTTCTCAACAGCTGCTGCTTGAAACTTGAGCAGACACGTGGAAACCTCATTCTCCTGTAGCACACAGTCTGTGAGTGTCTTCTGTGCTCGGAAAACATCTCGCTTTGCTCTTACGAGATCAAGTACAAGGCTGGCTTCAGAGTCAGTTGGTTCATGGGCACTGGACTATTGAAAAGTAAGGTGTGATATAGATGATAGAAATGAGAAACGAAGACCCACCAGTGAATTGACAGCTTCAAGGACTCCGTATAAGTCGCACATACCGCCACTGGCAGGTATTTCCACATTAGAATCATTGTTGCGCTTAGTGTAAGAATGATGAGCAGGATTATTGGAGGAGGAAGCAAGTGCTGATAGTGATCGCAAAGTAGTAATGTCAAACTTTAGCGATGAGGATAACATGGAGGGACTCAGACAATGTAAGGCAGGCATCTGGGAAATACCAAATGTACATCGAAAACCAAGTTTGCTTTTCTTAAGTCTGTGACTTAGATATCAGTACCAGCGTGCCGTCATGGCCCCAGCTCATTGTCCGTCGTGCAGAAAAGAATTTCGGAACCATATATCTGTCGCTCATCATATGAGCCAACCATGGTCTGGATGTAATAATTGGCTAGACGATCTGATCCAACTCAACTCTACCTTACCACTCACCAAAGATCCCATGGCAGTGGACAATACTATTGACGAAGGCCCCTCTTACGAACAAGGAGAGGATGTAAGTTTCTATGATTTGAGAACTGAAGGAGGGCATTTGGACTTTGAGGCATCTGGACACAGCAGAACTCGGGATGAGGTAGTTACCGACTACTTTCCACAGCCCCTGCTGGCTTTTGAGGAGGGCTACACATTTCTAAGCCTATTCAATGCAGACAAAAACAGCATCTATCGTAAAAAAAAATCTATACTATCCATTCAGCGATCGAAGGGAATGGCAGCTTGCATTATGGCTTCTTCATTCGGGTTTGAGCATGGTGCAAATCAATGATTTCCTAGCGCTTGATATTGTAAGTCTTGAATTTGAATATCATCATGACAGCTTAGCTCAAAGAACACTTAGATCAATGATCAAAAGATTTATGAGGTTGAGCTGAATCATTACCTAGCGGTCCATGTTGGAAGTCTCAAGTTATTCCTATGTCACACCCCACAAAGTCTCCAGCAGTTCTCTACTGGCGGGATCCACTTGAATGCATTGCTTCTCTATTCAACCATCCTTTATTTCACAATCACATAGACTACATGGCTCGCAAGGTGTATCACACAGTGGAGAAGCTCTCTCGGATATATACTGAATGGATGACAGGCGAACATGCCTGGGAGATGCAGGTATGTGATTCAGTCTCTCCTGAAGTCATTGCTTCATGTGTTCTTGTAGTCTGCACTTCCCCATGGTGCAACTCTCCTCGGTACCATTCTATCCTTGGACAAGACATGCATTACTGCATTGTCAGGCAACCGCGTTGCGCATCCTCTCCTTATCAGCCTCGCCAACATTCATATGGACATACACCTAAAATCATCTTCAAACGCCTTCCTTCTTGCTGCCTTACTTCCAGTCCCAAAATTCATCCACAAAAATAAATGAATGAGAGGTGTGTTGCAAGACCGGCTCATTCATCATTGCCTGGACATTGTACTAGAACCTCTCAAGTTGGCTGCTCAAAATGGTACCATGTTGTCCGATCCCCTCGGACACAGCCATTACTGTTTCACGATGCTCGCTAGTTATATTGCTGACATGCCAGAAGCCATGATGTTGGCATGTGTTGGTGGAAAGACGTCCCCAGTGACTATGGCAATGTACAAATATTTTGGGGATCCCTTCCAACATGAACCCCAGACACAATCAAAAACTCTTGTGCAACTGGACATGGTGCGTTCATGCGCTCATCCAAATGATATTGAGGCCTTTTTCTGCGAGGCGCAGAAGTTTCGCCTGAATGGCATAGACAAACCATTCTGGTCGGACTGGTTGCTAGCGGATCCATCCCGGTTTCTCATACCTGAATCACTGCACCACATTCATAAGCAGTTTTTGGACCATGATGTGCAGTGGATTATCCTTGCAGTGGGAGGGTCCAAGATAGATTTTCGGTTTTCGGTTATACAGCCCACCACTGGTTATCGACATTTTCACGGAGGTATCTCCAAACTTAAGCAGGTTACAGGTCATTGTCACCAAGACGTTCAACAATCCATCATTGCAGCCAGTGCAGATGCAGGACCTGCTGGAGTTATTGTTGCTGTACACGCGCTCATGCACTTTCGTTATCTTGTGCAATCGCTGTGTATTGATGACAAGGATCTTGGTTGCATTACAGCTGCACTGAGTGAGTTCCATGTGAACAAACATGCAATCATCGCTGCTGGTCTTCATCAGGGAAAAGGCAATAAAGGCAATAAAGTCATCAACAATTGGCAAATCCCAAAACTCGAGCTTATGCAGAATATTGTTCCTAGCATTCGCAACTCTGGAGTTATAGCACAGTGGTCTGTGGATGTTACTGAGCATGCGCACATCACCGTGGTCAAAGACCCAGCAAGATCTACCAACAATAATAACTATGACCCACAAATCTGTCATTATCTCGACCGTGCCAATAAATGCAATCAGTTTGAGCTTGCCACTAGCCTTTTGGATCATTCGCAGAGGGAAGACCCGGGAGTTGTTGGAGATGAACTTGTTGAGGAGGATGACAAGATCGATGATGACATGAATGACTTTCCTGCAGAGCTGCTGTCCTCAATTCAAATACCCGCACAACCACGTCCTATCATGAATCACTTTTCACTCGCAAAAATACTCCAGCACAAGGAAATCAGATCACTACCTGTCCCACTACGTTCTTTTACCATTGGGTGCACCGCTCTTCACCTTTCTTATGATCCATCCATCAGGAATGCCACTGTCGATGAAGTTGCTATCATGTTCTGCCTACCAGACTTATGACCAGCTATCACAGATTTCCTTCACCGTGAGGCAACCTATGGTAATCACATACACTCAATAAGCGGTCCTAGAAGATCCACACATGACACTCAGCTTCCATTTGACCACTTTCAAGTGTGGTTCAAAATTCTTCTGCAGGAGACTGATTTTCATGATCCCGATAACGTTCTACCAGTGCAAACGCTCAACTGCGCACCACCTCGTGGCCCATGGACTTTAGGTCGTTATGATATGGCCATTATTTAAACCAACTCAGGGCACTCTTGGCCTACCAGTGGCCTTTCAGGTGTGTTCTTTCTGTCTTTGAGGGTGATACTCACCAAGCTAAAAAATAACCCAAAGGGCATTCCATTGGCCAAATTAGGCTTGTCATTCGGCCCATTGCCAGAAGTGGGATGCCGTGGGCATGGGACGATCAGTTCTTAACTTATGTCCAACATTTTGATATCTCTAGTGAATGTGTTCTGACCACTCAGCTCCATACACTGAAAAGGGCAAAACGCTCGAATGGCACACGGATGGGCGATGTCATTCTGGTCTCTCAGCCTAGAGCGCCTATCCACCTTGTTCCCCATTTTGGCGCCACTGTGGACACATGTCTCACCGCATACAACAGCTTAGAGCATGCAACAGAGTTTTGGTTAAATTATTTTTGGACCAAAAATACCTTTTTTGCTCTATCCGAGTAGAGAACTTGCACTGTGTTCATACTTCATCAGTACCATTTTTGTAGGCTAAAAGATACATGTACTCACTAGGATTCTGCATTGTTGAATGACATTGTTACACTTTCACCCAGTCATGGCACCTGCAGATCACAGCAAACCTGTAGACTTTGGAATGAAGTTAGCATAACTAATGTCAGCTCCCTGTGTCAGTGATGTGCCTATGATGGACAAACTCACCGATCTTGAGCTCAATCATCTGATTGTAGAGGAGGAAGAACCAGGTGATTCTACCCAGTCTCTTGGTTATTTGTTGTCGCAGATTTTCAGGACATTTACTATTGAAGTCCCAGATGCCACAGAGCTCCAGGTTCTGTTACATAAAATTCATTATCGTGATACCAGACTTCACGTTAAATTTGCTCACCTTGATGAACAGTCTATGGTTCCGTTATATGATGAAGCCAGCCGCAGGTGGAACTGGGCACTTCCCAGATCACATCGTAAAACTGGCATCAATAAGTTACCTGAACTCGAAGAGATTGGAGATGGAGAAGAGGATAGTGGGGCGAACAAGGAGTCTGAGAGTGGGGGTAGTAGTGGCGACTCGGAGGGCCCAGCAATTTAACAGCACCTTCTGGTAGACACCACCAGTAGTGACACCAGCCAAAAACCACAGACGTTGGAGGATATCTTCTCATCGTTCTTCAATGCTATGTGTGGTGCTGTTGCCCAGAAGAAGTGAGCACAGATCATGGCAGCAAATAGCGGAACAGTGATTCATACATGGAGTTCACGGAACTCCACATGCCCTGTCAAGGATGATAAAGTATTGCGGAAGCCTGACCTTGCATTGTTGGATGACGTAGAGGCTTGTTGGGATACCATCAAAGCTGTTTGCGAATTGACATCACAGCCATACACACCTTCAAGTACGATTGGAAAAACACTCGACAACAAGGCCTACCTTCTCTTGAGGCCCCAGCCTTGGAGGTGGTTTGTCTTACCCTTTTCCCTTACGAACGAATACCACAAACTGCGAGTCCATATGTATGACCATGCATGTGGTATCGTAACGTGTCCTGTCCATATCAACAAGGCTCCCAATCGTTACCTGCATATCCTATCGAGTGTCATCTTTGGTCATCTTGAATGTATTGGTTATGATCCCTCCATTAGTATCTTCACCAAGACTCTTTGTCCTGCCCAGCTTGAAACCCCAATTCTTCCGCCCTTCTACTAGACAACAAATTCGCACTAAATCAAGTGCATGGTCCCCAGATGGAACGGTGCAACCGAAGGCACTGTACCAAATATGGATATTGATGCATCCGAGTCCGAGTCTGACTCAGACGCGAAGACCTCACACTCAAAGCTGAACCTCCCTATGGACCCTCCTCAGATAGAAATACCTGAAGACCCTCTTCACCAACCCTTTTCAGAACCAATCGGCAGGATCACAGTTAATGACCATGCATACGACATCCTTGAACTTATCTTCTCTAGCCAGGGGCTCGTCGGTCGAGGCACTGTCTGTTACTTAGCCAGGAGAGACGACGAAGAATACATTATCAAGGACCATTGGGTTCTTGGGGGTAAATATGCTGTGTTGAATGAAGTCGACATGCTGCATGAGATGAAAGGGGTCCATGGCATACCAGAACTGGTCGAATATTGGCTTGTCGAGGTTGCACCTGGGGAAGTCGATGAAACTATGAGCTATCGATACAAGGTTTTTGAAAGTATCAAAGGTACCTCTCGTACACATCTGCATTTGGTTCTGAAGCCCTGTGAGCGACCTTTACATGCGTTCCGGACCAAATTAGAGTTAGTAGGCGCTCTTCAAGACATTGTCAAAAGTGCGTACTATATCTGGTTCATCTTCTACATTACACTGACATATTTCTCAGTTCAACAGACAGCAGTTGAGGAACGGGGAATTCTTCACCATGACTGTAGTCTCAACAATGCTATGATCTGGGATGATGGCAATGGGGGTCAGGGAACCTTGATCAATTGGGAATTCGCCGTGCATATTGTTGCAGGTCGAAAATATGCTATCGGTGGGACGGTCAGTACCACTCTATTGCTGAAAGGATGAATATGCTCACAGCAATCATCAGGGTACATTGCCATTCATGTCTTGTTCTCTTCTATGGCAGCTCTCAGAGGCTGTTGGTGACCAGGTGACATCTCTTCGCAGCTGGAAGGCAAAGCTCGCAATGCAGTCCTCTGCAACTCCCCCCCCCCTCTTATACTACACCACTACCATGACGATCTCAAATCCCTTTTCTATGTCTTCATATGCATCTGCATCAAATTCAGGGGTCCCCTCGGAGTTAGACGTGACCTTTCAGCTGATAGGAGTCAAGAGTGGCTACTGCACCAATGGTCTACCAACATGCTCTGAGACACCACCAATGAGAAGACTTCGTTTTTTTTCCACCCAAATGCACAAAAGCTCAAATGACAATTCCACCCCTACTTCACCAGTCTACTCCCGCTTGCAAATGATTGGTACAAGTTGATCAGGAACAAAGGACCATCAAGTACAGTCACTTTCCAGGAGGTCATTGATCTGTTGGAAACGCACCTCAACATGCTTCCAAAGAACAAGCCTTCCCCTGAACTTCTGTTTGCAAGGAGAGTCATTGCAGCGCTCCCGCAAAAGAGAAATGCAAATCAATTGGAGGGTAATGATACGGATTCACAAATAAATGAACGTCATGCGACAATAGGTCGGATGGGTTGGACGATGGAAGTTGCGCCCCAGCCCAAGCGGAAGAGAACTACATAAGCAGCCTATATTGTAGTTTTTGACCAAACTGACCTGGCAGCTGCCAGAATATGACTTGTCAAATAGTCTGGCAGGTACCAGGGGGCTCGTTTGCATAGCTGTTGGCTATCGGTGGGTTCTAGCAGAGTTAGAATATTGTAGTGCCAGTGGGATGTACCCAGCAATATATTTGTTGGTTTTCTGTTTATTTGTGTGCCATGATAGTTTTCTTTTTTGTTTGCACACATTTGCCTTGAGTGGGCATTTGTCACAGTTCCACATTCCGTTTATTCATTTGTCATGGTTTGATTTTCTGTTTGCACATATTTGTTTTGACGGTTTCACATTCCGTTTATTCATTTGTCATGGTTTTATTTTCTCTTTGCACATATTTGTCTTGACGGTTTCACATTTCGTTTATTCATTTGTCATGGTTGGGTATTTGTCATCACTTTTTGTCGCTTCGCTTCATCAACCCAGGAATAGACTCGAGAAAGTGCAAATGTTGCATGGATAAAAACATGGAGTAAGTGATCATTTGATCCTTTCAAATAAATGAATAATCTTTCTGTTGTAGAGATAATAATGACTCATATAGTAGCTCGCCCCCACCATCTGGCCGTTCAGCTCAATCCCAGGCTGCAGCCCCTGTTATTAATGCCGATGATCCTGACGCATATGTCAAGAAGCTGCAATGGAACTGGGCTAAGGGTCCTCATTTGGAGTTTTTGAATAGCCAACTCCCACTGTATTCCACATCTCTCTCTGAAGGCTCCACAAAGGCTTCAGAACAGCTTGATTCGGTCATCAATGGCTACTTTCAGTGTTTTCCCTGGAGACTGAAGGTAACGGAGGATCCCGACACACCATATAATCCTCTCATACATCTGCCAATTGATCCGGTCTGTGAAATTGAGATCGAGCAAAAACGGCGCAAAGTCATTGCCATGCGAAAGGTTTGTTTCTGTATATGTTTTCATTACACTAACACATTCATATTTTAGAGTATACACGCATGGCTGGATTACTGAGCCAGAAAAACACAGAAATTCAAGAGACACGCAAAACCTGAGAATGATGAGTGGGCCTGGTACTTAGTGCAGCTCTCTGGTTTATCGAAAACCAAGCCAAAAGCTCTTCAACCCCACCAATGCTGGTCCAAAGACCACTTTGACGACATCGTCAAGAAGGACTTCCATAAGCAGTGGAAGAAAGCTGGTCTCCCGTCGAAGAATCTTGCAATGTTTCGTGACTTGATCACACGAAAACACTTCCTCAAAACAAGTCAGAAAACGCAAGACTTGTATAAGCGTCTCACAAAGGATGCAGCTGTAGAGGCTTGGACAGAGAAACTGCGTGCGCCCTCACATTCATCTCCAGCTGAACGTCAAGTGTATGTATTTTCATTTCCTCACTGTTACATTCGTGCTCAATTTAAGTTATAGCGCTATCGATAGATTGGCAAATTTTGCTGGCCCTTTGCTTTCAGAAATGTCCCAGATCATGGGCATGCATTGTTCTCTCTTTGTTGGCGGTCCTGAGCCACGTGCACAAGGCAAGATCAGAATCATAATGTAGACCCTCATTATTTCACTTTATCACAAGCTGACGTATCTCTTTCAGCATGCACGAAGGCATGAACAACAGCTTGAAGCCACTTGATTGGCAATGATTCGACAAGAACACTTTTCGGCAATGTACCAAGTCATTCACCCGTTACCTCACAACGTGCTACTGTAGGTCTAATGCATGTTTATTTTCATTCTTATGCTAACAGCTTTCGGCAATACAACAAGCTGAGGAGCAGATTCAAGCCAGTCGGCTACCAGAGGATGTCACTGCCGAATTTACCATAGACCAGGACGATTCTGATGATGATTTAGCAGCCGAGGGCTCAAAATTGAAGCCAATGCCGAAATCCTGGAAGAAGTCTTCCTTCGATTCGGACTCGGAGTCAGATTCTGATAGCAGCGAGGAATCCACGTACTCTGCCGATGACGTGGCTGGTATCAATGATGAAGACAACGACAAGCATGACCAACACAACCCAGCCGACACAGACAACAACATTGACAGCAATGGTGATGTTGATCTGCTGGTACCTCCATCACACTCAGATACCAACCCAGATCCTGAGCCATCGCACGAGGCTGCTGACACAGAAGGTATTGAGTCTCCATCTACTGGAGGTGAGTTCTGTTACTTTTGAGTGAATGGCTTTAACGATATATCTTCCAGACTGTCAGGTGAATAATGCAAACATGGAAACCAGCAATGACATTGAGCCCCAGCCTTCCAAGTGCGTCTTTTTCATTGCTTTTATCAATACATAAGGCTGATGTGAGCTACCAAAGCAATGAATCCGATCATGTTGACAGTAAGCCTGCCTTGGTACATTTTCTTCATCAGGGTGACCTTTGGCTAGCTGAACTCCCTCCGGACTGCCCCAAATGGTTTTTGGATTCTCATGTATACCTTCATGCACCTTCTCTTCCGGCTCAATATACCTCGCTATTGTCAGCCTTTGTTTGTCTGGAACAATCCTCCTCTTTCATGAGCAGCAGGGGACCAGCGCATTCACTTGGCAAAAAGCACCGACCCGAAGCTGTAGGCTGGTGGATTGCACGTGCAAGGTCAGGCATACCACCCCTGCCTGATCTTAGTAAGTATTCCACCGACTTCTGGGCATGGTGGATCGCCCTGCAGCCTACATGGAGGGTCATAACTGCACCCCTTGACTCACCAACTTTACTTCCTAGCCGAGAGATAGCAGGATCCTGGCACGAACTTGACAAGCTGGGACAGAATGGCTTCCTCAGTGTGATCGGTGCTCTCAATTGGTGGGGCAAGGCTTGTCAAGACCAATGCATCGATAATGTATCGTGGCTTGCTGCCATTGCTGATGTTCAATGGGTAATGGAACGATTGATTGAAACTCGCACATCATCGACCTCGGCTACACAGAACTCATGTGTCACTCTCTTTTCTACCAAGTATTTGCTAATGCCATCTTAGGAATCGGACTAGCACATGTAAGTGTTCCGTCATGTGCGATATCTCCCCACCGACAAAATGTGTTGGGACTTTGCGCTGCCGCTAGATTTGTATGCTTAGCCGCTTGCTATATTGGTATTGTTCACATTGATCACTCGGTAGTATTCACTGTCCAAATGGTATCATTTTCTCAATGAAAGTTTTCTCGGATACTTCGAAGCAAGAACAATGAAAGCTCGGTATATGAATGTAGCTAAGATGATTGCTGGTACATGAGCTCACCAAACAAAGCAGCCTCCACCAATTCAGCACATGTGGCCAAGCATAACACATCCTCGAGGTGAGTTGGAACAGCCAGTACAGCCAGACAAACTCCATTGGCAGCATGCCACTCTACACATACTCCGCACAATTCCTCTATGGTATCCATCCCTAAGTGAGCCGTGGAGTAAATCTTGTCTAATAATGACAGGGCATTTTCTATGATCACAATGTCACCTGACCTGGGACGCAAGTCTTCGGGTTCACATGGTAAAGTTTTCATGAATTTATGGACAACATTCTCGATGTATCGATGCGGTGAGCTGACTGTACCCATGAACTCGTCTTTGGCATCTTTGACAACTTGGATACAATCTCCAAGTGTCGTGCTGCAGTGTGAACATTAGCGATGTTACACATTGCAGAACGGGACATCACCCATGGAGATGCTGTGCTGTTTTCTCTCTGATAATGCTTGTGTTTATGTTCCGCTTGGCGTTTTATTCGTTCCCTGTGTCTTGTTGCGTTGTTATTCGAGGTCAGCAACATGAATATTTGAGAATAAATATACAGTGCGTAATATTGTATGTGATGTTCATGTTGAGCAACCATCCAGGTTTTATCAATAGGATGAAACATGGCACAAAGACTATGTTGGTGAGTATGAAGGTGCAGGAGTGAAAAATTCAAGACTGCCAGGTTATGTACATTGAAAGCATATAAATTAGCACGTACGTGTTATGAACTTCTAAGAATGGCCAAAATGGGTTACAGCCTTACTATGTTCTGCTGGCAGTGGTCCTATGGATCCTTGTAAGTTGTAGTATCAAGACAAAACTTGTGCATGCCACATGTCAGCTTGCAAGAGTATTTCCTTGAATGGGTGTCGTGATAGTATATTAACTAGTAATTGATAGTTAGTATCATGTGCAGGCAACTATCAGTGTTACAGACTGTGTAGTAATAGGAATCCGAGACTCCGAGTCAATGTACACTGGTTCCAATGTTCAATGTTCAATGTTCAACTCTCATTCGCACTATCATCAGTTCTTCTATGTTGATGGAATGTAAATAATAGAACCGCTGTCTGTTTCTCAATTGCTCAAAGTTTCTGCATCAACAGCTTGTAGTTATTACACCGAGTAAGTAGCAACTTACCGTTGAGTTATGTGAGCCACTCCTGCCAGTGAGTTGAGCACAGCACTCTTCAAGCACTGGCACAAAGATTGAGCATTTAAATACCATGATAATAATCTAGCCACCACTAAACACTCTGAGTGATTAAAAAACAGATAGATCAGCAAACTACAATGGGCTTCTAGCACAGCTCCTACAGAGCACTCTGTACTAGGAGCTTAGTACTAGAAGCCCATTGTAGTTTGCTGATCTATCTGTTTTTTAATTGCTCAGAGTGTTGGCAGTGTCGACTTGTAGTAGTAAGTTAGTACTTACTGATGAATAATCTAGCTGCTATCTGTTTCTTTGTATCAACTCATGGACTAGTTATATTAAAACACAGGGGCAGGTTATCATTAGAATCAAGCACACTTAATGAACCGTAACTCATGCCTGCAGACAAGGCACCAAGCGCACATTTCATTCTCATCCTTAGAATTCAATGCGGTCAATAAATTTGTGCACCAAATCAGATTCAAAAAGTAGTATAAGTGCAAGTATAAGTGCATGATGTATGCTACAACTCCCTCACGCAAGTAGATACAACTTGAAAAAGCCGTTACTGGGTATTATCATCCTGAGTAGCAACTTCTTCCACCATAGCATGCCAAGCCGCCTCCCTTTCATCAGCAATGTGAGTGCTTTCTTCAACCATGATTTGATAAATGACATGGCGTAAAGATGAGGATGTCATCAGGTCAGGCAGAGCAGATGCAGAACCGAACGCACGACAAGATCAACTGATAAGCAATGAATATAAGTAGCATTCATATAGAACTGAAACATACTCACCACAGCAGTCCGGCATACATACCTTCCCTGTAGCACCTGCAAGGCTTGAAGCTGTCAAGTTGAAGTTGAATGTGCCTGCTGTGGATGCAGTCTATACCAGCCTCAGTCAAGCACACAAGGTTAAATTAAATGACAATATCACATACTACAGATAGCACAAGATGTGCAACACGGCTGGGTTTGATCTGCTTGAGACGGAATTGAACCAACTTGGTCAGTAGACACAGAAGCAGGGGACATCAACAGGGGGGAACTCAGACATAGTGATAGAGGTGGTCAGAAGTGAACGGCAGGAGGTGAAAATCGAGGCTCGTTTACCATTAAAATTTATATAGGGCATAGCTTTACAAATGCAGCTACCCGAATAATCTTTGAGAGTTGTACGATTGAACAGGGAGGATACTAAACAGAACACAGGCTTCTTTCTCAGTATCATAGCTGCACGTCGAGCACAGAGAACGTACACGTCAAGCACGGAGAGACTATGTAGCATGCCCAGTCATAGCAATGTGTGCACTCCCAACCCTCCCTTGCTATGGAAAAAAAAGGCCAAGATATCAGGCTTACCGCTGTAACATGACAACAATTGCTGGATACTACACGAAGTAAGTAATCAGCAATATAAAATGTTGTGGTCTGCACAGCCTAGTCTGTTATACTTGCGAGACAAGTGTGTTCGACCCAAGGGGTTCGCTGTAAGGTATTAGAATGATCAGTGATACTAAAAGGAAGATAGTCCGAAGCACAGGAAACAAAGTCTGAAGGTATAATTACGAGTCTGAAGGTAAAAACGTCAGGTCCGATGTTTTCGGGTTTTGGGTTAGCGTGTTTCGTCGGGTTATGTCGGATTAGCGTCAGGAATGTAATGAATGTCGATGTCATATCCCGCATTCTGGACCCGGACTTATCACACACCTCATTTCCAGATGTCCGGATCTGGCCGACATCTATCTATGTCTGGATCCAACCCGCGTCTAACTTCCATGCCTTATCCCTTTGTACGTTCCTACTCCAGTTAGACTATATCATTTTCCATACCTCATTTCATTTCCACCTTTATTTTCCTCTGTTCTAATCTCTGGGTTCATTTACTATTTTCCGATAGACTAGTGTTTGACTTTTCTATACCCTCTGTCCACAGCCTCGCATAGCTTCAGACTGCGCTGGCTTACTCTCCGTTAAATCCTCAGTAGTATATAAACCCTGTAGAATCTATGTACATCCTTAGTTCGAATATCATCTTAGACTCTGCTCATTCCCTCCTCCGTCTGACTTGAGTTTCTCTCTCGTCGACCTCTGCTTGTCTTAGGATTGATTCCTATAGACTTGTCACCTCCACCTCTACCTCTGGTAGTCCTCCACTGTTTCCTTTCTAGTTCGGACTTCGTCCGGATTAGTCTTATCTCTTGTTCCCGAACGTCTGCTGGAATTCCCGCGCATTGGACATCGGACTCCGGACATCACCCGACGCCCTCCGGACATCGTTCGACAGCCTTCAGAAGTTAGGGGCACGTACTTGGGTAAGAGGTGCAGCGCACGAGCTGAAGCCAAGCCCTTCGGATTCGACCCTTGAGCATGTTCTTAACACTAGGACTACAACATGGGGTGACATAAGTAATCATTCTTCAAGTTAAGTGCCTTGCTTAGTAGCCAATACCCCTTTTACGTGTACAATTGAACTTTGTTCTGGAGATATTCCCACCCACATTCAAACATACTCGGCTATATATTCATGAGTTCGACGCAAGGAGGTTTTTTACGCATTTTCTCTCAGCCTACTGCATTTTGACTCAACTTCGAAGTGGACTCGTAGACTCAGCTACATCTCATCAACCCCATTCATGGTCTGTGCTGCACTGTATTACATTTGGTGTGCTTGTGTATGATGTTTTATCTTTAAGCGCTTTTCAAGGTGCAATGGGAGCTAGATTTAAAAGTAAGTATCTGTAAATTGTTGACGTTGTGGTTCATCTCTCCCCCTTCTTTACTCATGCCAGGTAGCCCCAAGAAAAGGAAAACAAAGCAGAAAGCTACGGATTCTGACCTCAAAGCACCTGAAGGGCAAGAAGGTGTGGTGAAGAGAGTGCGTGCTCAGGCTGGGTCAACCACCAATCAAGTGGATGAGTCACAACATCCTCGATGTTCAGGACGTCCAGGCGCTGGGAAGGGAGGTAGAGACACTCAGCTGGAGAAAATTGGCACCATCTTGCATGCCCCAACACAGACCAACCAAGCCAAGGGTAATACATCCCTTGATCCGAATGTTCCTGCAAATCCTCTTGCTCCAGAACCGCCTCGAAAGGGTTGCGGAAGCCATTCCAAGGTAATTTTATCCTGTTTGTAAAGTGGCGACTGCGCTGCCAACTGATTTCGAATTCCAGCACTCACACAATGAAGATGACCAAGTGGCCGAGAGAGTTTTGGCGGTTGATGGTGATTTAAGTGAGAGTAGTGCGGCGACAGATCAAGAGAGTGCTCCCCAGGTATGAACTTCATATTTTGCTGGAGTATACTAATTTCTCATTTAAGCTGGACGATGTTGTTAAGAACATGCTCAAGGGTCGAATCCGAAGGGCTTGGCTTCAGCTCATGCGCTGCGCCCCTTACCCGAGTATGTGCCCCTAACTTCCGAAGGCTGTTAGACGATGTCCAAAGGTTGTCGGACGATGTCCGATGCGCGGGAATTCCGGCGGACATTCAGGAACGAGTGATAAGGCTAATCCGGACGATGTCCAAACTAGAAAGGAAACAGCGGAGGACTACCAGAGGTAGAGCGGAGGTGTTGAGTCTATAGGAGTCAATCCTAAGACTATCAGAGGTCGACGAGAGGAAAGACTCAAGTCGGACGGAGGAGGGAATGAGCAGAGTCTAAGATAATATTCAAACTAAGGAACTACAGAGACTGTACAGGGTTTATATACTACTGAGGACATAACAGAGAAACAGTCAGTGCAGTGCGAGGCTATGCGAGGCTATGGACAGAGCATGTGGGACAACTATCACTAGTCTATCGGAACTTAGTAAAATGAAGACGGAAATGAATAAGGGATGGAAAATAAAGCATACTAACTGATAAGGGAAATACCAAAGGGAAAAGGCACGGAAGATAGGAGCTGACTGGATCCGGAAGTCCGGAGATGATTGCGTGATTGGTCTGGGTCCGGAACGCGGGATATGACAGAAAGCACCTGAACAGGAGGAACCAAGGTAGCTGGAAGAAAAGGCCAAACCCACTGGTTGCTGGCCTAGAGCTTAGGACTACGGTGGGCTCAATGATAGGCAATTTGCCTTGGCAATTAGGCACCACTCTGAGACAGCCTGACCCCAGTAAGTACCATTCTCAAAATTATTGTACTGTTGCTGAATGTACCTGCCACAGATACCGCCCTTGGTAGAACCATTTTGGATAGGATTATACCTACAGTGAATATCCTTCGTGGACATCTTCCTCTCAGCATGGCTTCCATGTTTTTGCCTTTTCTTCTGGCACATCATAAGCTTCCCAGGGATATCAACTGTACCAATTTGGAAGCATCCAATCGCTTTGTTGATTTGATTATTTTCAAGTGAGCTAATCACGGATGTCCAGGGGAAATTGTGCTCATTCAATGTTTCTAGCCACTTTTCTCTGGTACCAAGACACTGGGAAGCGTGGCACTTTGGCAGTTCTAGCTCAGTATCATGCCAGATCTTGCTTGGCTCTCTCAATCAGTGATACATCAGAACACCCCCCACCCGGTGTAATGAGACAAACAATTGCTGGACACTTCACGAAGTAAGTAACCAGCAATATACAAATGTTGTGGTCTTGCACGGCCTAGTCTGCTATACTTGTAGACAAGTGTGTTCGACATGAGGGGTTCGCTGTAAGGTATTAGAATAATTAGTTATATGAAAAGGAAGATAGTCCAAAGGTATAATTACGAGTCTGAAGGTAAAAACTTCAGGTCTGATGTTTTTGGGGTTTTGGGTTAGCGGGTTACGTTGGATTAGTGTCGGGAATATAATGAATGTTGGGGATAGTGAATGGCGGATTACTGTCAGTGTTTTCGGAGTGTTTTCGGATAATGAAAGGATGATATTGCAGATTTCAACAAAGAACTACAAATAACCAATGACCTCCTCCTACTTGGAGGTAGAAAGGTAAATAAGTAAGTAGGAGGTATGTAAAACATATAGTGTCTATGTAGAATTTCGGAGTGCTATAGGCGAAAGTAGTGGCGGTAATTTTCGGGTCCGATGTCCTATGTAATAAGACATGTGGTACTGCGGACATGTAATAACGAGGTCTACAGTGTTAGCAATGTGAAAACAGATAACTGTGCACCTAGTGGGGATAGATACGACAGGACTAGTGATGTGCACGGCCCGGCTTCAGGCCGTGGGCCGGCCCAAGCCGAGCCTGATTAGGCCGAGCCGAGCTGGGCCCAAGTCAGGGCCTGACCACGGCCCAGGGCCCGGCTTGACGTGTTGAGAAGCCTGAGCTGGCGGCTCAGGCCACGGCTTTAGTCCCTGTGCATCCATCATCGACATCAATGCATCCTTACTTTAGGGAGTCAAATCGTCTGTTACAGACTTCCATGGACATCCGGACACCAGGTACAAGTTTATTTACTATATCTAAATCTGTCTAACCATTACTACTCTAGTCTCTTCCGCAAATCCAACAAACACTTCATATGTCAGAAACCCAGGTGAGTTGCCCATCTTTGTGCTTCGCACCGTCAATGTTACTCTATCTCATGTTGCTTTGTGTTTGAAGTATACTTTTTCATCACGATCTTGATCCTTTGTAGTGGGATAAAAGGTATTCATGGCTATGGTACTGGTACGTCGCTACCCTTGCTCTAACTTGAAAAAATCTAATGGTCGGAATGGTCCATACAGACAGTGATGATGAGCCACGTGTAGTGCGTCCAGTGCGCAAAGTCAAACCGACTGCTGCACTCCTGGAGCACTCCGAGAAGGCAGCTCTCCCTTCTCAAACAAGAGCCATCAACGCCTTTCGTGCTGCAGAGGCATTGAAGCGCACCACTGATGACACCCATCCTCCGGCCACCGAACCACCACAAGCACCCATCCCATCTGCTCCTGCACCGAATGTCGACACCACCGCATCTGAAACCACCAGCAAAAGGGCACGTGTCGAAGAAATCAATGAAGATGAGATATCTGGTGATGACGAACGCGAAGATGCACGGATGAATCCAAAGTGTAAGTCTATCTGCAAGATAATGTACCTTCCTGACCTAGCATCGTCAGGCAAATGAGTCCGTCACAAGAAAGCTGCTAAAGCTCAAGAAGATGTTGACGAAGACAGTATTCTTGCAGATATTGATGTCCAGCCCATCATCGATGAATCTCCCACACGCGAGGATAAAACTCGCGACATCGACCAATTCTTCAGTCAACCGTTGGAGTGCACTCACACTAACGGCAAGGTCAAGAAACATCGAAAGTGCAAAGTTTGTCCATACGTTGTCACATCATTTGCATATGTCTTTACATCACTAACACTACATATTTTAGGGCTCAATGTACCATTGTAAACGAGACGTCAACCCTCTGCCGTCATGCAGAAGCCAAATTTGCTGTATGTTCTCATTTATTTATTTGTTGATGTACTAGATCTAAATGTCCATAGGGAAAATACCGTACATGGGCCAAGGCCAACGCCTTCACATCTAAATTGCCAGGTGACATCGCAGCCAAGAAAAAGAAAGCCACACAAGCACAGCAAATGATTGATGCGCACTTGACTGAGCGCAAATTGTCGGAGCGCGCCATCCCTTACACCCACCAGAATTTTAGAAAAGCTGCAATTGAGTGGCTTGTCGCCACAGATCAGGTAAGACTCATTTATATTGATATTGTCGGCTGTAAACTAACAGAATTTAGCCCATACAGGCTCTTGAGCACCCTAAGTTCAAAGAAATGATAGATGTTGCCTCGCGTGCTACACAGGGTGTCAAGATTCCAGGCCGAAAGGCCACGCGTGCTGAAATCATACGTGTTTTCAAGAACCATTTGACCAGACTCAAGAAGAAATTGAATGTATGTACCATTCTTCACAGTATCTGCTCTTATCTGACACAATTTTAGAGCCAATCCGTCAGCGGTGCAATCAATATCACATGTGACACATGGCAGGCCAATAACTCGGATGGTTATTTTGCTGTCACTGGACACTGGATCGAAGAAAACGATCCGATGCAATGGGTACCTGGGAATGCATTACTTGGCTTTACTCGGCTCAATAATGCCCATAATGGCCAGCGCCTAGGGGGTGCATTATTCAAGGTGCTTGATCGTGTTGGTGTTGCACACAAAGTCAGTAAAAATTCCACCTCCTCAATGACTGTGCTTATATCTCGACCTAGATCGGCCACGTCACATGCAACAATGCAGCAAACAATAGTACCATGCTGCAGGAATTCTCGAAGTTGTACGAGGCGAAGTACCACAAAGATTTCCCGTGGCGTCAATGCAAGATAAAGTAAGTCTTTTCGATTTGGTTGATGGAACTGCTAACAACCCTGACAGTTGTTTAGCGCATGTTATTAATCTTGGCACACAACGACTCATCAGTACCTATAGCAAGGCACCCCACTACAACCCCCATAACCCGCATGCTCACGAACCGGATCTAGCTCAGAGGGTCAATTGTGACGAGATTGGTCTGGTCTGCAGTATCTGTGTCAAAGAACGTTCCTCGGTGAAACGGAAAGAGCTATATAGAACTGTTCAGACAAAAGCAGGTGTCTCTTTGCCAACACAACTACTAATTGATATGAAGGTCCGCTGGTCTTCGACTTACATTATGCTTAATCGTGCCGATTGCAACAAGCAGGTATGATACACCACCACACCTTTTTGTTCTTACTCTGACTTGCCATTACAGCATGTCGATACGTTCGTGTATGAAATGGGACGCCAAGAGCAAAATTTATCGAAGCGTGCCAAAATCGACTTTCTGCAATTGACATCTGCGGAGTGGACACGGGTTGGCCAGTTCACGGACCTTCTTTCATATGCCGACGTGGCACAGCAAGCTTTCTCGTCCGATCGAGGATCAACTCTCCATCTTGCAATTCCTGCACTGGAGATGCTTCACAAATCATGGTCTTCACGAGCGGAAAGGCCCAAGTATATTCGTTTGCCGGCGCACTCAAGGCAGCAGCAGAGAAGCTAGATGAATATTATGAGAAAACTACAGACACTGCTGCCTATGTTATTGCCATGTGTTCGTCATTTTCTATTCCAATCATTCTGACTCTAACATACTCTACCATACTAGTACTTGATCCAACAGCCAAACTCGCATACTTCAAAAAGCACTGGCCATTGAATTTGCTCGATGATGTGCTTGCTTGTGCCGAGAACGTCTTCGAACAACACTACAATGAGCTCAATCAGTCACTTGCATTGTCGCAGCCTGCAACTACGAAAAGTAAGGTTGGTGGCCTCAAGAAACTCATTCGGGAAGTTCAGAGTGACTCCGAAGACGACTCCGAGGCAGAACCAGGTGCCGCGTCCATCGGGGATCCATCGAAACCATGGAGGGCTGAGTTCACAAGCTATATCGAAACCATTGAGGCCGCTCCCTCGGCAGGTATGACCACTATTCAGTGGTGGGGTGTACACTTGCCTCGAACAACAAGTTTCACGCTTGAATGAAACATATCGACATACACTATCATTTTATTCAGTCAGTAATTGAAAACGGTACAATTAGATTGGAGTATGTACTGACAGACAATAACCTCATGGACACTTTCACAAAGGCACTGCCAAAGCTGAGATTGGAAAGATTGAAAGAAGGGATGAAAGTAAGCTGTGCTCAAGGGGGAGTGTTAGACTTACAGCATGATGATGAAAGTACAAGCACAGGAGAGAAAGCTTAGTAATATGTACAGGAATGAATAATGTAGGGAACAACGAATAGCCAGTAATGTCTGAGACAGATATGATTTGTCATCAATAGCGCAGACCATAGACAAGTACGCACTTACACATGCATGGACCAGGTACTTACATTTAGCATATCATAGTATATATACTGTAGTGATATTTCAGATAGTTTTTGGAGTCAAATATAATATTCCAATCCTACTCTAAGATCTACAGCTACTTCTACAAGCACTACCCATACCTGTGCAGATCCCTAGTGGTCTTCTTGTACATGCACATTGTTGTAGTGGTCATTGTAAAGTTGTTATCAATTATCAATTAACAGTTAAAGCACATATATATGTTCAACATGTCAGGGCAGATGTAAGGTCACATGATCGAATGCAAATTCAAATTTCAATTGAATTTTAGTTGGCCAAATAAGACCTAAATGCCACAAAAATGGCATCTAATAATAAGGGGGGTGAGAGAGTTTTGCTTACCTCAATATTTATGCAGAATTGTTAGTAATCATTGATCAAAGTCAGATCTAAGTTTGCATGAAGCTATTTTTTGTATGGTCACAGGTCACAAGGACTGTGACACTGAGTGTGACTGTATTCCATACTGTACATGACGAAGTGTCAAATCTCTACAGTACTATGTCCATGTAATCATGTTTTGGTTGCCATGCACGAGGTATATTGACGGCAGTTTGGAAAGAACGTTTGGTTGATTTGATTAAGGTTGACAATGCAGTGTTCCGACCAAGCGGCAGCCTGAATGTCACCGCGGTCCCAAACAAGGATTAGTAAGAGAACACAAGCGTCGGCAATCAGTGCCGTACCCATGTTTGAAAAGTTTGAACAGCAAAAACGACGTTTTAGAATTGAGCACCCGCCTCCGAGAAATATTTAACACTGTTGCCGGGTATTATCATGTCAAGCCTAATAATATGTGCGTGTTCACCCAGTATTTGGAGTTAGCAGCTACCCAGGTGCTAAATTCATCATGTTCTAACTCACGGGTGTCACTGTCAGATCGGATTACTTAGACGTGCGACACCAAGCCAGCTTGGATTAGTATCAGATAGGATTTGCCGCACAGGATTTGCCACAGAGGCACAGACATACGTTGCCGTCGCCAGTTTGGATCTTAGTACGAAATACAAGTTGTTTCACCATCTCGGTGTGCTCGGCCATGCAACGCATTATTATTATCGACCTAACATGCGCGTGGTGGGACTCCCAACTATGGTTGGTTATTTTCACTCGTTGATGAATATTTTTGATTAAAAGTCAAAAGCAAAAGAGTTAAGCTCCAAAGATAACTGGGCATTTATAAATAAGTTCTTGGCGTCGTCTGGTTCCATTATCTTGGTCACTAGTTCCGGCCCAGACGTGTCATTTCACTGCCATTTGTTGGTGCTAGTTGCTGCCAATCACAACAGCGGGTCCCACAAGGGGCAGGAAAAGGTGAGAGATTACGAGAGCCTACTCTGACAAACAGTAATGCTAACCATACAGCGCAATGAAAACAATAAGTAATGAAGCAAATTTGTACAGTAGCTACACTGAAACTCCAACAGAAGCAGAAGATATGTGTTGGGACGTGTGTTGGGTACCCTCTGAATGATTTTGTAGATCCTCTGGAACATCTCTGCTAGGACCGGTGGAGAGCAATGACCCTATCGCCATCGATGCTCTGGAGCGCGGCGAGTACTCCTCGGAATCACTCCGAGACGAATATGGCGACGGTGGCAAGTCGCGAGAGGATGTGTGAGATGTGCGTAATTCGTAGTGTGATGAGGGGGAGCGAGAGGAGCGTTGGCGTTTTCGAGGTGGTTGACAGGGTTGAGGTGGTTCTCTGACCACAGGCAATTGTTGAGGGGAGACACGTCCGTTGGTCATGTCAGTTGGAAATAGCCCATGTTTTGAGTAAGGTGCTGCGGGTGGTAAGGAATGAGAGGGAGGTGAAGGGCTTGTATGCCGAGCATCCGCTGCGGACATTTCAAGTAGAGTCCTGTGCAAGGAAGCGACAGATGCGAGTCGCTGTAAAGGGGTCAACAGGAGACCAGGTAAGATACGAGAAAGCTTACCTGGTCTTCGGCGCTCTTTGCATTTAACATGGCAATGAGCATATCTCTGTCACCGTCGCCTTTCGATTTGTATGCCCCAAGTATTTCTCTGAGGCTAGGTGGTGGTGCCTGAGTGATTGTGAGCTTCATCTGGGAGAGGATATATTTGAGTAAACTGACCTGCTCTAGTATTTGTGAACTGGACATGATGAGTCTCCTGTAGTCTGCCTCGATTGAATGGTAGGGCAAACGAGAGTAGTCTTGTGTTGGGTAAGGAGGGCCAGAATTCATTTAGGTGGGTTGTTAAGCGTCTTGTAGCGAATGGGTTAGAACGGCGCCAACCGCAGACTTTTTGTAGGTGAGCCAAGTCCAAAATTCTATCTTTAAGTCTGGTATAATTAGAATGCCAAGCCTAAGGTGAGGCTCGGATACCCGAAGAATTCTAAATCTGAATGAGAATCTGACGACGTGTTCAAACATGCAGACAACGCTAGTACTTGCTTCGTTTCCCATATTTTATCCACCCGAGCGTTGAGGGATGAGGGATGGATGGGCTCCACAGCTGTAGACACGTGCTGACGAAATAAACGGAGGTACTAATTTTGACAATGGCAGGGTCTTGGCAATTCTATTTTTATCAATCTAATTCCGTATATCGTAGGACCTCGTAAGACCCTTGATAATGCCTCAAGGAACCAACCGGAACCAGAGTCGTCTAGCCTTGGACTAAAAAAACACGTTGTTCACATCCCCCCCCACATGTACACTAGCTGGAAGCAACTAACATCCCCAAAAATACACCCGTAAATCGATTTAACCCATGGTCAAATTTGTCCGCTTGCGAAAAAAAAAAAACTTTGATGCTTCTGTCAGCCAGCACGGCAGCCCTGCCCAGACTCAGGAAAAGGTAATATCTGTCTATGGTTGCCAACAAGACGATCGGAATCACGTGACTATCACGTGCAGTTCGCGAGTAAGTGTCCTCAAGCTTTCACATCCAAGTCCAAGTTTGATTTCACCAATGCCACAACAACCTGCAGATAGTGACGACGAATTTCCAGACGATATCGGACAGTTGGACTTGAGTAACGTCCCAGGTCTTCAGGAAATTCCGCTCCCAGCTTCGATCAGCCCTTTGGATGATCCTCCTCCCACAGTGATCGTACCAGCGCCCCCATCGCAATCATCTACGTCTTCCCTACCCTCCGAATATGACTGCGACGACGAGATAGATGAGTCAACAATTGCCGCTCTGGATGCTCTCGAAGCACAGTTTGCACATGGTCAATCTCAACTCGGAGGTCAGTCAATCGTCAACTAATAGCACAACCCCTATGTTCAACTCGACGCATACAGCCTCTCCTTCAACTGCTCAGCAGTTGATTAGTGGTGAGTTCCACATATTTTTAGTCGTTGCATGTTGAAAGATGATGTCAACTCAACAGCTCGCGCTGGTACGTTTCATTGAAAGCCGACGATGGTTTAAGCTCTTATGTATCCGCTGTGTCATCTACATGATGTCTGAAACCCACTACCATTCATCTTGTGAGTATCAAGTTTAAAAGTTCCGCGCGAACCAACACAACTCGTACCATGTACAGGTCTAGATGACCGCAAGCGTGGACCGTCGTCACCGCAAACATCGCCCGCCAGTAAAAAAGGCAAGACAAGTGCCGAAGACAGCCATGATACAGCAAACAAAATACTCGAGGGATTCGAAACTGAGATTATGTGTCCGATGTGCGTACTGGTACCTGGTCTACTCGCCTGCGAAATGATGTCTTAAAAACATTGTAGATGCTTTGATGTCATGTGAGTGTTTCCATGCTGCATCGCAGTATTTGATCTCGTTCTTCTTTAGGGTAGCAGCGCACCTATGCAATCCTTGCGGCCATAGCTGCTGCGGAGAATGCGCCCAAGGCTGGATATCCCAGAATGTAAGATATTCTATTTTAGGACAAGTTCGGATTTTATGAGCTACTACAGAAAGCGTCTCCGGCATGTGCAGTGTGCCGCGCTGCGTTGTCAACGTTCAAACCACTTCTTCCCAATTATTCCCTTGATGCCGTAGTCCAGCAATACATCCGTGCTCTTGCCGTCAGCGGACAATCAGAATGGCAAGAAAAGGGAGACAGGTTAACAGAGTGGAGGAAGCGTCACGAGTAAGCTCCCCAAATCTATTCGGTTGATCGCATTGGTTCGTTTACGTACTCTTATTACAGCAAATGGAGGAGAATCGCCCAAGCGAATGCACTAATGGTAAAGCCAAAAGAAACCGCTTATCGTACAAGACGCTATCAAGGCGCTATCGTTTCCTACGTGCCACCAGTTTATGATTATCCCGGATCGTATAACGATGATGAAGATGACGAAGATGGAGACCCAACCTATGAAGACGATGAGGTTGTGGAGATTTTACCGCACCGAAGAGTACTGAGACGGTAACCAACGTTCGTTCCATGGCCTATATTCTTAAACGGACCTCATTCGATATTCTATACTTCTGTCATAATTGTTACTTGTAGTATCATAGTCGCAGTTCACGTTGCCTGCTATTCGCTTCAAGCAGCCAGCAGGACCATTTGCACTTGTTTGGTGTCGCACTCCTTGCAACGTTTTGGAGACCAATCGCGGAGTACCTTGACTTATCTGCTTGAATTCTGCCTTATCTTACACGTCACAACACGTAAATTGACCTACAGTGATATTGATGCCATCAGAAATTCTAGCACATTCAGTGCAGCTCGGTTCCTCATAATTCACAAAGGCCGCCGTCTTCAGAGCCTCCCAGGATATCACGCATGACTCATGTGCATGAGGCTTTCCCTAACACAGAGTTTAGACAAATTCCAAGCAGTTCCAAGTATGTCTATGAGCGGTGACCCGTTCAAAACGGCTTGCTAATCAACCTAGTATATTATTAGGTCGACTTTCAAGTGACCGGAACTACATTCCAGGCCTCTTCAGGCTTTCGAAATGATGACGATCGCAATCGCCGTTGACTGTGCATCCAATCACTACCAGTGCTAGTGCAGCTGATGCCAATGTCTTATGCTCAGTCAATCACAAACACGTCCTCTGACAGTGAAGGTGAGTTTCAAGCTAAAAATTACTTTGGGGCTCTGGATGAGATCCATGCTGTCCACATGTCACACCAGTATTTTAAAGGTGGGCGACTCAGCAATCATGTGGCTAACTTAGGTTCAGTTGCTGGAGCTGCACCGCTAGTGGGTGTTTATCGGGCGTATATGTGCATAGTACTCATTTCGATTCGTCCACCAGGCATCCGACTGTGGCATCAATTTCGAAGCCGAGGTGATAATTCAGATTCAGATTCATTAAACGCCTTTTCAGCTAACTCTGGTGTACTACTACTAGGTTTCATTGGCCCGGGGAAGATCACGGGGATATGTGCGATGCTTGTTCGTGATGGCCCGCAATCTCCCATCTATCGGCGTTCCAATCAACATATCCTATCAGTTGATAAAAGACTTCTCGAACCACTATAGGCTCATTCGCTCCGCAATCCCCTGCAGGTGTCAGTACACCCGAGAGCGCTTGGTTTAGTAGAGCTGAACCCTCAGTACTTACTGCTATATCAAGCGGCATCATGTTGAGGCTAGCCTTCGCTGTTCTCAGGTAATTTACTCACTGGCACAGCCACGACTTTGATTGCATTCTGCAGGGCTCGATGTACTTCGGAATGATCGGTTGCTCGAACCGCTCCTGGCACTGCTTTCCACAATGTCTACTTTTAATACGAACCTGGACTCTATTGGGGCAAGTTCTAGCGTGTCTCATGGGGCTTGCTTATTGCAGTACATTCTAACGTTCTCTCTAATTCCCATTCTCATGAATATTGTCCAGGCGTGCACAGCCAGGAGTGGCGTTGTTTCGTGCCACAGTCTTGCGATCAATGAAATATCCATTCGGTCGACTGTTTCGCCCGCCGCATATATTCACTGATCGGTTAATCTCATAGTCGCGCCACCCCCCCTATCCACCACAGGATGCTATGAAGCTAGCGTTTCGCCTTACGTGTGGGATTATGTTATTCTGGTGTATGAGATTACTGAGCATTCCGAACGTGTGTGGACTCCTTACATGCTCATTGCACGCTTCACGGTCGCGACATCCATCAAGCCATATTGCTTCTAACCGGTTACCAAGCAAATCACGCATAAACCATTGGTCGGTCGGTATCTTCAATCTTGCCCAGATTCTATGCAATGTGCATATTAGGTAAGGTCATTTCGCACATATATCCACCGTTGATCGCAGAAACAATGTGCTCATGTCCTCGTTGAACAGTCATAGTGCTCTTTGTTCTTGTGGGTGCTTACCCTACGATTTCACATTTCGGGGGTTTTCTGAATCTGAGAGTATTCGATACCTAAGTTGTTGGTCAGGAGATCTTACCATAATTCACGACGCAACACAAAGATTCCTCGAAGGTTGTCGCATATAGCATTACATCTTCGCAGCTGTCATTTAACCTAAAGACAAAAGGAATATCGCTATGTTGGCTCGGAGTTCCGGGTCAGCGTTGGCGCCTGAGTCCACACCAATGTCTGCAATAAGATCGAACTATGAAATTACAGAATATCATAAGTGGTGTTTCACATCTAGATTTCAACTTTGTGTTGTACGTATTTAAATATTTAGGAGGCAAACTTAGTGTAATTGGCACACCAGAACCAATAGGCCGCCTAAGCCCGTATTAGTATTGGAATTGTCAAAACAAAATTCTGCCGGGTATCTGTATTAAATCTCGTCGTCGTAATCATCTCCGTTCCGAATGTCTCTTTGACCAAGTCTCGATTTTGCACTGGTAGTAGAACTGAAAGTTGAGATCGACTGTGCGATAATGTCGTCTAACATATCAGGGGGGATGTCGTACTCAGATCCTCGGACCACGATGGCATACACCGCTGGAATAGCGTTCAGTACTTGTCCATGAGTGCTAGGTGATAGAGGAAACGCTACCGTCCTCAATCTTTTCCAGAGATTGTGAAGTTACAGCCTGTTTCTTGGATAACTCCCTCACGTAAGGCGTAAAGCGTTCGAAATCTACTCATCCACAATCACACCTTTGCACGCTATTGTCAAACTGACTGACTTGCCTGCCTTGCATTGCCGGACGAATGCACACACTTCTCTGGCTCTGACGCGACCGCCCTTCTGAGCTATTCCAGATATTGCAAATCGCATGAGTTCGCCAGTGACATCAGACAAGCCCAGCAAGTAATCTTCCTTTGGAAGAGTGAAATACTAGGGTCGTGCCGTAGAGTGCAAAATTCAGTCATACGGATATCATTGAGGTGTAGCATACGCACAGGTATGCCGTTCTCGTCAGAAAGAGAAAGCTGAACTTCCTGATATGACACCAGAGTGCCATGCTCGAGGTAGTGAGCAAAGCCCAGTGCTTCAATATACCTGAAGTCAAAGGCGTTCAACATATATGCCAACCAATTTGCCATGTTAGAGCCCACTCTTGGAGGCCGGGCGATACTGCTCTGTGGTAGTGCCAGAACCGCTCAGCTTGTACCTCGAGCCTTATTTGTGCATACAACGCTTGCACTTCCCGAAGCTTTTCACGACCGCGACGGACTACTCGTAGAGAGGGATTAGAGTCATTATTGGGCTCTTCTGTCATTGCTCGGTGGAGCAGGAAGATAACTTTCTTTGAAAGGTTTGTCGCATCCCGGCTAATCTATTGGAGGGGTCAGTGACGCAGTTGATTCTTTCGAGAGCCTGGAACCTTGATAAGTCGTTCTCTCCGGTCATGATGTTCGTCTATTTCTTGTCGGAACTCATCAAATGCTTCGATGACACTTTCTCTATGGGTTCTCATTTGGAAAGCGTGGGGGAGCCTGAGGGCGGTCGACGAACTTGAACACCGAGTTTAGTACGAGTTAGCGGAGGTATTCGAATTTCTGCTATTTTTCAATATATATTACAATAATATGGCAACCACATTGCAACATTGCCGTACCATTGCCTATCACCACTTCTTCGTATATTCCGTGCCTCCTAAAAACCACATTTTGTCTTCTTGAAGCTACAACTATCATAATGCCGTACGATCTCGTGACAAAGGTTTTTTTCGTCACGCTGAACCGGTTCGGAGTTTGAATAAGTATAAAGAAATTGAATTTTTGAGAATTGGGACTGAGCTTGCCAATGCATATTCATTTACATAATTAGGCCATTCGGTTAAGAACCCTTGTTCGTTTGAGTTGCTCTGAGTTGGCTTATCTTCGTACTTGATGGCTTTTCCATCCAAGCCTGGGTGTCCTGTGTGTGGGATCGTAGCCGCTGCAGCGGTTCATGCCCCCGGACAGTCCCCACGTTCACACAGTCCAGACGCGTCGGCAGAGCCAGAAATACTCTGGAGAGACGAAAATTTCACTGCGTACCGGGAGAAGGCTCATCCAGTATCTTCCAGTGGTCATATAATCATAGCGTTCAAGTAAGTCTTCTATCTACCATATCAGGTTCTTCAAGCACTTTCCCCTGATCGAATACCCCAGTCTCCATGTTCCATCGATATACACCCTGGTACGTAAAATTTCAGGCCTCCCCGCGGCGAAGAATCTTACCTGGCTTTGGTAGTCTTCCAGTGACTTGCCTCTTCTTGTGAATGTTAGAAACCTTGGCAGGAGGCTTTTATCCGCGTCGTCGCCGCCCTCTTCCCCCCCTTTCTCATCTGGCAATAGTTCCGCCGCATCCTCGGCACCTCATACCGAATCCCAATTTCGGATCGGCTTCATTACTCCACCTTTCAAGGACAACAAGATTCCTATCACAGATCATCTTCATGCACATGCCTATCTAGCCCCTGCCGATCTACTTGGCTGGTGGAGAGGTGTTGCATACGGTCCTCTCGCTTGGTATGACGTCGATGATTTGATTGCTGAGATTCGGTTGGATTTCTTTTTACGTAGTAATACCTCTTTCAAACTGACTATTTTGTATCACTAGGGAGTCAGTTTCGAACAATCGCGTGAAATCTGGTTACGATAATCGGATAAATGCCCCGATAGACACGGTTCCCGAGGCAGGCGCGCGAACTGGTGCAGCCAATGGTGACGAATATGCTGCTTCGAGTCTAGCTACCCCTGACCTTGAAGATGGTCTCATGTCCCCAAACCCTTCTAATACCTCCTTTGCCTCCAGTTCTAGTGGTCTTATACCCTATTTACACGTATGATAAACACATCAATTCCCATCTTGAAGTACCGGACACATTTCACGTACCTAGCAAGTCCTCGGACCATAATAACTCATCACAAACAACTGAACTTTCTTGTATATCAAGTATTGGAATTGCTTTCTCTAGCTAGCCTATTTCTATACGATTCAATGTGTAAATATCCAACATCAATGAGATTTGCTCTGTCATGATCTGCAAAATAAATTTCGGATCTCAAAGATCAAGCATCTGACAGAGCATCATGAACAATGGGAATGGACGAACTATAATTTACACTTACAATACGATGATCCGGTCAGTAACGTCGACAGAGCTGCCAGCTGATCATCCGTAAAGCGCCGGGAGTCTTCATGCCAAGTGTCTTGATGTGTTTTCCTAAAATTGCTCGCGCACCTGTGGATAGTTGTCGAAATTGGAATCTGCAGCGCAGAAGATCAGAATATGCAGTCAAGCAAATGAGGATTTGCTCACAGGATCATGTGTGTGTTCCAGCATCACTGTCGTCAAGAGCCCTGGCATCCATTTCTCAATGGTGTACGGGAAACTGTCAATGAGGGCGCATATGCCAATGATAGCGGCGTGCCGCTGACGAACAGCAGCATTGTAAACTGGCGACACGCGATCAGGGAGCTGAATCTTTCCCGCCAGTTTGACAAATCGGTCCTAGACCAAAGAGTGGATAAAATCAAAAGACGACGTAACTACCGACCAACCTTCAAAGTCACAACGCTGCGCCTCGGAGACAGTCGAAGTATTCCCGACAAGGTGCTGAACGAGAGTTAGAAACGTTTTAAAGACAGATTCCGAGACTCACGTCCCAACCATCTCTCGCACCTCCACGACTTCGTCGTCCAAGCATTGACACAATACCTACAATCAATTGGTCCAGGCACGAGATAAATCAATAGAACTACTTACGTCTAGAATGTCATTGACTTCGCTTTCGCTAATCAGAGGAAGTTGTCGGAAGTACAGAACTAAGTAATGTGATGTCGTCAAGCACCAGACTAAAGTAGTAACAACTTACCCTGTAGAATTGGTAGGGCCTTCAAGCGAACCTTCCATGACTGCAAAAGTGAGTCAAGAACAGTTACAGACGCTGGTAGATGTCTTACTGGTGACGTCTGGATGGCGGAGAATATAGCACTCAATAAGGGGCCGATCATTGATCGTGGAGGAGCGACTCCGCACATGCGAAAAAGAAGTACATTAGCATGCCTTACTAGCTCCTCGTTATCATTCACTAAGAGAATGATTTTAACATCGACTGGCATGTATCATTTACAACCGTACCTTCAGTGAAACGGAAAAGTTCAGGCTGAAAGAACCATAAATCTTGACTCTCAGCAGCTGGCGATAGACCACGTACCATAAGAGGCAAAATATAGTCGAATGCAGATATGGCATCAGTACTGTGGACTGACAGGAACAACCATCGGCAAACAACGATCCCAACTCTGAGAGTATTCAGCGGTCACTTTGAAGGAATGAATATCATCCATTACCTGTCATAGGTTGACTGATAGGCTCTCACACCTGGTAGCCGCTGCTCTCTCCACACTTTGAAGTTGTCCACGAGTTCGAGAACTCTGTTTGTGTGATAGGTACCACGTATGCCCATGATATCTGCGTCATCAGTCATTTCTCGACACTCCCGTACGAAAGCTTCGACATCGAGAGACGCAGGCTTGGGTTGCCACTATCCATCAAGGTCAATAACCTATGTATATAGCGGGATGCAAAAATCACCAACCTTGATACCGTTGCAGAATGCCATTATCTCAGCAACATGTGATCTTACCTGTTAATCCCCATTAGAATCATCACTGAATCACAAATAAGAATGTGAAAGCACTGACATCATCGTGTTCACTGTGCACCTCGCGCCAAAATCGATCCATGGTGCTGTCCGACCAAGATATGAATTTCCACTCTAATTCAGTGTAGAATGCCCGAAATAATGCCAGAACTTTGACAGATTCCAGGGATGATGGTCCATTGTAGTCCATGCTGTTAAATTGTTCAACGAGATGCTCAACGAGTGGTTGGAGTCGCCGCGGATCTTTGTGATGGAACATGTACTAAAAGTTGTTTAAATAAATGCACAAAGTTATAAGCTCTTGGTCACACACCCCGACAAATGAAGTCCAGATGGGTACAGTCTCTGTCTTCATGCTCTGATCTAGCGTCTTCTTAATGTAGGGAGTGAACCATTGCCAGATTTGATCTTGGGCCTCTTGTGGCCAATGTTTAGAACCTGCGACAGTCAGCATACAAAATTTTACATAAGTAAGCTGCTCACCGTTTAAAACACCAGCCAAAAGTTCTGCCGCAGCCCTTTGCTTGTTCTTATCTTGGTCGGCTAGTAATATCTCCAGTTTGGGCTTCAACAAGTCCCAGGGTTCATCACCCAATACTTGGACTATCTCGAAATTATGGAGGTTGATTGTGAAGTAACATTGGACTTACATATCGATTTGACGCATGATATATGGTCTTGTACTACAGTACTCTCGTGGTTCTCTTCAGCGAAGTGTCCGGAAAGTTTCTTCCAGAAGTCTGCATCCATTGTTATTTCACGTAGGCAAGACAAAGCCTCTGCGCTTGATGGTTCCCATTCGAAGGTGCTCTCCGACCTATGAGGTGGTTTGTATGCTGCCAGTGTACCACTCCAGGCGAGCCAGCCTTGATGTAATGTATCGCAATATATACTTCGATGGGAGTGAGTACTTCTTAGCGTGACTCTACAAGGACCCACCTGCTGAGATCGAGAGTCTCCGAAGATCTAATAGGAACCCGTAACTTGAAATTGGTGAGTATCTCAGCGGTCGCCGAATATGAACCCTCAATGGGAATGTTGCATTGTAGTGGGTTGATTTGGGAGAACAGAGCCAAAGCCGCTGGATTTTGACAGTACGATCGAAGCTTGATGTATCTCAGTGCTTTCATGATACCTCTTTGCGCATACTGATATATAGAGCAAGTCAGTTCGTGACTAATTCGATGTCAGTCATGATCTCACGTAGCGCTAATATCCACAAAAATGTCAACGTCCTTACAAAGACCTGGTAAACCGCAAGAACGCACCATAGTAGGATCGCTGTCACATACTTTCTCCAGGAAAAGATTAAGGTGACTAGGCGAAGTTGGAGTATCGCGGCGCAGCAGAGTGCGGAGAACCCTCACTGCCACTATCGCGTAGCGCCAATGTGTTGCAGTGTCATTGGCAATCTCGAGAACCGCTCGAGTCTGTTCAAGCCTCAGTGGTGAGACACATCGATAAGGATAGTATATTGCCTACTGTTCGATTATATTCTTCATTCATCAAACATACACGCTCAATGCGCTTCTCACGGGCCCGGATAGTAATGGAATCCTCTGACTTGTTAAATGACAAGCAGCTCTTCAGAGCAAGTAAGGATTCATCCAGAGCGGCATTCTTAACGTCATAGATGAGATAGCAAGGCTCCGAGAAGTTGGCCAGACCTCGAATCGGCTTAGAAAAGAAAACAAGAAGAGAAAGTGGTTCTTACATGTATCTGTTACCGTAGACACGCAATTTTGGATAGAAGGCTGGAAGACGTTGTCATCCAGCTTGAAGAAGGTCAAGAGGGAAAGTACCTTCTCATTATGATGGCACCCAAGGAGTTGCTTGATGATCTCTGGCACTAACGTCGGTTCTGCAGAAGAGTGGATCTAGCTACTTCAACAAAGGTATCCATATTACTCACCAGATATCGCAAATCGCCCTGAGGAGATGATTAGACGAGACCTATCACTGTCAAGAGGCGTGGCTCACCAAACGATGATATGTTCAACGTCCACAACGCTCCTTTCATGCGATCATCATCAGTACCAGGTTGTAGGGCTTTGTACAGTGCTGGAAGAGCTCGAAGACGAAGACCATCGTACACCTGCAAATGTGATGACCATAAGCTCATGACACCCGTAACATATATAGGCACCTACTGAAGTTAGGGATTCAAGAAGAGACTGGCTTGATCTTGAACGAAATGTTGAATTTTGATCAAGGAAAATGAACTGGAGTTCACTCACTGCCTCACTGTAAGTATGTGAGATTAATTAGAAGTATTCATTAAACATGAAACCAAGAACGATCAATTACCTGACGGATAATGCCACATTGACCATTCAACGACATCGTCCAGCAAGGAGTTCTCAAGTGGACCTCTAGCTCGCTCGATGGAGTTCCAAAATAGTCGAGAGGAATGATAAAATCTGGCACATGTAGAATTAGGAAGTTGAAACAGAAAGAAAAGTGAACGATGGTTTACCGGGCTCTTCGCACAAACACTGCGCGCGGCCAAACTTTCTGTCCTGAATATTGACGAGTCACGTCGATCTCTGAGTTGTATTGGTCGGTGTTTACATAGTAGCTGTGTGAAATATTCAGCAACGTCCACACAAGTGAAATCACATTACAGACCTATCCTTGCTGTCGCCGTACTCGAGTAAATAAGTGCGGATTGAACTGATCTTTGGAAGTGTGAAACGTAAGTCTTGAGGTACTATAAGAGTACGTACAAGCATCTGTACAGCATCAACTGTGTTCTCCTCGCCTTGTCTTTGCAGAGACAGGGATGCTGCGTGCAAAAACTCCCCGAATCGACGCCGGAGTTTAGTAATATACTTATATCGGGTATCTTGCGGGTCTGTGAGGCAAAACCCGGAGGCCAGAGGCTCAATTGATGCAATCATTTCAGGAATTTCATTACTGCGGACAGGTCAGACAAACACAATATGCCACGGGCGCCAACATGACGTACATAATATCACTTGAGGCGAGCATGGATTGCAACACGTCCGGTGATATGAACTCCTTGAAGAGCGTTGGAATTCCGGAGAACGCTTCTCGGACAAAACTGAGATAACTACTCAAAGGTATTAATTTACTGCTGGTTGATCAGTTGCTGTAAACTCACCGACAAAAGTCGTTCCTCCAAATGGCGTCTCGAGACGCTTTACTGCTTTTCAGTATAAGGTTAAAGGATACTGCACAAACCTACATGTTTCAAGCAATAAGTCAAGGCGAGTCATCGCAGGTTCGACCAACTCGCGGAATAGTTGAAGCGAAAAGTCAATCTCTTCGGTACTTGGGACATGCCATGAAATCTACAGTGCTGAGTATTGCAGACGCCTCCAATTGTCAAACGTTGCGCACCTTGACTTCACCGGGCTCAAATAACTTCCCCCAGTATAAGTGATGGTTTCTCTGAAATTCTGCAGGTACTCAGTCAATGCATCTTATAGTGCAAGCTGCGAACCTTTATCGTTCCACTGTTCGGGGTTGACGAACTTGTTTTCGATCGGGTAAGTATGAGTGAGTGTGATTAATGCGCTGGAGAGTAACTTTCCGCTCCAAGTGTACCCCCGTTTCGAGAAAGTTTTGTCGCGTAGCAGAGTTAATAATGACAAGAGTTCGCCCTTGTACACGAGAAGCTAAAGTGACATCAACTCGCGCCCGAGTAGCTGTTTTAGGATCACTAACCGCTGAACCATCACTATTCAGGTGTTTGTTAGCGCATGTAAGGTACTTGGAAAAGAACACACTTATAAACACAACCGCGGAGAATAGCGAGATCTATAATGTAACAAGGATATAAGCGCTCGACACTGCTACTGTTGGGATAAAATCCTACTCCAGTGTAGAGTCGCATCCGACGGAAGCGGCAATGACGGAGATGTCGTCCTCACTGAGCTTGCACCATGTTCTATTTCCGTGCGGATATTTGCCACACAGAAGGGCAAGAACTTAAACAGAGTTTTTTCGGGGTGGGCATTCGCAATGCATTCGACTAACTGATGTATCGCACGGACAGCATTAGAACGAACATTTGTGCTTGCGTAATCGAAAATCATGTTGAGCACGAGGTCGAAAAGTGGATCGGATAAATGGACACAGATTTGACTGCATGCACCAGTCACAGCATCCACCACTTGTACTGAAGAGAAATTGGTCAGTTAATAGAAACATTCATATGAAGTCAAGATACCTTCTGTAGTCCCTCCGGCTGACCCATTCGGTCCTTCTTCCGGGAGATTCTCAAGTAGCTGGATAACGCGACGTATGAAGCTGGCTACCCAACTCGCAAAACTGCCAGTGCTGTCTCTGAGAAGCGCATCCTCAGCTTCGTTAGACAACTTCAATTGAATGGTGTCCCCCGGGTCATCATCTAGAGTAATTTGACCAGAAGAAATGTCCACGTCAGAAGCCTCTGGACCCTCGGAGGATGTTACGTCCCCGAACATAATGTACTGTGACACTTCCGATAAAAATGTCGTCGTGCAAAGCTTATGAACAAGGCATTAGATAGGGGAAGCACTTGAAGGGGTTTAAATACCGTTTTAGTTGGGTCATTCTGCATTTGACGAAAGTGAGAGGGTAGCGTTCAAACGAGACTAGCTACTCACGAGATCGATGCCAGGTACAAGCAGATGCAGAATGGTGATCAAATGCTTAGCGCCTGGATAATAAATATCTCGGGAAACGATTGCAGGAACAATAGAGCTCAGTGCCTTGATCACGGACAATGTGCGCTGGGTCTAAAGAACTGTGAGAAAAAAACAATCGACGACAGGAGCAGCGGTACCTCAACGAGAGCCTCTAGCGAAGGAATAGCTCGTTCCAGAATTGGCTGGAATACCAGGTCAGGCTCCATGCACGACATGGACTTCAGAGCGCTCTGGACATTTGAAACAGTGGAACTATCCTGGGAGAAAACGGCAAGTAACACAACTGTCCGGAGGCACTTGACCAGTTCTTTTCTCATCTCTCGTGTGAGCCGGCGAGTCTGATCGGTAACCTAAATTTCTTCGCTAATTAAAGAGATACAAATGGCGTACCAAAGGTACTTTGCAGTCGGATAGTTGTTCTTCGTGCCAGCCTTGCGATTATGAGTTAATATTGCGTTAATAAGCACTTAAACTAACAGGGAGCTCACGTTTGTTGAACTCGTACACGATGTACTTGACGAAGGCAGTGAGCTATATGGCATGGTCAGCAATTGCAGTGTCAACCAATAACTTAGCGGAAATTCAAGCCCGATGCGAATAAACGACGAACATCGGATGTCCAACTTCCAGAGTTGGTGGGGTGGAAGAAATGTTCCGTAGAGGCAATGAGACGTGCGAGCGAATCCAGAGCTTTAGAACCACCTAGATATAGCTTCGATGGCCCCCACTTATGGAGTGGCACTGTAAGATAATCGCCTACGGAACCACTAACTTGGGGCGTGCTAACGCCTGAAGTCATTGGTGTACACCACGGCGTAGACTCAGTAGAAGGAGGTGCAGAAGCACCATCAGGGGTCATAGAGTACACGATAAGCTTGGCGAGAGATGCTAAATAAGATGTCAGCGGAACTGTTTCTGCGAGGGGAACCTGCTTACGGATACGCCAGTTTGCTTTGGGCAGCCTTCCAATTTCAAAACTTGAAGAAGAGTCGGCCGTAGGTCCCGTGGTGAGCGACCCAGCATCCTTCAGTGGAATTGCTACAAAAGGCACCGGTAGTCAGTCAGCCTTGATTGAAGACGTAAATTATCAAGGGCTGCCCACCCATCGAGGCAAGGCATTTACACATAATAAGATGCCATTCGTGCTCAGTGAATATTCCAACTTCCTTATAAAGGCCAGACCACGTCTGTCCTGCATGGTAATCATCTTGTTTCCACTTCGGTCTGCCCTCATCTTCAGACTTTTCATCATCGAGAATATCATAAATGCGAGCAGGATCACTGATAGTTGGGTCCACATGCATCTCTGCGAGGCGTGACAGGAATTGCAACATCCTTTCATCGTACATGTAGGAGTTGATAGACTCCCACAAACGACATAACATAGGGAGATACGATTGAGGATGTGTCAATGGTAAGAAGGTCAGAAGATAGTACTGTGACGAAAGAACGCTCTGCAGGCAAGCTAAGGAACGTGTAACTGTTTTTGCTGGAAAGAACTCACGTCTAGGTTGATCCCATTAAAGCCTGGCAAGAAAGTGCTCAGCATCTCTTCAATGGCCGCGGGGTGGAAGAACCTCCTCGATAGATCAGCAACGTAGCCCATACACCACGAAAGTTGGCTACGTCGACTGTTAGATAGTGCAATTATCGAAGAGTAAGTGTAACCTGCCTATACTCGAACTGACGTCGAGTTAAAAACAAGTCTTCCCGAAGGATATTATAGATAGGCTTCCACGGAAGTCTCATATCGTCAATGCTCAATTTCTTTTTCGAACGAGTCAAATTTGACAACCCATCCGCGCAGACGGCCATGACTTGCGTGGGCATACCAGGGGTCGTTGCGATATGAAAATACAGCTTCGCAAGGCGAATGCGCTTCTCCTTTGGAAATGGGTATTTGAGCATGTTCCAGCTACAATGCCCGTAAGAAAATTTGTATTCCTGAGTGAATTACTGGCGCTCACTAAGTGATCATGCTGTCCCACTGAACAAGACCCGGTTCGAAGTCCTTTGCCTCTACGCATTGGGCTATACGCCTTAGGATAAAATCCAACATGTCTTGCATCCGTGCATTTGATTCAATTGCATATGGGAGAGAAGTCGCATAAAGCTTGAGTTTCTGCATGTAGCGGTCAGGCGCGTGGTTGATGTCGTCTGGAATTTCTGTCTGATGTATCTCAGGACCTGGATCATTCAAGGCCAGGCGAGAAACATCTGGAATGATAGTCATGGTGTTCTGTTAACAATGTCAATGAAAGTAAATTGTAAGAGAAATAGTTGCCCGTTCGGAGAAGCAAGAATTAGTCAGGGTTTGATCCACAACCGACGGTCTGCCATCTGCCAGTGGCCGGTCGGATATACGACATTACCGCACCTTCTGAACAGCACAAGATCTGATTGGTTTTATGTGCGACATACGATAGTGGTAAGGATAAATGTTATTATTACTGACGCTCAGGGTACGATATGGAATGTGACTGCTTGTTGTTGTATCGATCAACATCAGTCCATAGCGACGCTGAAGGCCGCATCCTGCAATTCTTTCACAGCCTTTTCCCGCACCATCTCCCAGATGATATTCCGTTGTGCCCGAGTATCTCCAAGACCCTCCCTAATCTCCTGAAGACGCTCGACATACTCCCTCCCATCATCTTGTAGCTCCCGCAAAGTTGCTAGAGACTTTTCTAGACTGTCCTGCTGCATCTCCGGGGAAGCAAATTGTGACGGATCAATCACAGGTGGAACATTGTCGGCGTACGAAACCAGGAAAAGCTTATGAGCTGTTGGGGTAAGATCTGGAGCGCGAGCCACCCTACGTTCCTGCTCGTCTTCTTCGTCCTCAATATCTTCCTGCTCTTCCTGTTTCGGTATCACACGCTCCTCGTCCAATTGTTTGTCTGGGTCTTCACTGATGACTTGCCAGAGCCTCCCAAGAGCACGTCTCATGACCGCTTCTCCTTCAATAAGACTGTTAGTAGCATATTCCAGTTCGTCCAACAAACTTGACCGGAACGAATGCGTCACAGACTTATCCATGACAAAAGAGGCGAAACTGAAATGCTGACCGATAGGTGGTGGATAGGGAGCAAGGAGTGGTGGCGAAGGCGACCGCATATGAGGAAGGCAAGGCGGGGAGGGCGATCGTCTTTCGGGTAATAAACATTTGATGCGTTTACGGGCACGGTCCTCAGCCTGGTTGAAGGTTAAGAGTGTTTAGAGTAAATAGCTTAGCTCACCTCCCAGTCGTCCATGCCAGGGCCCCATGAAGCCATTTTTCCCTTGCGAACCCATCTACTGCTTTTCTTCATCTTGTTTCCCCAGTTACCGCCCACTATGCTGACCGCCAAGTCTTCATCATCTGAACTTAAGCCTTGCGAGGGGTAATACCACGCGTTGTGATCATTGAGGACCAGCAGACTAAACTGGTTATGAGATCTCTTAAATGCACGCGTATTCAGGACTAACCTCATTTCTTCATGGGCTCTTTTTGGTGCGCTTTGCATAGTATCTGTTGAACGTTGTGATAAACCGATACAAAATACTGTAGAGAATTCGGCACTAGCTTCGTCACGTGCAGCATAGTCACGCTTAGTGTCACTGTGACCTCTGACCATACACAAAATAACAAATTATGATTGCTGCACTTCTTGTCTGTTTCATGATCACAGCTTATTGTAAAGCTGAGAACAGGCAGATTCGATATAGCTAGTCACTGTCTGTTTTTCTGTATGTTTTTACCACATTTTACAAATCAGCTTCGTCTCCAAAAAAAATTGGCGTGACAGACTGACAGTCACACTAAAATATACGGTAGAAATCTGCAGAGTCCAGACTCCAGACCGAATCAAGTGCTAAGGTGCTTCGCGGCAACTTCAACAGGTTTTTCTATTTACTAGCTAGGGTTCTCGCACGAAGGTACTTATACATTGACAGCACAGTTTTCGTCAGGCAACGCAGGTGACGAGGTCACGGTAGGAAATCTTTGTCAAGGTACAATCATTGAAAATCTTGAGAAAACCAAGGAATTACTGGAAATTTTCTCGATTTCAAGGGGGAGGTTTTCCCCGATGAAACAAACAGCACTGTTCAGACATTATGTTCTTCGAGTGTTAAGGCGGTCGTATCTCTACTAACCCGATGTCCGTCATGATGTCGTGATCTGTCGCCGTGATACTGTGAATAGAGGCAACTTGCGCGATGATACCGCGATCCGGTGCGATCATCCTAGATCCTTGCCGAAGCATGGTGCCAAAAGGCAATCCAAGGCGAACGATCAATCGTAATACAGAACTCCGAATTTACACAGGAGAAATCGGTCACAGGGACGGATAGGCTGTCTGCCGAAGTTTGGCGAGAATGTAATGAGCTTGTCTGCCTTGGCTTCATACGTAAAAGTATGGTCCCTGGTCTTGAGGTCTGACTTCCGTAACAGGGAATGCGGTTGCAGCACACTCCCCAAGAAACGAGGAGGGCTACGTTATAATAGCTTTTCCAGCTGAAAGTTGTCCCTGAGTAATATCCGCGCGAACGGTTGCACTTGGGGATTATCACCGGTGAGTTCGCAGGCGTACGCCGTGGTCGCAAATATATATATATGCACATACATACACAAACCGCCGGTCTACGTAGCGAAATGATGTTCCTTGCTTGTATTTCGTAATGAATGGCGAATTTGCCCAAGATTCTAGGATGACTCTGCTTGCGGCTTCGAGACTGTTCTCGTAGTTTGCGGACCTAGCGCAGCGCCTTCCTTTCTTGCGACGCTTGCTTGCTCAAAGCTTTGCATTCCTTCTAGACCCCACCTACCCATCATTGCCTTGTCCTGCAGCAAAGTTAGTTCTCGTCAGCTACATGCAAACCTGAAAAATGATAGATTTACCTCATCCCATGGAGAACCTTTGTCGATCATCAGCTAGTTGTTCGCACGTAGATTAAAGACACGTACATGGAGTGGTCAACATCTGTTCTCCCGTAAACACCGCATTAGCGCCGGCCATGAAACACATGGCTTGCTCAGATTCACTAAGCGTGTTTCTCCCCGCTGCAAGTCTAATGATTGTTCCTGGGAGGACAACACGCGCGGTGGCGATCGTCCGCAGTAAAGTATGATGAGCAACCCGCTTTGAAAATACGTCAGCTAAAACATAGACATAAATGAAAGAAGCACACTTCATTTCCTTCGAGTGGAGTGCCTGGTATGGGTACGAGTGCATTTACAGGGAAGGATTCAGGGTGTTCCGGCATACTTGTAGAAAAAATGAAAAAGTTATAAGTGACAGTTGAACGGTCGAGCACAAACATACTTGGCAACTTCCTGAATCAAGCCGATGCGATCCGCATCTGACTCTCCAAGGCCTAATATACCGCCAGAGCAGACGCTTATTCCAGCATCTCGAACTGCGCTAATGGTGCCCAGGCGCTCGTCGTATGACCGCGTCGTGATGACCTGAAAAAGATACAGGCAGCAACTCCAAAACATAACATATAGCAAACCTGCGGATAAAATTCACGCGACGTATCGAGATTGTGATTGTATGCAGTGAGGCCGCTAGTCCAAACAGATGTGAATTAAGTTGAACCTGAGAGATAGAAAACACATACGCCTCTTTCAACTGTTTTGCTTGCTCTGGACTGAGCATACCAAGAGTCGTGCAGACTTCCATCCCCATACCCCGGACCTCTCGGACCATTTGAAGAATTCTTTCAAACCCTCTCTTGCGTCCAGCGAGGTCCCTCCATGCTGCACCCATGCAAAACCTTGTGCTTCCATTCTCTTTGGCTTTTCGTGCTGCTTCGATGACAGGTTCGATATCAAGCAAACGTGAAGCCTTCGTCGGGGTGGAATATCTGGATGACTGGGAACAGTACGAGCCTGAGTAAACGAGTCAGTATCGTTATTCGGTACAATAAGCTCCTTACAGTCCTCAGAGCATCCACCAGCTATAATGCAACGTTCAGGACAATGATAGAGGGGATAGATCGGGAACAAGCGCACTCTTGATATTCATAAGTGTGCATAGTTGGATCTTGCTAGGGTCATGATTCTGACGATGGATGCTACTTGCGCGGAAGACAAGATCTAACAGAGGACTGTCATAAATCTTTTGGATTTCTTGTCGCGTCCAGTCATGTCTTTGTGGTGCCAAGCGGGGTGTATGGGTTACAGTTGCAAGTGATCTGCTGAATCTGGGAGTAGATAGCCGAAGAAACCCACTGAAGTTCATGATGAACCGAAGACGATTCGAGGGTATGCCTGATGAGAGGTAGAAGGTGATGTACTATAGTAGATCTATAATTGTCAATCACACAACAATCACACGTATCGGTTTAAAGTTTGTTATCACCGAGACTCCACGGCTGACTACGATCAGGAATACGGGGATCATCATACTTTTATGATAATGACGCGTTAATATAATATTTATGCTACAACCTTCTTCATGGCATAACGGACAAGTGCCAGTGCGATTACAAGTTACAAGTGATATGGATTCTGTAAACCATAAAAATATCTGGGCTAGGTATCAGCGGAAACATATGTATAGGCGAAGCTTGAGTAGAACTGATTTTTGGGAGATGGGGGGAAACCTGCTTGGTTTCAGATACCAACGCAGTGTCACTGGGGTCGAGCTCACCGGAAGAGTCATGTTAGTATGTGACAATTTCTCAACCTTTGAACGCCTCATTACGGTCATGTTCTATTTTTTCCCTGGCCGACTCTCCTTCCGATGGTCAGGAGCTCCAGATGATGAAGTAGCACGCCTAGTGCCCTTCTTCTCCCGTGCAGGTGAGGGTGCGGGGGAAGTCAACGAGATGTTCCGCATGGCACTGGACAAGCATGCATCCAATTTTTGTGCATCAATTGTTGCTGTCCACTGCCGGAGTGTGTACGCCGCTAATTCACGGGAATAGAGTAATTTCTGTTGTTCCAAGGATTGGGTCGGCATGCTGAAAGTTTGATGGGACCAAATAGAATAATGAAGACTAGGCTCGGGTGTGAGAATGGACAGATTACTAGTAGCCTTATATACCTCGTGGTCGAATAATCTGTCTTGACTGTGACTTTTGCAGTTTATTATTTTGCCATGGGGGCCAGCATGACGTTTTTGGAGTTGCGCATTGGTGTCAACCCGACGCTAGTGAGTAGATCGGACTCGGAAAAATTCCGCCGATAACATCGAAGACCTGAACAAGCCATCACGGGGAGTCAGAATGATACACGGGCGCTTAATCCTATACAATTACAATACAACTATAGTACTGAGAATGTAATACGACAGGAAATCGATAATCAATGAAAGTGCAAAGATAACAGCCATGTATGAGAATGTTCAATGCTACACACACTCGATCTGAATCAAAGCTACGAAAACAAAGTAATAAAAGCAAAGGCAAATGGTATGATAGACGTTAAACGGTGTGGTATGGTAGAACATTGTCCGGATTATCGTTCGTGGTTTTTGTGGCATGAATAGGCGTACAGGCAAAAAGTGCGATCTCGTTAGAACTTCATCGGCGACGAGTGATTAAGGGAGGGAGGCTGATAGCCGTTCATACACGGCGCCAGGCAGGAACAGATGTGCCGCTCTTGCCCTTGGGAGGTGCACCTAGCATTACACCACCGGTGAGAACAGTGGTCTTGCCTCCATCGTAAGGGGTGACTTCAGTCTTGGAAGTGTCAATAAAGACACGAGCCTGCCTGGCCCTCTCACGACGGGAAAGTTGGGATGACTGACTGTCATTTCTAGAGGACAAAGTAGAGCCGGTCATCGAAGAGAAACAGGAATCCGAGTCGGACGAGCGATAGCTGGAGCACGAATCGGAAGATATAGCAGACAGCGGCGATTCAGAACGTGGAGGAGCAGGGAAACGGTCAGTGATGGGGGTCATCCAAGTGGGCGCGCTGACTTCGTCAGCGATCAAGGCGAAAAGTTCATCGTCATCCGTGTGGTCATTCTCCAAGAGCTGTTGGGCAAATGTCTTAGATTTGGATGGCAGCTGGCTTGAATGCGTATGGGGTGGCACGAAAACGGTCTGAGCTATCAGCTCCTCTGACCAGACGGTAATGAGCTCAGTGCCCTTCCCGAAGCGCACGGAAATGCATCCTGGATCGACAAAGAAGTCGAACTCTTGTCCGCCCAAGACCGCAATCCAGTCGAACCACTGAACACTGGATGCAAGGCATGCGGCATATACGGCACGTGGGGGGAGGCAATTAGGGGAGAGGGTGAGGCAACGCCGGCCAGAACCACGAAGGGGTTCCTTGGGAACCCAGGAAGGGGCAAATAGTGCAGTCAAGTTTGCCTCGAGCGCAAGCTGAAGCCTGATGATTGTGGCGACAGGGTACGTAAGGACAAGAGGACGAGTGAGGTAGGCGATGGCCTGAGCGAGAGTGATGGGAAGACTGGATGTAGTAGTCATGATTGTAAACGAGAAAGCGATTGGAAAGGTTGAATAGATGGTAATAACAGAAATCGTCCTGCGATGATAGATGCGGGAGTGAAGCGCGCTGAAAAGGTACTTGAGATGACTAGTCTTCTAGTAATACTGAGTTTTGATTTAGACGGGGAGATCGAATATGAGCAAACGTCTGGAATGATATTAAGTATGGTCTCATGAAGTAAAACTAAAACGCTGGCTCACCTAACAGACTAGAGGGAGAGGCCATGAAGCAGATTAGCTGAAAACGAAACGGAAGTTCAACAAAAGTATAACGAACCTGGCTGCAAGGATAGAAAGTTAGTAAATTGATGACTGGATTATCAAAACCCGGATGGAGAGTATGGGAGGTTATGGGGTTAAGCTTTATATGTATTCCATGCCAAGAACAGCCGCCAGGCGTAAACAAAGGCATGCTGCTGGCAGAGCGCCCTCCATAATGGTCGCGAAGTGAGAACAAAAGAACATGGATAATTTCCTTTTCTGACAACAATAGTAGGACACGTGCTGCCGGCAGTCGACTCTACGATCTTCCAAGTAGAGGACAAAAACAAGTTTGCGCCAGACCCTTTACGCGTACGTTTTGATATCCGCCCAAGGTTGCTATTGTTTTCTCTGCGAGGAAGCGTATCCTCACATCATTTCCTTGGTCCTTATCAGAAACACCGCTGATGATATTTGAATTGAAGCACAGGAAGATGTTCCAATCCTATCATAATAAGAGGTGTCTTCCTTTCATATGACCTGACTACGGGAGACTGTGAAGGGAAGTCGGCTTGATAGTTGACGACGTCAAGTCAATTGGTCGACAAGCGGACCCGGTCGAGCCTGAGCGGACGGTTCCGCAAGCTTAGTCAGATTGACTGTACCCATCACTTCATCGAGTTTTCTCTCATCTTCGATCGTCAGCGTCTCGCTTGAGCCATCAACAACGCCGACAACAAAAACACCCAGATTAAAGCTCGCCAAAAATGGTACGGCATCTGCATGTTCGGTTTACTTGTGCGAAATCCTCACGGAATCCGCCCAGCCTCTGGCTATCGATCTATTGAACCCCTCTGCAGAACATGAGCGCAAGCAGCATAAACTCAAGCGTCTCGTCCAATCCCCCGATTCTTATTTCATGGATGTAAAATGTCCAGGTACGTCCCGTCCCGTCAGAGCTGATAATACTGATCTCACTGTTTGCTAGGATGCTTTGCTATTACTACTGTGTTCTCCCATGCACAATCAGTCGTGCTTTGCGGCTCGTGTTCGAGTGTCCTCTGCCAACCTACGGGTGGTAAGGCGAGACTAACTGAGGGTATGTTATTGACATGCGATGCTGACAAAACCCTAACGTCATTTTTGCAGGTAGTTCATTCCGTCGGAAGAATTAGATATCAAACTCTTCAGACTTTCACTCACATTACACTTCGCGCCGCCTTTGCATCCTTGCCCCAAAATCATATGATGTGCTACTGGGCTTGAATTGTTACATCTTCTCTCGCAAAATTTGAGATCTGACTTGTCATTCATGTACTTTCCCATCGGCGCATATAATACATACGATCTTTCTGATCTGTTCAGTCCTACAATTACCTCAACAGCCACAGCCGGTGGTACACGCTCAGAGTATGTAAGATGGTGAGGTAGCCGAGTGTCACATGTCGACATGTCAACTCTGGTTTACACATGTCCAACACGACGAAAACTTTCTGTCGAAGGAACTTTAAACGCTCAGTGTGCGTCTAGTACAACTGGTCAAAGAGTCACTGCATTCTGCGCATGACTTTTTCTTTTCAAATCCAATCATAGCAGTTAGAAGGTACGCAAACAGCTTACCTTACGCTTCAAGTTACTATACGCGCGCACCACAGCCTATCTTACGGCCACTAGCACGCCAACTTGAAGTGTTGGCGCTGCCACGTGCCGTAAAGATTAGGTACGAGTCTCGTTTAGGACAGATTTGATGCCGAAGAGCCCATCATCCCAAGTAGACGATGAACTCCGAATTGAGCACAGCCCAGTGAGTCAGACCGGTCTCACCACTCCAGTTTACTAATGCATGTTGTTCATTTCCAACTTTCTTGGCAGCACTAAACCTTATCGAGACGTCCTCGATGACTTATCACGCTCAGGTTCCGTGAGGTGTGTCAAGCGACCCAGGGCAAACCCGGCACTGCAAAGACCATTAAATTTCCGACGTGCAGCTTTGAAGGCGGCCTTACTAATTGCCGCGTCTGAGATTGAATGGCCTGCTAACGGTATTACTTTCGATGGTTGCATTTACACTGATAGGTCCGTTCCTTGCAACGGGTCAGCTTCCATGAACTTAGTACATGACATTTCCTATCTTCTCCCATCGACTCCACACCATGTGACAATGCTTACTTTTGCCGAATAAAACAGAATTCAGGAACCAAATGCTGGATTATATCTACCGCGAACGCTGTCATCATCTGTCCACTAAATTTACTGTTCCCTAACAACATGCCTCTAGTCTCAGATGATCCCTCTTGGTGGCCGATCATTAATGCAAGCATTGTTTCCAGTTATTTTATAGGTTCGTGGAGAGTCTGTTGGTTGATGGCAGTGATATCCCAGTCTAACCTTGGCCGTTGTTCTACAGTGGCCGCCTCTGTTGGTGTGGGGTACGATTGGGGTGAGCAAGATGGTTCCTAAGACCTGCTGAAATTCCTTAATAATAACATCTCCAGCACTGACATTAGCACAAGAGGTAAGTTGATTCTATTTCCGAAGCAGTCATCTCTCTAAGAATGACTTTACAGATCGAATTGATCTGGGTGAGTAGAGTCCTACGTCAGGAGAACAAAAACATTGATTTACAACAGAGGCAACGTTGGTCCCTGATGACTGCCTTGTATCTATGTGTATGCGCCTTAGATTATAATTGGGGTCGGCAACTCGCGCTTACTTGAAAATCTTCTAGCTGCGATATGTTGGACTAGTATATGCCGTGTATGTTTGGAAGGTTCAACATTGTCGCCATGCTAATGTATCATCTTTTATAATCAGCCTCAGCATACTGGGTATGTCTCCTCGCATACACAATGATTATTTCTGACCGGCGGCATACAGCTCAAGTCCCGACAATCTCGTTGACAGACACAGTGAGAATTTTGCACCGATGCCTGCCATTTCTGTATATTCAGCTGCACCCTCATGTAGGGGTGAGTGAGCTTCTTAAGCAGCTCATTGCTTTCATGTAATGATCTCCACAGCTGTGAGTCGATTTGGAATGTATGATCCTCCGAGGCTGGTCACTAACTGGATTTTTTAGGTTATATTTACTTTGTCACGTTAAGTTGGATCACTTTTGTTTCGACTGCAATGCTAGGCGGTGAGCCTTACACCTGCGACACTTTGATCAGTGACACTGACTTTCCTTAACAATGCAAGTCATCATGATCGTTCGTTTATATGCCATGTATCAGCAATCCAGAAAGGTGCTGATACCTCTCGTTGTCACCTTCCTGGCTCTCAGCATCATCAATGTGACGACATCCGGAAAAGCAACTAAGAATAGTTCGGCGAGTAAGCATTCATCATGGATGAAAAACCGGTTCATCACGCTCATTGGCAAATACCAGTGGTTCTCATTCTCTCCGGTAGCTACGTGTGCTCCCCTAGCTTTAATGGAAATGGCGTACTTCTGGTTGACCTCACTTGGATAATCGGCATCGCATGGGAAGTCTTTGTACTGTCTCTCGCAATCTGGATTGCTGTAATACACATTCGCGAACTGTCACGATCATCAGCAAGAGGGATTCTCGGGGACTGTTTCACGGTGCTCATAAAAACACACGTGGTTTACTTTACGGGGTGAGTTCATGATTTCATGCGGTTCTCTTTTTTTCACTGAAACGTGCTAGTTTCGTTGCTGTGTCTTGCTTCCAGATCGGTTATTTATCTCCGGTGCTGTCAACGGTATGTCGATCCGATACTCACCTCTGTATGCAAGCACCATTCATCATTTCTATAGAACCCATTTTCTTTGGAGACTCAGATATATCTTGGCTTTTCTCAAATTCTCACGCTCGTACAGATGGTCGTGCTGGGACCGCGCCTGATCCTCGGTGTTCGAGAATTTAACGCTAGGCTCGTGGCCGACTCTGATGCAGGAATGGTTATGACTTCAATCGCTTTCCAAGAGCGCGTGCATATAACAACTGGCAGTGGTGTTTAGCCGGGAAAATGCTCAAGGTGATTGACACTTGTCGGATTACTCGGCAAGGAGCGGGACAATTTGCTTTTTGTTTTCAAGTTTTGTCGTCGTAGTTATTTGGTGTCGTGAAGTAGATTCATAAGAGAAATACAAAACGATGAAAAAAGTATTGTTGCATCACTATGACAGTAGCTAGATTTTTGTATCTGTTGCGATATTTGAACAATTGCACGTGTACTACAGTAGTGTCTCGCCAGGGTTCAACATTCCTTGTCGAGAAGCCTATCACATGAGGCGGAGAATCTACAGAGTCTTGAAGACGTCATCGTAATTCAATTAAGTACCAAATTTCGGTTGTATCTTCAAGTTAGTGTCACACAGATAACATGTACTCTACAGCTTTGCCTTGTTTTCAGTAGGACCTCGTACGTTAGCCCGTACCACGCCCTCTTGACAAGTGACCGCAACCAGGTTGCCAGATTGTGAGTACAACTTATATAGCATCAGAAATTCCGAAAAGGCCGCGGCAAATATAAACACCACATACCCTGCCATGAACCACTGCTCTACCGGATGTAGCTCGAGGACAAATTACCTACATGAGGAAAGATGTGAACAAGAATGACTTTCAAGAAACGATAAGACGCCTACCACGTAGAGTAATCCATCTTCACAACAAAAGTTGTCGCTAACAGCAGTTGAGAACACAGTGGGTCAAGTAATGGAAAGGAAGCATACTCATAGTACCATATGGAATGATCTAGTGTAGACTAGGTGGAGTTTGTAAGCGGATTCGAAGGCACAAAACAACACCGTACTCACAGTCATGGCATGAGCGTCAGGACCATCTGAGTATCGCTTGAGTTTAAGAACATCAGACGCAGCGGAGATGCTAGATATAGCGCAACATGAGAGTATCTCCCGTGAGTCGAAGGCTGCTTACAAGTTGAGGTCCGAAAGGTATGCCAGAATACACTGATGATATGGATTAGACAAGAATCAACTAGTCATGGCAATATCGTACCTTCTGGTAAGGTGCCCCGTAATGTGATGCTTGACCTGTTCGGGCTTGCATCCAATGCATGGATGTTTGTGTACCATTCTCGGTGGTCAATCCAGCCCTTCTGACTGAAATTGGACCATTTTCCTTTTCCTAGAGGCAAGGTAAGCTGTATTGCGAACGAAAGTAGTAGGGAAGACAATACAAGTGCATAAGACAATAACAGGTCCCGAACTTTCGCAGGAAGGTCCTCCCTCGCAGCCCAGCGTTTGTACAGCACTTCCTCAAGCTCGCACTCCTCAAGTGGGGGCACCTCGGGCATGGGCCACTGATATGTAGGTTGCCATGGTTCCGGCTTGTGGTAGGAACACATTAGCTGAAATATCACCTTTCCATTCTGAACTGCTTTGACGCTTCGAGTAGTGTATGACCGCCCTTCCCGTAGCCTCTCGACGAAATATATGATAGGAATAGCAGGAGATGCACTCAAAAGAAAGTAACACTAAATGGAATTGAGTATTGTCGACCAAGAAGTTATACACGCGACTCACGTGCAAAGACTAGTGGGTGACAGCGTTCCATTAACTTTCAGTCCCGGATATGAAGAAGTATACCCTTACATGCAGCCCGAACACGGGATCAACACAATTGGTAGCGGCGACTATTGCTTGTGAGATGACCTGCCCTCCGAAAACTCCTCGAGCCCTGGTGGGTTTGAATAAAGTCTTTGACCGAAAGAGATTTACTTCGATCTGCTCAAGCTCCAAAGAGGTGGAAATCTTGGAGCTCTCGGCTTGGTTTGGATCATCCATAGTAAATGCCTGGGATGCGGCAAAACAGCTATTTCGTGTGGCCTGGGAGGAAAGGCCTGACTACTGCAATCTTCGACGAGTCTAGTGGCAGTGACTCGTGAGGTGTTCCGGGGTAAGTACCGGTAAAGCTGGCAATAATTATTAGTATGAAACCGAAAGCAGGTGAATTCCACCAACTGGATCACCCGCTGAATGGGCGATGAGGACAACCAGCTTAGTACTAATCGATAACTACCCGGTTGAGTTTGTGAACGGGAAGTGCACGGTGACCGGAACCTTTTTGACCCGGCTATATGATTCTTAGCGGCCTACAGCTAGGTAACCGAGTAAAAAATCACAGGAAACTGCAGGTCGGGATTGGTAAAAGATGCGTATGTGCAGCTTGTTCAAAAATGTGTAAGACGAGTGTATGATATTTATGGTTGGATACAATTATAGGTTCGGACTAGACCAAGTACGATCCCAGGCAGGCGCTGAAACAAATCAAAAGACCTCGACGTCGATGGTGAATCCACATTCATGGCAAACTTGCCGACCCATGCCATCCCCAAGGTCCTCCGTTACTCCGAAGACATGTTTGTGCTCCTGATCTTTTCGTCTTTGCCACACACCTTCTCTAGTCCGTCTGCGCAAGTCTCGCAGTCCTTCCTCGAACTTCTTGTTTTTCTTGTTTTTCTTCTCTTCCGTTCGACGCTCCCATTCAACGTCTAGAGCCTCTGGTGAACCCCATTTCTTCCACGCAAAATCTTCGACTTGATAACGCAAGAAGAGCATCATATTCGCGAACGTTGACTTATGAGGATTAGCTTTCAGTAGATGAGGTAGCAGCTCTCGATCCCGAAGTTCAGCTGGATCTATCAGTATATGCACTACGACCAAGTCAACCACTCACGGTCAGTTAAGAGGTAATCCTGATCGTCTGTCAGAGAGGATGAAAGTGTAGGGAAAGCTAAGACTTACTTCTTTGCATTCAGTCTTTGTCAACAAACTGTATTTCTCTGGGTATTCATCCTTGCATTTGTTACATACCAGGGATCCAAATATCTTCTTGTACGTGTAATCAATGTCGATAGACTGGCATTCTCTACACTTCGGGTTCAAGCTCGGATCCAAGTACATTGCTGTGATATCACTATCATTAGGACCTCAACAGAGAGGAAAAAGTAAGACTTACGCGGTTCCAAGTTCTGCTTGGCTCGTTGTCTTTCTCGTTCTCGCTCTTTCGCCCTTAAATCTTCGTCCACCTCCTTCCCATCCTCGACCAAAAATCCACCTTTCGAGTTGACCATTTTAGACAGGTCATAATCAAAGTACTTGCCGAGGCGTGAATCACGCTTCAGTGGCTTAGGAGCTGTCGGTGAAGTGGACACAGCTGGGATCACTTCGAGTGGGCGTTTCTGGTTCGGATTTGGCGTAGATGACGGGCCTGCCTCCTGTTCTCGTTGTCTCTGCCTTGCTTTTGCTGTGGTAGAACTGCGTTTAGCTGAAATATGGACTGGAATGTGGGTACCCCCGTGACATTACTCATGTACCTTTGAGGCGGTTCAGCTCAATGCGCTTGACTTGCTCGGGCGTCAGAAGCGAGTTCTCGGCAGTGGAAAGCGTAGGAGAAGTATTCCGTCCTTCCATCATTAATGTTGAGACCTCTAGTGATTGCTAATAGCTTTACTAGTAAGAAGGGTCGGAGACGGTGTTTCCGTTCCATATGACAAAGATTCGAGTTTTACGGATTAGGAAGTTGGTATTTTTGCCGATGAATGAGTGAACAAAACTGATTCGCTGAGCGCATACGATGCACTGTCTGCAAGCTTTTTCCTGGTGTTCGATTAATATATCGGTAGTATAACGACAGCAATGATAGCAAGCAATATACAAAGTGGCCAGCCGAAGCAAGTCATCAACTTTCTATATTTGTTGCCGTAGCGTCATTCGTTTTTGGCGACTTATCGCCCGAGTAATGATCTGTTGTGCCATTGGCGGCAACTGGTTCGATAGGTGTAGGCCCGCTTTCTGTGGTCGTTGGAGTATCGACTTCCATCGGCAAATGCCCGCTCAACACGGGGCGAACCATCGTGGTGTGTCCACTAGGACCAGCCCCATGGGTCGAGCCCGCAGCACCCGAACTCAAGATGCCCACACCGATACCAAACCTCCTTCCACCAGCAATGTCCGCCTCGCTTGAGCGGCTTCTCGGTTCGCTGTCACGATCCCGATGCTGTGCGTGGTCTCTACGCCCCCCCTCTCCCTCATCATCCGAGTCAGATAGTTCTCCGTCCGCTTGGACGCGAGAGTCCAATAACCGTCGGTGTCTCCTGGTATCAGGAGGAATCAAGTCTTCATCCTGATCGGGGTCATCCATGTCGTCGTCTATCGGCATTTTTGGAATATCTGGCAGTTTGATGAACATTCCAGCACCTTCCAAATACCCTCCAAATCCATACCTGTCATATGAATACTGGGAGGCCCTCCCAAATGTCGCAGATTTTCGAGTACAATATTCTTGACACGTTCCAGGTACTCCGGTGTATTCATATCCTCTGTATTTGACGCCCTCACATCTAATTCGTAGTCTGGTCCAAAATACTCGTAGTATTCATTCACGGGTATTTCTAGATCATGTCAGTACGAGGTGAGAGAACTGCACTGAAAGAAGGCCAACCTGGTGCCAGTTCAACGCCAGCTGCCAGACCAGTCTCATAGGCCCATGCCCGACTGACATTGCGCATCGTATAGCCCCCACCTCCAAGCAGTAGTAGAGGCTTATTGAAGGACTTCACAAATTTGACACAGTTGGCATGGCCTGAATGAAAGTTCAGACAAGTCAAGAGTAACACTTTTGGTCATACCTCGCATAGATAGGTTTAGACAGCCGAGTTTATCTCCCGATAAGGAGTCTGTTCCACATTGAAGAACAATAGCCGACGGGTCATACGATTCCATGACCTCACGGATCACCTGTATTGAAAACTTGTAGACGCCAGTTGGAAAAGAAAACTTCACTCACAGGTTCGAACACCGATTTATAGTTTTCGTCCGAGATTCCGTCACGCAATGGGAAGTTGAGAGAGTAATATTTTCCTTTGCCTATTCCTATGTCCTGATAGGTGTCAACAATATTCCACCAACAAGACAAAATGACACATACCCGCAATTCACCAGTTCCTGGAAAATACTCGCCGTATTTGTGGAAACTGACCGTCATGACCCGATCTGTGGTGTAGAACGCTTCTTCTACCCCGTCACCATGATGAACATCGATATCAATGTAAAGGACTCTGGTATGATACCTGGTGGGTTTCGATCATCAGGACCATGACAAGATTAGACTCTGCAATTAAAAAGCGCGCACCGGAGCAACTCAAGAATGCCCAGCACGATGTCTGCGACATGTAATCAGCGTGAAGATAGCTGTTGCAGAAAGAATTTGTATGACCATTGACATAGCAAAAGCCGCTTGCTTCACTTTTCTTCGCGTGGTGAAGACCGCCGGCCCAGTTTACGGCAATATCACATTTGTCTCGACTAAGACGTGCAGCACCCTCTGCAGGACGCGTGAGCGTTGACTTATCATACCCCGTGAAATACTGTTACCCATGGAGCCTCCGGCTGAGATAGAACAGTAGTCGAACAGCCCATCGAAAACAGGACAGTCATCACCAACGTTGTCTGCGAGAGGAAGCCAGGATAGTTAGACGACGCGAGAAGATAAGAGGTGGAACTACTTGCATTTATGTTGTTCTTTTATGTACGAATTCATATTGCTGGGGGTGATGCGACTGAGGAACTCGACGTATTCGTCAGAGTGAAACTGTGTCATTTCGCGTTTTGTTGCAGGTTTAGCACGCTGCGTGAGGTAAAATTTGGGTCAAGTGATCGTCCATGCATTCGCAGGTGTACTCACGAATATCTCCATTTTCTTGTACAGACCATAGTTCATGACCAAGGAATGACACATTCGTATACGAGTTGGTTTCATCCTGTTGGCAGATAATCACGTCACAACCCTCGGCCTGACAGACAACCATAACTCACGGATGTCCGGGACCATAGTGGAAACCCCCGATGTCCGAGTCGAAGAAGTAACACTGACGGGGAGGTAATCATGATCTGATCGAGGAATTTCCGGCTGCAAAGAAAATAACTGACCACTCTCTTCTTCTGACCTTCACCATCAAGGGGTATCATGTTTTGTGACATGGTCGAAGAAAGAGTATAATAGAGATAGTGAAGGACTTCAAGCTTCAGTTGCGTTAAAGATGACTTTCGTGAGTTGAGGCACCTCTCAGAGCACACGTGATCCGGCAACGGTGGATTTAACATTGACAACTCAGTACGAGGTACTATTACTAGTTGTGAGGTATGCTATACAACACACTCGAATTTCAGATTTTTGCCTTTCCTAACAGCGCTTCGCTACCCTTGTAGACAAGAGTGGAGGGAGCAAAACCAAAATCATCGTTAAGTTTGATGTCCTGCGCAAGGATTTAATAAACCCCCATTTGCAGATGAAAACCCACTGACCAACTCTCCTGCTATGACCCGGACCTACGAATTTAAGCACATAAGCACCTCATTTGCATCATAAAACACTATGGACAGACCATGGACCAATGATGAACTGCATGTAACCCTGCAAACCAGAGCTGGATGAAAAACAGGGGTGAGAAGATCATCCATCACCGTACTCGAATCTTACCTCTCGGCCAAATGTTGTCTCAAAGGTTTGCATGAAAGGTGTCACGGCGTTCAAGGTCAGTGGGATGTCGAGGTTCGCTGTGGGTACTACTTCATTGACACGCGAGATAGCTTGCTTGAGGGCCTCTCGAGCTTCTGAGAGATTGCTCTCCATTGGTGTATTACGGCTGCGGGTGTCATATGAAAAGATATGTGGGGCGGGTCCTGCTACACAATCGATGAGGAGGATAAAATGATCCCGCGCATGCCGCAAATGTTTTCCTGCGTGCAATCTCTCAGTAACATGCACAAGATCGTATTGATCACATGAATTATAGTATCACCAATAGTTGACCCTGGAAGGAATTTGGATGTAACAGTAAGCTGGTCGTCGGAAGTCAGGATGTTCTCCACAAGATCAAGGGCCTGTTGAAGAACAGTAGTCGACACAAATTGAAGCTGAATGAGGGGAGAAAGGCTGGCAATATCACTACCGTTTGAATGAGACGAGTCCACAACTGAGTCAACCATGGTGGAAACTGACATGAGGGCGTTGCTCTGAGCTCAGCTGTCCAAACAATTTTTTTAACTCCTTTATATTTGCAACGAGGCTGGGCCAGCCTCGAGGATAATTCATGACCGAGGCTATAAAACATCGGATAGATAGAAGATTAGTAGTACTAAGTATGTGCCAATGGCAATTCGATAGTGCATGTTCCTTCTGCCAAATTTCGAACAACCCACGGTTTAAAGATAGGTTGTCCGAACTCAAGGCGAGGTCACGGTATTCCATCTGCCAGAGCTATTCCAAGCTAAGAAGAAGCGGATCAGAGACTGGAAGATTCTTGTGATGAAAAGTCCACCGTCGTCGTCACTCTGGCTGAAGAACACAAACATGTGTTTCCATGCCCTTTTCATCGACACTCTGCTGATATAAGCAACCGCGCCCCCGCTTTTCCCGAAGGGCTGAGAATTATCACGTTCAATCACATCTTTTCCTCAATGCTTGCCTCCTTCAGAACAACAGGCTCGTTGGCCCGAGTAAGTGAGGTTTCATTCATGTTTTTTTTTGTATCTGATTGGTGTTATAGCGAGCAGCATCTGCCGGTCAAAGGCGCTTCCTTTCTATTCACGAGTACCAGTCGGTGAATCTACTAAACTCGGTGAGACTGCTCAGACATCGTCAGCATTTTCATAGCGTGACGACTGCCACTTTGATCCCTAGTATGGTATACCAACACCAAAGAGCATCGTTGCAAAGTCTCCTGAAGAGGCGTACAAGGTTGCTCAGAATTTTGGTGAGCGTTTGGAATCTTCATCGTGACGTGTATTCCTCGCTAAGACTGGGATGCTTAGGCACGGACAAACTCGTAATCAAGGCACAAGTGCTTGCCGGTGGCCGGGGCAAAGGAAAATTCGACAATGGCTTCCAGGGTGGTGTGCATACCGTCGACAGGTACGTAACAGCTCAATAGAGATGTCCCTACTTCACAACTCATGTGGTTCAAAGCCCACAACAAGCACAGGAATATGCTGGCAAGATGATCGGTTCAAAACTCATCACGAAACAAACTGGTGCCGGTGGTAGAATCTGCAATGCTGTTTGTACATTCATTACCAGCTGTTTCTCGTCTCTGACTACAGGACAGGTTATGCTCGCTGAGCGTCGTGATCCTTCCCACGAATACTATGTCGCTGTACTCAACGACCGTGTTACCCAAGGTGTTGTTCTTGTCGCGTCCAATCAGGGAGGCATGAACATTGAGGAAGTTGCTGCGACTAATCCCGGTGCTATCATCACGACTCCCATCGATTTCGAGAAGGGTCTGAGCAAGTCAACGGCCCTTGAACTTGCTAAAACTCTTGGGATCAAGGAAGGTGGTCAAGATGAAGCGGCAAACATTTTCATCAACCTGTACAAGATATTCAAGGACAAGGATGCCACCCAAATCGAAATCAACCCCATGTCAGAGACTGTTGATGGCCATGTACTTTGGTGAGTGGAAATATCACATCCCACGTTGCTCCCCTTCAATTTGTTTCAGCATGGATGCCAAATTCGGCTTTGATGACAATGCTGAGTTCCGTCATGAGGATATCTTTGCGCTCCGCGATATCTCACAGGAGGAGCCATCAGAGGTTGAGGCTCAGAAAGCCGGTCTGAACTTCATTAAGCTCGATGGCAGCATTGGCTGTCTAGTCAACGGTGCTGGATTGGCCATGGCCACAATGGACGTTCTGGCTCTACACGGTGGTAATCCCGCCAACTTCTTGGATGTCGGGGGGTACGTAGAGCCTGATGCTACTGTGTTCTGTACTTGACTACTTATCCTCAGAGGTGCCACCCCCGAGACGGTCAAAAAAGCCTTCGAGATTCTTCTCTCTGACCCCAAGGTCAAGAGTATCTTTATCAACATCTTCGGTGGTATCATGCGCTGCGATTACATTGCCGAGGGTGTCATCAAAGCAACCAAAGAGCTTGGTCTCACTATTCCATTAGTCGTCAGATTGAAGGGAACAATGGAAGCAGAAGCGAAGGAGTGGGTTTTCTTTCTTGACTATTACTAAACCTCAGTCTGACTCTTAATCATATAGGATGATCAAGGCATCTGGTCTGAAGATAGTCGCATTGGATAGCCTTGACGAAGCTGCCGAGACTGCTGTGCAGCTGGCAGTTTAGAGCTAGACTTAGATTATTCACCTTGCTTATAAATTATTGTGATCAGTTTCGGGCCTCGTACTCGTGGATTGCTAGCAGATATGCATTGAGAGGGTAGGAAAATAACGAAACAACATATAATAACATCTCAGAAACATCAATATATCGTCAGGTAACATTACACGTATCACCACGACGGACGTCCATATGGTAGAGGTTGTGCAGGACTATACATAGTAGCGTGCGAAGGTTGAGGAGCAGAGTGTGATTGCTGCATCGGAGGCATACCATCAGGACGCCCTTGTCCACGGCCAGAAACGGCCATGTACGGTTGGGGGCCATGAGCCATCATAGGAAGTGCGTGCATCATCACAGGACTCCCAGCATACATTGAATGATTCGCATGTGAAGGAGTCGCTGAATGTAACACAGGACTCATCACCGGCATATTGCGAGGGCGGGGTTGGGCAGCTCCGTTAATCTGTGGTGGGGACTGCGAGCCGTGTGGCATAGGCGGAGGCCCATACATCGACGGAACCCCATTTGGTGAGGGATATGCCATCAGCTGCGTAGGGTATGGCGAAGTTACCGGCCTCACTGCACCAGAGTGGCTTTGGGATGGAAGAGGCACCCATATTGGTTGGCCGCCACCGAACATGGGTGAATGCCCATTGGGTCCGCGCGGAGCAGGGCTTGGTGGTGGATACACGAGGGGTGTGGGACTAGGTGGATGGGCCATCATCGGCGAGTAGGGAAAAGGGGGCCGGCCACTCATGCCTGGCGGATGGACAGGACTATATGTATAATTGGAAGGACGGCTGATGGGTCCAGCTACAGATGAAGATGGTAACGTACTACTGCTCCTCGTAGCGGCATTTGATGAAGTAGGTACTTGCTGGAATGCACGTGTGACGTCATGAAGTGACATCTTGGATGGAACGTTTGCTGCTGAAGTAGGAGGGGGAGTTTCTCCATCTTCAGACTTGACATCTTGCAATGTGAACGGTAGAGCAGTAAGATCATCCGCAATGCCCTCGAGGGAGTTTACTGCATGTACTAAAGCCTTGTCAGAGGGCTGCGACCATACAGCTTTTAGATGCTCGGGATCCGGTGCTCTCGCCGGAGATTCCTTTGCAGATGAAAAGCTCAAAGGGGATTTCGTCCATGGTGTGCTGTATGATGTAGATCCAGGAGTGATGAGATTTCTGTCAACCTATATACCTGTGAGCCACAAAAGAAGATGCATAGAAATACAACGGAATACCGACCGATTCATCCGAGCTCTTAGAGTCCAGCTGCGTTGAAACAACGAGTCTTGGGGAGCTCGTATCTTTTCCAAGACCATTCACAACACGACTGATTGTAACCGTCTCCTTGGTATAAAAACTTTTGTCAGATTCAGATGAGTCTACGGCCGAAGAGAATAGAGCGCTTGGCGGATCACTTTGTGGAGATGCCGGTATTTCGTCCAGCTCGCTAAAGACGGTGAAGGATACCGTATGCTTCTTTAACTCTTGACTAGCTGTGTCGGACGGGATATCACGATAAAATGCTACCGCAGAACCCACTGGCATCTTTGGTTGAGCTCTCGGACGTTGCAAAACGGCTTCCGCTTTGTTGGTGCATGGTAATACACTTTGGGCAGTGGGGGTAAGTTCTGGTGGGTTAGGAGGAGGCGAGCAACTGATTGTGTCAAGAGCACCTGCGCTGGCGCCATCTGGGCTGTTTTCCGGAATAGGTGGACAGATAGCAACCCTCCTCCACGACGGAAGGTCGTCAACCTTCGACCTTCCCAAACTTGGCTTTGTTGATCCAGCAGGAAGATTGACCTTAGGTCCTAACGGAATGGCAAAAGATGCATGATTATGCCGTGCTCGAGGAAGGTGTACGCGAAACCTGGGTTTGCCCCTGTGAGACAAATAGCTCTTGTGGAGCACATCATTCAAGGAGAAGTCTTTCTTGCTCATGCCCTCGACCGGTGGATCCCAAGACATTATATCCCATCGAAACTGTGAACGCACATTCTTCAAAAAACGGGCTTGCCGTTTAGGAATAGGATCCAAGGGACGTGATTGGCTAGGGAGGCAGACCACAGCAGTCAGTCGAGGCGAACGTGGTGGTTCGCAGCCAGTGACGTCGAAGACTTCGTGTTCTTCCCCAAACTCGACGCGACGTGGCCTAAGTGCAGGAGGAAGCCATTTAGGCGCACCTGAATAACCCCGACCATTAGCATTGCCCTGAGATGGAGCGATATTTGGGTCGGGCGGTGCATCTGCAGTCTCCTTGATGGCCTGTTTTGCAGATTCCGTCTCTTTCATGTCATCCAAAGCTCCCCTGATGCGAGACATCACATCATCGAGAGCAGACATTCGCACGCGGTAAGTCGGACGAGTTAAGCGTTGCGGAGATGTGGGCAACGTCGTGTGGTTAGACGAATATGTCGTTAAGCCATCCGCAGTAGAGGAACTCTTCGAAGGTGATATACGCGCCACTGCCTCCTGTAGCGATTCCGGACTCGGAACGCTCACTGGAGTATCCTGTAACGGTTTTTCCACAGTCTCCTTTGCAATTTCTTGGTTCGTCGATGCGGATGGAGCTGAAACTTCGTCAACAAGCTCAGTGGGGGTTTTGCGACGCCACACATTTGGAGGCTTCGGATGAGGAGGAAGTGTCTGAGGCTCCGAATCTTCAAAGAAGTCACTTGCGACAGGCCGAGGGGGACGGGACGGTCTTTCATTGCCTTCATGTGGTGCCTCGGTTTGCGGGGCCGCTGGAGCACCAACGAATTTACCCATATCAGAGAAGTCCACCACCTCGAGATCCTCATCTGCAGAAACGGTAATAAACTCGTCTACCCTAAGCAACGGCGCAGGCGCACGGGGCTGTACAGGCGTTTCTCGAGGCGCTGGTGGCGACGATGGAGGTGGAGCTTTGCTTCTCCAGGAATCCGTTTTTGAGGAATCGTGAGATTGTTCTGCATTTGAGGGCACGATCGGCCTCGAAATCATCGGCGGTCTGACAGATGCTCTTAAAGAAGGTGGTCGCCCTATCGGCCTGACAGGTGTTGGACGTTGTGCCGTGGCATCGAGCTGCAGCGCTTGCTGGGAAGGGGATTTAGCTGCTTCCGCAACCTCTTCTATCAGTTTCACGGCTTCCGCTTCCTGCAGATGGAATGAGCCATGTGGGATGCTAGCCACGTCACAAATACCCACTTGAGCATTCTTCTTCTCTTCATGTGCCTTGAATTTCTCTTCCAACGCAGCTGCCTTCTGTCGGGCACGTTCTTTCTCTTTATCCCGCTCTTCTTCTTCCACCTGTCGTCGCTGTTTTGCGCGCTCAGCTGAGATGTGCATGGCCGTCTTGTGAGCGTCTTCGATGCTCAGCGTAGGAGTCATGAATGGGGCAGCAGTTTCGGAGGTCACCGAAATAGTAGATAATAAGGGTGACTGACCAACGACACTACCCCCATGAGTTGTAGTGGGCGAATCGAAATGTTGTTGAGAAGCAGACAGAGGTTGATGCGAATCTCTGGCAAAAAGCTTTCCAGGCGGAGCAGTTGAAATATGGGGTGGACGCTGCCGAGTGGCATCACGCTTCAATGACGGCAATGGTGGAGGGCCCATGTTCGACAAACGACGACCTCTGCTATCAAGCATGATTTCGTGCTTCTCGATAGGAGAAACGGACGGAAGCCCGTCCCAGTTTGGCGGCCCATTCATTGAGAGAGAGGGTAAACCGTCACGAGTCCTGCCGAAAGGAACATGGGGACCAGGACCGTTTCTCGATGCGCGCGATGAGCGATCATAGTTACCCGCAGGCTTTTGGAGTAATTGCACTGGTTGTACAGGTGACCGCATTGGTCCATCTCGTCCACTACGCATGTCCACTGGAGGTGGAATATGCTCTATATGAGAGCCTCTCCTAGAGATCGGAGCCCCAGGGAGATGACGGGTATTTGGATGAGAACTATATGGCTCAAGTCTGTTTGAGCGTTCATTGAAAAGAACTCTTGAACCTTCCGAAGGCGAGTAGCTAGGATGCGAAGACACAGGGGACATTGACGGATGTCGAGGAGCACGTGGTAGATCCTTGTGCACGAATGATGGAGAGGGCCTTGATCGTGGCCATCTCCGGTCAAAGTCGTCCGCAAAACGATCCTCTTTACTAACAGGTGCTTTGCCGCTGTCAACAATCTCTGGGTGGGGCTCGACTGTATCCGTAGCTGGGTCGGGTGATGATACATTTTGCGCACTAGCTTCAGCCGGTGATATCTTGTACTGTCTTCCGTCACCAAATTCGATGACTCCGTCCAGAAATTGGTCATCATCTTCTTCCATCTGCGAAATGTGAGAAAAATGAATAGGAAGAGTAAATTGAAGCGGACCTCATCCCAGTGGTGGGCATTTGGATCAAGGTGAACACCTCGAAATGCATCAGCTTCTTCTAGCGTCACACTTTTTGAATGAGGAGCATCAGAGGGCTTCTGTGATTCAGTGACCTTGGGTGATGGTCGGCCTAAAGAAGGCAGATCAATTCGCGAACTGCACCTATAAAATTTGCAACGTACCATGAGCAACTTCGGCAGCCGTAGGAAAGTCTGAGGGGCCCGCACTGTCCGGCAACAGGACTGGTGCCACGACTTTCAAATGCCCCCAAGCCGGTTTGGACGTAGTATCCTTCTTCCCCGTGGCGGACGAAGTCGATGGGATAGCTCGCGGTTGTGGCTGAATAACTTTGCCAGCGACGGGAAGCTGTGGGGCAGCTGGAATGGAAACGGGCGCTGGTGCAGCGGCATGTGGAAGAGGCTGCGGAGGGGGTCCATTGGATGAAGTTGATGGTGTTGAAGAGACTGGAGGTGCCGCGGATGGTGGACGCGACCAACCTGGACCAGTTGTAGTTGATGAAACAGGCGCTGCTGTGAGCTTGGTGGTCACGAGCCGCGAATGCGTGCTTATTGGTGGAGCCACAGGCCGGACGGCTACAGGACGTCATATGAAGATTATTATTATAAAATACAACATTGAACTTACGAGCTGGACTACCAGACTTGACGACAGGTACGTGGTTCGATGACGTGGTAGCAGACCCTGAGGAGGACGAATTCTTCTGCAGGAACTTCTTGTTGATGTTGACAGAAGTAAATTTCTTTGGATGTGGGGCGGCTAATGATGAATCTGAAGCAGGAAGAGCCAGTTGAGTGCGAGATTGAGTTGATGAGTTCGTAGGTGAAATCAATGGAGGTGAACTCGAAGTCTTGAGAGCGCAAGCTGCGACTGCAGAATGTTCTTCGGATACATTGGATGAACTCAACAGCGCATTAACATGTTCCTCTTCTGCATGATTTTCAGTTAGCCCCGTGTTTGAGTTGTCGATATTGGCCATATACGCGTCCCAAGACGCCGATAGTCAGTTTTCTGGTGCCTAGAGAGATTATAGCAAGAGCCGAGAAGGAAATAAAATAAAAATACACGACAATGAGCTAAAACACACGGTTAACTTGCTGTTGACTTGCCTAAAAGCTTTATGTAGAGCAGACAAACGAGATTTTCGTTGTCGTTGACGAGCGGAAATATCAAACGAGGGCAGAGTGCAACGTTGAGCGGCGGTTAGCCTATTTCGGTTAAGTGGTACTTCTAATAAGCTACAAACTGTTACATGCTAGCAAGCTCAGCCTCCTTTTTATTCAGTCGGTCAACTTCTGCATCAAGAGCCACATTTGCCATCTCAATCTGAAGGATGCTCGATATCAACTCTGTCCATTTATTCTCCAACGATGTCAACTGGTTTCCAATTCGCGTCTTTAAACAAGTATGAACACAACTGCTCTCCTGATCAACACGAAACATACCTGAGAGTTCTTGCGGTCTCGGTTAATATCTGTGGTGCGCTGCTTCAACTCCTCGAGCGTTGCCTCTGCTTGCTTGGCTGTCGCTTCTAACAAGTAATTGTGAATTCTCCAAGCATTGGGTCCATATGTCTGCAGCAGCGCGAGATTTGTGTGCCTTTGAGAGAGCATGAACTCAAAGTACTCAAAGGATAATTGAAAACCCACCGAATACGCTGGTGCTCTAGTTGAGACTGTGCATTCTTCAGCGCTTGCTGCCATTCCTCATCTGTGCCTGGGGTAGAGGTCGGTGCCGGAAGTTGATATCTTATGGTATCCAAAGGCGCTAAAGGCTGATGAGCCTCGACGCGCGCAAGCTCAGCAGCAAGCCCAGGTTTGTCCTACGCCATATCAGGTCTGTGAACGATCAAAGGGTAGCTTTAAATACCTTGAAGAGCTCTATTGGAGGGGGAACGCGAGGATGCAGAGTCTGCGGTGGTTTTGGCTCGCGTGCTAGTTCGCGCTCAACTTTTTCCCTCAGTATTGGATTTTTCTCGAGATCGTTGTCATAGTAAGGTAATGAATCGAATATTTCTGTTCTGTGAGTGTCGTTGTCGATGAGTGAAGCCATGGTCTACTTGACGGCGCCGGTCACGATTCGGATCGGAGTGTGAATTTACCGTTTGTCTGAACCCACTGAGTAAGTAGCCAGCAAACATGTCGTTTCGCATGGGTCTGCGGGTCACAAATCTGCTTAAAAACTCGTCGAAGAGACCAGCGAGGACCGTTGGTGTCGCTTTGACGCGAAAAATACAGTTGTCATCGTCGTCCAGAGGTAAGTTATGCCTGCCTAATCACTGATGACCGTTTTGACAACTTTCTAGCCTCCGTTTCGCCATTCACCGAGCCTACGTCTCCGAATCCTACAGCTACCAAGTATGCTGAGACAACCGAGTCATTACACACATATGGATCATACCTCATGCAATGTCTCCCCAAATTCGTCCAGCAGTTCTCTGTATTGAAGGATGAGCTTACTTTGCACATCTCCCCGTCTGGCGTCATCCCCGTTTTGACTTTCCTTCGAGATCACTCACAGTGTCAGTTCAAAAGTGTCGTGGATATCACCGCTGTTGATTTCCCAGAACGAGAGAAACGCTTCGAGGTGGTTTACAACATGTTGAGCGTCAAGTATGCGGCGAGGATTCGTGTCAAGACCTATGCTGGTGAAGCGGACCCTGTACCTAGCAGCGTTTCTGTCTTCAGTGGAGCCGACTGGTATGAACGGGAGACGTGGGACATGTTTGGCGTCTTCTTTACTGGTCACCCCGACCTGTATGTCGCATTCTATATACATATGAACCGGTGTCTTGACCTTCTATTTACAGGCGTCGCATACTAACAGACTATGGTAAGTTTTCTTAGATGCAATAACTCGCACTTGTCATAGATTTATGTTTAGGCTTCGAGGGTCATCCCCTTCGAAAGGACTTTCCATTGTCGGTGCGTAGCTACCACTACAACCCGCTAATTGTAATGATAGGATCATCATTTTAGGGCTACACTGAAGTCCGCTACGACGAAGAGAGGAAACGCGTCGTTTATGAACCTCTGCAATTGACACAGGCTTTCCGGTCAGTCAGGAATCATCTCGATCCCCGCGTTTTCTAATCACCTGAGCATATATAGAAACTTCGAGTCTCTGTCACCCTGGGAACAAGTAGGGCAAGGGACAGAGCCCATCAGGCCTGCAGAGCTCAAGCCTGTTCCTCCACCTCAAGCCGAACAGCCTCCAAAGAAGTAGATGTTACTACGTTATTGATTGATATACATACACAACATTCCTATCCTCTGAGTGCAGTCGTGTTGGGTCGTCGTAAGGTAATACATGGGTGGGGCAACAGCATGTAAGTGGAAAGGTACATCAAGGGGATGGTTCAGAGGGCATTTCTTGAGGCGTAGTGTGCTCGGCTGCCTTCTTACCCCATCCCATCCGTGCGACAATGTAGTCCTGCCCAATGACTTCAATGCCTACCCTGAGAGACTCGGCTACAAGATCTTCCACCCAGTCATAATCATCCCAAATTTGCAACCAACTACCAGGCACAGCCTGCGTTATAGTCGTGTGCACCAACTTATGCCCGGGATCAGACAGATGTAGCAGGAACTGGAGGTTAGACTGCTGGGGCGTTTCTGCGGACTGCTCTGAAGTATCAACGGGCTGAGGAAGGGTGAAAGATGTGAGGAATGGCTGGATGCGGAGGTAGACAGAGGAGTATGTAACAGGATTCTGAATAGATGACTCTTTGGGTGGTACTCTGGAATTGGTCTTGATGAATTCATCTATATTTGCCTGGACGGAAAAGTGAATCTCGCGTACACATTTCTTGGCATTGGCATCTTACCTGCGCGAGCTTAATAGCAGCATCGTATCCGTCCACCGAATTGAAATCCCGAGGAATTCCTGCTGCAGATTCCTTTGGTTTTGATTCGACACCTCGGTTGATAATCAAATCGCCACCCTCGACCTGTTCCATGACCTAAGCAACAACATCAGCTCGGTGGAGACCCGTAATGTCTTGGTGCGTACCCTAGCGAGTGACCGGTATACAAGCGATTCGACACCATCATATCCTTTCATATCATGACTGAGCCATACTTGAATGACCTCGTGCTCAGATATAGGAGGAGCAACTACATTCAGAATGTCTGTCAATGTAGACAGTCCGACTTTCTTGAAATCTTGTCCTAGAGGGTACGAGTTAATTGACTTTGAATCAACTCGTCACACACAGACGAACCAAGTTTGTCAAGCTGCGCAGTCTTTGCGTACTCCAGGACTCCCTCTCCCAACTTACTGATGTGTTCATTCTTGGGAAGGTTCTTGACCTGCTCGTCCACTACAGACCTTGCTTGTTGGTAAACAGTATTTGCACTGGTCCATACGCTGCCCCATCCCCAACGATTTGAGGAAGCCGCCAATGCAGGCTCAGCTTCAGCCTTGGCAACAGAAGCTGACGATGGTTCTGGTTTTGCCACGAGAGAAGAAGTTGAGGAGGACGGATGAGCACCGACTTTAACTCGTTCAGTGCTCTTTCTCAGTGATGGAGTTCCTGGACGCGAAGCATGTCGTTCTATATGTGATGTCGTGGAGCGGGTTGGCTCTGAACTCTTCTGAGTTATCTCATCAATGAATGCGAGAACATCCGCTGGGTCTCCTGCGCTGTCCGTATTAGCAGCGGGTCCACGCGTCGTTGGTGCGACTGGATTAAGGGAATCAAGATCATCGAGAAATTGAAGAGCTTCTTCCTGCTTTGACTTTGATTTAGAGGCCATCGTCGTAGTGCGAGTCAAGCAAGTCGGAAGGACCCCAGACTTGGAAAGCGGAGTCTAATCATAGCGTGCTTACGTCGAATACATCAAAACAACTTGTCCACATTCATTCACTATTCCCTTTGTATGGGTCGTAAGAAGAAAGTCGAGCGAGAGGTATACCACGTCGGTGCGAGCTCAGTCCTTCATCGCTATCACTATTCACATGCTTGCTGGTAGAGGTTATCACCAAAGCTCGCGTCAGTGAGGAAGGAGACTGGGTAAGTATATAACACTGCGCTTCGCACAAAGATCTAACCGAGTCGTCTAGGAATATTATGTCAAAGTGGGTTTCTATACGCGTTTGATTGCGTCCCCTAACGATTCATAGTGGGCAGGCTACGACTCCGATGCAGACACGTCAGATTTATGTCCCTTTCATTGATCACGAACTCATTTTCTACTGCAATATGCAGTTGGGAGCCAACAGATAATGTGAAACAATGCGAACGGCTCTTGTGCAGCTTTTGGGATCATGTTGGCAATGACGACGACGATGATTACGCCGTCGGATTCGAGATTACGGCGAAGGACCATTGGATAGGTGAGACTCGGTTGACCTTGTGCTTGGTGGCTCAACTGACTTGTACGAAGAGCAAGAGAAGGAGTTCTTCGCGACGCAGTTCTCAGAAGAAGCAAATCGCAAAAGCGAAAAAGATACGAATAAGCCACCGATCAAGCAGGTGAGTTCACCTGATGATACTCAATATATTGTCTTACACATTATACATAACAGACTTTAGAGCCAAAGCAAGTCGAGAAAGATACTCATAGGTTGAAAGAGCCCAATATCCCTTTCAAGCGGAGATCTCCGGTCGCGAAGATGTTGGCCCCGCGAGGGAAAAAGCGTAACAATACACTCATTAGTTCAGATGTATGCCATCTTTTATTTACCATCGTGCTGCGAAGCTTAGGCAACAGTAGTCAGACTCCGATTCATTGGACGATCGCCCATTAAAACAGCGGCGGAAATATACTCACTCAAAGTCCCGGAGCACTACAGCAGACAAGGTTCCGTAATAGTCGCCGTCTCTTTCATTCTAACCTCAATGCTTTCTATAGGAACACTCATCAGCGGCCCCCTCCTCTAGTATGTTCACCGAACAACCATCTCGTCCCCTTCCGCCACCACCAAGGCCATCGACATCTTCTGCCACACCATCAGCGAATGTACCTCGCCCACCCAAAATACAGACCGTTCGGACTCACCAAGATCAAAGGAGCAACCCTCTTGTCAAGACTATAGATCTTCCCTCGAAGGCGGTTCAATCTGGGAGTACTCTGTCAACGAAGCAACGTATAGCAGCGGGATCAGGTCCTTCCGTAGCACCCAAGCCGAAGCCACTGCAGACAATTCCGAAACTTCTGACCGGTTTGTCATTCAAGAAGAAACCCCTTGAAGCAAAAGATCCTTCGTCTGCAACTAGTCCGTCCTTCAAGAACTCTTTCGAGAACGAGCCTTTATCAGCAAGTGGTATGCAACCGTCTGGTCCATCCACTAAAGAGCCTTTGTCCGCAATTAGTTCCTTTGAGAAGCCTTTCGAGAATGAACCTTTTTCGGCGACTGATGCGGAATCGTCTGATCCTTCCACTACAACACCCGTCGGAGTCGGCCCGTCTTCAGCCACACCGCAGATGATAGAGGAGCCCTCTACTGTTGTTTCAGGCTGGGAATATAATACAGAGATGTTTGCGGCTGCAGATGACGACCCTCCCCTCCCCTCACCTGCACCCCTGTAAGTGCGCCCGCGTATCATCAGACATATTCATTTGATGGCCTTTTAGTATTCAGCATCAACTCGCGAATCCAGCTCCCCCTAAGCGAGCCCCCGAAAAGGCCGCAGACGAGTTTCTTCAAAGTCTTAGTCTTAATATGCCAAGGTATGTATCTTAGGCTACTCACATTCGTTTGCGCTCACCACATGCATGCCAAGTCTTAATAGTCCTTTGTGCGTCTTGTTTCACTAATTTCAATCACTAAATGCTCACGACAATGTTCAGGGAGCCTTCAGTCAGCGACGGCATCCAGGACATTGATTCCTTCCGACCAAAGGCTTTAACAGCGATGAAAGCTTCTGCGATGCCAAAGTTTGTGGTGCTTACTCGCGAATATGAAAAGTGTTCTAATCTTCGAATAGGATTCCCAAAAAGTGGAAATGGGAGGGTGATCTATTTGTTGACTTTGCTAAGAACCAAGCCAAGAAAGTTTGTGAAGTGACGATCAAGGATGCGACTGATTCGCACGATAACGGTGCTCGCATGAGTTTCATGATGGCGCAAACTAATTCCATCCGCATCCAAAAACTCTACAATGTTACGGATCTCACACCGGTTTTTCGTGCATGTGGAGAAGCTCAGCAATTTGCCAAACTTGAAGCTTTGGAAAATCAAGATAGTCAGGCACTGCACGGACTGTTTCGTTACATGTCAATTAAGCGACAGGTGAGTCTTTTTTCCGTTGATGGTCTATGCTGACAGAAGGCAAAGGTTGCTGTTCTCCCACTGTCATTGGATGGCGCAGAACTTGCTCTGCTCTTTATTTTCAGCCCATCATTGGATGCCCTTTGTAAGTTTTTGCGCGTACCAGAGCATCTACGACAGAATTCGCAGAACACCCATGTTTTGGTAGCCCTGTTGCCATGGCTGATCTCGTCTGCCAAATACATCAAAGGAACGACGCGTAACCAGGTCGATAAAACCATACAGCAGCTATCGACTCCGAGTGGTCAATCGAAAGACAGCCGTCGTCGCATACTGAGAGAGGCTGCCATGGCTATTGATCTGCTTTCAATTCCACGCGAGCTCTTGGATTTCATGCAGTTTTCAAACAGGAAATATTGTATCTGGTCCTTCCCGGCCGACGGAGCAGCCTTGAATCCTGGTTTTGAGACCCGACAACTTAAATATGTGCTGGACAAGACCAAAGCTATGTCAGTTAGCCTTGACGCAGAAGCTCGGGTAATATTCATTCATGTCGGAGCCCTCAAGACTTTTCACGAGCTTTCTGCTGTGGTCACCAAGCGGCGCGACGCGCCTGAAGTTCGCTTTTTCACCTACGGCACACATGAGTCTGTTCCGTCCAGCAGGTGGGGCATGCGCGAGATTTTCCCTTTGGGTGAGTATTTGCAAAGCAGGGCGATCGGTGTCACTGACAATCTTCAAAGGTGGTATTGTCACCTTCACGCCTTTGGCTATCGCCGAAGATCCTATTGGATGTCACAGTTTGATGCGTAACCTCGCGCAGCATCCCCTCTGGGAATGTTACCTGATACCTTCGATCGTGGGTTTGAGCCATGCCCTGGCATGCGGCAAGGATAAGCCAGTTCCAGAAATTATGAGGTGAGTGTGATGCTCCTGTACCGTTATCCTTAAACTGAGAACGTATCTAAAGTATGGACTCGTGCCTTCTTCCCATTCTGGACCTGGCAGACGCAGGCAGCATCTCTGTCACGAAAGCGCCTACCAAACATAATGATGACGCCTGGATTGCCGAAACTCTTGAGCAGCAATTGTTGGAAGTAGAAGATGTGCTGCGAGAATGCGTCAAAAGCTCGATAGAGCGCTTCGCTCACTCCAGCGAATCTGACGTCCTGATTGAAGCGGACCGGGAGATTTCTCAGGATCTCATCAATATGGAGCTGCAGCCTAAGTTCATGGACAATTACCGCCGATTTGTGGTCATCAGAGCTGCATCCGAGGAAACTCGCAGCCTCCCTGAAGGCGGATCGGGGGTATGTAGTGTGATTTTTCCATCAGCGGCGTCTACTGACCTGACTTGTAGCTCGAGTGGTCTTCGCTATCAAACTTCGCATTTAAGGATGATTACTTCCTTGGATCATAGATTTTAGTCATGTGGTTATGTACCATAGTTTAGTCATGTAGTCGGTGTCCTTCAAGTCCAACAATCGTGTACAAATCTCAGTTTACATGTGATTGTACCGCCGGTCCGCAGGCGTTCCACTAGCACGCAAGTGATTCCTTTAGCTGGCACACAACCATGTCCAGCATTACCCAGTGGCTGTTAGACCCCCGCATACACGACTACCTTGCCATCGTAAAAGGCGCACGTAATGGCTTCGTGTACGGAGTCAAAGTCAGATTCCCTCACGCGTTGATCATGGCCATTCTTTTTGGTCGAGGAGAGTACGTTTTTCTCTGCACTTGGAGTCGTCTTCACTGCTGGACCACTGTCCTCCTGTAGCTGGAGATCTCGTTTTCTTGTTATATACAAAGCAACCAAGCAGCACGCCTTCAACCTAGCAAAGTTTGTTTCACTCTACAAGACACTGTTGTTACTTCAACGAAAGGCAAACGGAGGGAAACAGCGTAGCGCGGATACATTTGTGGCTGGCTTGTTGGGAGGGTACGTGGTCTTCGGCGATCGATCAGCCGTGAACGAACAGGTACTTGAAATGAATTCTTGTCCGTGCTAGTCCTGTTGAAATCATTGGTTTTCCATTTAGATAGTCCTTTACGTTGTATCCCGGGTCATTGCTTCGTTCATGCCACGCGCAGGTAGTCCATACTCGAAGGCGCCTGCAGGCGCGTCTGGATCTGTGGTGAAACCTATCCCGCCAGACCCGCGGTATTTCTCTGTCTTCGCGGCTCTATCATGGGGTGCCGTCATGTGGCTGTTCCAGCACCGCGGAGAAGCCATTCAACCTGGCATGTTCAACTCGATGACATACCTTTACCGTGACTCCGAGGTATGGACTGATCTTAGGACATTGTTATGGCATAATACATAGAGGGATAATAGATTTTAACGGTGAGTCCAGACTCCTTTACGCATGCGCGTATTATCTTATACTGTGTTATCCAGATATCCATATCCTCCTATTATTTATTAGATTGCATCGAGCCAGTAACCTTGCGGCACGTAATCTACAGTTCTTGCCACTCTCCGACATTTATACTGCATGCTTCAAAGTTAGAATGGTCCCGTGTGATAAGCTTTTGCTCTTTCCGTACCTGAAGCATATCTACGGCAGCTGTCAAAGCTTTCTGACACAGGGGACAAGACGAAAGCTGGGCAGCCAAGTCATGCATCTCCCCTGCTATATCAGTGGCTGTATTTCATCCGTCAGTAAGTGAGATTGAGATGCGTACAAGATCTGCATACCTGCTTCGATTTGGGTGGCCAGGTACACCCGCTTCTGCTCCCAGAGCTGAGTGGCCCACTGCTTGTGCACAGGACAAGTGCCGTATCCGTGTGGAAATATGTCCTCATTCAGCAGGATATCTCGTAGTTTATATTTCCGGTATTCATGGAGCCTCAGAAGCTCATGGTATGCGGTGACAGTGGGAATGATTTGTATATCCTCTTTGGTGTACGACGATAGTGGGGGATGTAGGAGGTGGGCGCTTGCCTCTGCTGCAATCTTGGGCAAGTTATGTGCTGTAGCATATGCATAAACGGGGAGGGGATTGATTGAAGCATTGGCTTGAACGTGCAAGTGGAGTGAACATATGATCGTTTCCGGAAGTCCATACTTATCAGCCAGATGAAGCATGGACGGAAGAACCGGGAACGGGATGATTGAGCCTGCGTGCAATTTGAAACGAGGTCTCGCTCCATCTGGATTCTCCGTAGGGGGAGGTTCGGGGGGTTCTTGAATGAGGCGGAACAAAGTTGCTAAAGCATGCTCCGTTTCATCCAAGTGGAGAACTGCTTCATGGGGCCTAGGCTTGTCGTTATCACCCACTCCGTGGTCACAGCATGCAAACATATTCCCTTTAAGGTCATACATATTAATTCGAATACGAGATGGACTGCCAGGACATACGTACGGAACACTTCGCATGTTTCAATAACGTACCGGTTCACTTGAAACTCTGTGCCATCAGGCAGTGAGCGCACGTGGAATTTTGGTGGGCCACAAGTACTGGAATCGGCATAGCTTGTACCGCTGATGTTTTCGCTAGTCATATCCAGGATTAGTGCATGTCCTCCACCCTGACTTACTTGTATATATCCTTTATACGTACAACGTTTTTGCACTCGTGTCCGTTGACGTACCAACACGCGAATGAGCGGCAGTGGGAATGTCCGAGTCTGACCACAGCAATTCCGTAGTCCAGGTACAAAATTCATCAAACCTGTCAACCTGTACCAGAAAATTGCCAGTGCATTGAAAAATACATCGCGGACTAGATCGCGTAAGTCACAGCGTGAGGTGTGGGACGTGTGATATTGTAGCTAGAAGAAAACCATGATAGCCCGAAAGCGAGCGAAAAGAACAAAGCAGAAGAATCGTGGAGGTATCATCAAACAGAGGTAAAGGGAGTATGAAATCTAAGTCGCCAATAACCAGAGAAGATGTCCTTCACATAACCACGCATTTGGGTTTCTTGCTGCCGCCGTCCTTTGGTTGCTTGTCGCTCTGTTTCCCCCCTGATCCACCAGATTCCAATCGTTTCGTCTGCCGTAGGGCACGTACTAGGTTGGTGAAAAGTAGCTCGACGTTATATGCTGTTCTTGCTGACGTTTCCATGAATTCACAGCCAAATGTCCGAGCGAGCGCAATGCCTTCCTCACGTGAGACTTCACGCTCGTATGTCTTGTCGCACTTATTGCCCACCAGCATGAAGATAGGTTTTTGGCGCTTAACTTTGAGCATCGACTGTCTGAAAACGTCCAGCCGTTCAAATGTTGACCGAGATGCGATGGAGTAGACCAGAATAAATCCCTGGCCTTCCCTGAATATGAGATTGTGAGACATGACAAAACAAGAGAGCGCAGTGATTACGTACCGAACCCATTGGTCACGCAGCGTGGCGTACTCCTCTGCATGGACATCAGAGAGATAGCAAATGTGTAACGACTAGTACTCACCCTGCCCAGCAGTGTCGATGACTTCGACGAAGCACATCTTGTTATCCACAATTAACTGCTTCCTATAAGCGTCTTCTATTGTCGGGTCGTAAGTCTGTGAGTAACTATGAGTCAATTGATACGAGGGTGAACAAGAACACATACCTCTGTACCATAATATGGGAGGAAGGGTCGAGGTCATTAGATTGCAATAGAAAGTTTATGGTAGTTGGTTGGGCTTACCAACGAAACAATTGAGAGTGAACTAGGAGGGAACATGAGGCGTGGATGGGTAACAATAGAGATGAGGACTGACCTGAACGGCCAAAGCAGTTTTACCGACACCACCATCGCCAAGCACAGCAACCCTCCAGCTATCCATAGCTATTAATGATAGATTAGGGATAATAGCGAGATGGAAGCAAGCGAAGAAGGATTACCTTGAGTGTGATCAAAAGAGATAGAACAGGAGTTCTGTTGTCAGAAGTGAATTATAGTTGTCAGAGAGGGTACAGGGGATGTGTACCTTGAGAAGCCGAAAATGGAGTTTGAAGCCGGAGAAAGTGCCAAGTATATAGGGATACCTTAAGAGATGAGGATTGAGAGAAGGAAGAATATTCGGAAGTCGTGCAGATCGTATATGGTCGTAAAGAAAGGCGCGGAAAAGGACTTTGAGACTTAGAGAGAGAAAGGAGTAGGAAGCGGAGAGAAGAGAAACCTTGCGTTGATGTACGACTTGGCTTGTCCTTCCAAGTACTCCATAAATTTACATCAAAATACTTATCATTATAATATAATTTTAAAGTTTATATTATATTTATTTACATCACCGCCTACGGACATCTCCATCCACCCTTACAAAGCAATGTTCTTAAATCGAATGTCCCCTTAAAAGCAGTGTCAAGAGGTATTCAATGTGATGATGGACAATTGCGGTCGACCTAATTAATTGCCGTCAGACAACCATATGGCATGGCCCAATTGCTTATCGTTCCCGTTCATCATTCAATTACCCCCTCGACTGACAATTAACAGTACCTCTTGGAGATGGCGGCGCCTCTCGTCCGGCTATCATTTGACCTCCGTTTCGCAAAATTATCCAGGTAATTACTTGTGTCCGGCGCTCAGCTACTGTTCTAACACTGTCATAGGAGAGCCCCCATCTGGGGCTATCATCGTCACTGTTCTCTTGGGAGATTGAGTTAGGACCTTGGAGCCACAAAATTCAGGGCCATCTTTGGCCGCGGCCCATTCAAATAATCCAACTTGATCTGCGAGGGTAAGGAACGCCATCAAAGCTGGACGACCCCTGTAACTTCCCGCGACGATTAACAAACCACATCGTTGTCTTTCTTTTATTGTCAGGTCAGAAAAGTGACTTTTAACCGAACTGCCGAGCTGCTGCATTTGGAAAGTATACGCTCAATAGGCGCTCGTCAAAACTTCGTGTCGCGTGACCAGATCGACCGCGCTCATTCCTGTAATCAAACTGGATGCTGAAGCTTGAAGTTCTGATGCGGTATATATATACAGATATGACTACTGGAACTAATAGTCGCCTTCAGTACAGAGTTCAACGTTCAGAGGCTGCCACGAGTCAAGGCCAAAGTTGCGGTCGTATTGATGCCGTCCTTGATACGATTGCGCCACCGCCACCATGGGACGTTACGTATCAGCATCCTCGACGGAGCACCTGACTAGGCGCATGGAAGCCTCGCCAAAGTACTTGTCTCCCAAGTGTGGTTCAACGAATACACGGTAAGGACGCACTTATCGTCATCGATGACAAAATCCACCCCGTGTTCTCTGACGCAGAACCAGGCCGATGAAACTTTCCCATCCGAGTTTCAGCCACGTAACTCAGACGTGATGCTCATGTCGTCACGACACGATGCTCTCGGGTCTAACTTATTCGTGATGACATGCGGCGACGAATTTGTCGCATATGGGGCCCCCGACCAGTTAATTGAATGTGTGAAAACCTTATAAACTTTGCGAACACCCTTCGGCACCTAAAATGAACATTTTTCTATCGTAAGAAAGCCTTCATATGGTGATACTCACTTGCTCGGGCCACCTAAAAAGATCGAAGCTCACTAGGTTTCACGGACGTCTGATGAACTCTGACAAAGCGCATCGTGTCAAAGTATGGTCACGGTCATCAGGCTGACTCATCGGCTAATTTACGGAGAGATCATGCCTGGTGTACTGCGGGTGCTCGATCTTATCCGACGGTGTCATCCCCGTCTAGTCATCGTGATTCTCACCAGATGGGAGCAATCGCGCTCGAGTTGCACTTCTGACACGTGGATTGCGGTAGACAACGAGCAAGCGAGTCTGATTCTGTCTCATTGCTGATACCACTGGATGCTGCACGTCCGGTGGATGTTGAGGCATTGCATGCCATGCTCCAGCCTGGGGGCTCTTTCAAGTGGCCCTCCTACAACAGCATTCAACTTGAAGGTTGACTTGAATCCGATAAAGCCACCGCTTTAAATCGATAATCACGCTGAAACCGCAGCAGCACTTGTCATTGATCGACATTTCCGACACATCGTAATTCTGCTCTGCTCTGCTCCGAACTGCTTTCACATCAGGCTAAATATCCTAATTGGAACGTCGACGTTGATCCCGGCGGCACGGGGCTGGACTCGGACATGTCAGGACTCAGGAGTGGGCGCTAATCAGTTCCGGGGATCGTGGATTTCACTCGTCTGTCCCCTCACCCCACGAGCTGCCAGTGCCCAGAACTAAGACGTGCCTTAGCCAGCGAGAACAGAGATAAGTGGGAAATAAGAATAAGAATACCAACCAACCAACCTCCTGCCCAATTGGCTCGCCCTCTTCCGAAACTTTCACTGTTGTCGTAATGTTAAGTTTCAGTTTTTTTGTCGCTGTCTGTTTTCAAGGGTGAAAATTATTTTGGGTCGGAAGAAAAGAAGGTAATGATTGGCGCACAAACATATGAATTTTGGTACAACTGAAGAAACGACTACAGGTTGCTTCGGGATCCCTTTTCCGATCACTTCTTTGGAAGGAAGGAATTATGACGACACGCCTTCTGCGCGTGTCCATGGAGTACGCTCTGAATCGAGCACCAGAAACGTAATGGTTGGTCCAGACAGCCCGTTTCCAAATCTTTCCAATACCCGTCCAGACGTTCACTGATTAGGAACGTTGTGCCTTTCTTGAGCGTCTGGTATATATAGTGTTCTTCGAGCGGCAACTGATTATAGATAATATCTTCTCGAATCTCGACATGATAAGATGTTGTCATACCCTTACCTGCATAAATGAAGAACGTAAACAAGGGACCAGACTCGGATCCAGCTACAGTATACCGGCGCGCCCATTGATTCCGGCCCACGGTGTGATAGGAAGATTGCATAACTGAGAACGTTGAAACAAAGCCACGACTAGACCTTCAGGTCTCCCTTCATTACGTCTACGACGAACGGCTGTCTCGGAACGATTGGCTCACTGGTCAACTCAGTATGAGTCATGTGGGATTCCGATTGCGGAGAACGGTGTTAGAATTGAGTAAGGAGAACCACCGAGTGAACGATCCAGTCGAAAAGTTTGCGAATTCGCCTCCTCTTCGGTAGGGAGTATGAGCGGCGATAGTGTTTCCCTGGAAAAGCAAGAACAATAAGTCAGGACGGGATGGGGCGATCATGAAAACTGGTACGTTCTTGCCGCGCTGTCTATCAGATTTTGATGGGTGCCAAATATGGTGTTAGCAGTGTCAAGATATGATTGCCAAATGACTTTGTACTCGTCGTTCAGAGGTCGCAGTTGAATTTTCCCAGGTCCCGCAGCACCACAAGTGGCAGTTCGAACTTTGATCGGGAATGGGTGATGAATATGGGGTCAGCAACGCAAGACGGGGAAATCATTAGTAATTGAGGTCAGAGGTAGAGCATGTCATGGTCAGCTCTCTGGTGATGCATGCCGATGAGTCGCTTAGCCAAGCCTATGATATTGCCGATTACTTACCGCAGCTTCCAGAGTAGGTAGCCACTTGGTATATCGTCACTAGACCAAGTGATTGCGCTAGTTTCGTCAAGCGATGTTTAAATATCCTTGAAGCTGGCCGTTTAAGAACAGTGGATTCTGAATCATTCTCGAGTCCCTGTCTGAAAAAAAGGGGGGGGAGGGTTATAATATCCGGACTGACTCGGATATCTGATATGATGCAGAAAAGCTCTATTTCCGCACATACGTTGGATTTCGCAGGAGATTCCACGCATCCCTCGGAGTGATACCTGTATCAAGTGTTCTTCAGATAATGCGCAATGGTTCTTCCGAGGATTAAGGGTTAGCTCACATGTGATGTATTGCAAGAGGGGAAAGTTGTTCACTGCTATCAAAATAAACTGGCTGAAGCGCTGTGAGCAATTAAGCCAAGCTTGTCCAAAAGTCAACCGTGGTAAAGCAGGTGACAATTATACTTAAGCACAGATTATTGTGATCAGGAAGGACATGGATGCCTTCTTGAAAAGTTACCGTAGTTCGCCCAATGTGACTTGGGAAAGAGGCTCAGTTGAGATACTTTCGCCCCCGAAAGATAAGACAAACGACAAACTTCCCATTGTGATAAGGTATGCGTAGTTGGAACAGGTGGAAGTATGTGTGGAACGTGGAATGATACGCATAATGTTGAACAGGTGGGAGTATGTGTGGAACATGGAATGGCACGCATCGTGATAAAGGCAAGTTGCAGAATGGAAATATTGCGTAGAAGGAACCTATTGTATGCTAGTGTGCAGTACTGCACGCGTGTCGGAATGAGTTATATACCGAGATAAAAAAAAACTTCAAATAAAAAGAAGCCACCAATCATACAACATGGTCGGAAAGGGTTTGGAGTAATGCGCCAAATGGTGGTCGATCTATGGCTCTAGGGCACATTCATCAGTCTAGTGCAAGAATACCACACGCGTCCCGCGGGCTCAATCCTGCCTGCTCAGTTCTCCCTGGGTCAAGTCAAGTACAAAGACTGTCTTGGAGTTCTTTGGTGGTTCTATGAACTTGACGGGTTTTTTTGATGAACGCGACGAGACGGTTTGTGATATTGAAACGAATGGTCGCAAAGGGCGAGAGTGAGGGAATGATGGTCGCATAGGCGACGCTCTCGACAAGCCAGACGGGGCGTTCAATGACGATGCAGCAAGGGGTGAAGAAACGTATGGCATCGGAGATGATGCAGCAAGGGGTGAAGAAGCGTATGGCATCGGAGATGATGCTCGCAGGACAGGGTGTACCGCAGACATGGTCATTGCAGCTGTGAAAAACGTCAGTTCACAGCTATGTATAGTAGTCAAAGGTTTGAACATACGCATTATGTTGAACAGAGCGGATGAAAATTTATGAGAACCGTAGGGCAGGCGGTTGAACTTGTACTGGAAGTTGGAAGAGTACTTGAGGGTGAAAGGAGAACCTGGATGGTGAAAGATTGTGGAGACGTCGCGTCGCGGACGTGGCTGTCGTTTACTGGTATTTATATACTTTGTTACAATCCTGTGGGGATGGAATGTAGAGAACTCCAACCCATATTATTAGCGACGACATGTTGGGGATTGCCTAAATTTAGATTGCCAAATACCGCGTGACAACCCCAAAGTGAGCAACAACTCACTATTCATGTTGTTCAGCTGTTGCTTAACCCAAAGTACTTGTCATGAATACCGATTTTTCGCAGCATCGTCAGGCGGATCTATCATTGATAGTAAAATTTAGCTGACCATGACCCAAACTTTGGGTCCACTAGCTTGAGACCCGGGCCATCAACGTTTATCGACCCCATGTGCACAGGCGGCTTGCACTTAGTACGCCGTCTGCTCAAGTGGCTAACAGCTTTAACAAAATAGACTACTCTCTTATTGACATCGATCTCCCCACAGTGATAAGAGACCGGTACTAATGACCAACTTGCGGGTCTGCCAGCATGACCTAGCATACCAGGCGTCTCGATGACATGCTCCCAACTCACTTCCGTTACCCGCGTGAAATGGCTTCAGAGGCTTCCACGGCTTCGCTTGTTCACCAAGCTACATACGAACGAACCCTAAGGCCTACACCCTTACCCTATATTTGGTGGCACAAGCTGGCTGATGTACTGTAAGGCCACAGTCGGACAAAAGACGTGCTTTTGATCTGCCACTTGCCCGAACACTTACCACCCAGTTCCTGTGTGACCGCAGTGTACTGACTCCATGCTTGTTTCATGACACCGCATTTACAAAGCAATGGAAAATGTTTCATACTACTTAGAACAGAATAGTACAAGTTCTTTCGATCACTGCATCCTTGGTGGAAACATTAGCATGCCCAAGGTCGGCCTGGTAGAACGCCGCTAGTACTATAGCGCGGTTTGATTTGAGGCATCTATCACTGCCTGCCAGAATAACGATCTATACGTTGATATTAGGGTGAGATATAATTTGGAACATTTCCATACACGACTCTTGATAACGAGTGATACGGAATTGAAATGTGTGTTGAGAATAGGATATGCCATGCTTCTAAATAAGCACATTGAAAAAATGATTAAGGACGAGACTAAATGAGGATGCAATGAGATAGTAAGTACACAATAAGTTTCGGAGGAGGCGGACAGAAGGGCACGGAATACATTTCTTGGATTCGTGTGACTGCGGAGATCATAAAGAGGATCATAGTGGCACGATGCAAGATGATGCGATAGGAGGCAGACAATGCGTGAGCTGCGTGGTTCGTGCCTCGTGCAGAAGAAGATTCGAACGGCGATGGCTGAGGCAGGATGATGACTGATGGTGCGAATGCCTCCGCCAACCCTTCCACATCTGCCATCTGCATCTGCCCTACGTATATAACGATTTAAGCAACAAATTGACAGTCCTGGATGAGTTTCGAAGACGGAAATGATGTTACAGTGGTGGGGCCAGGACGATCAACGAGTGGTCGACAAATATGATGTGCCGTTGGGTCCTTGTAATCGTGCGTCGTGTTGTTGGAGTTGTGTGGTAGCCAGGTAGATGGAAGACCGAGGCACTTCAGGCTACTGGACATCGACGAGAAGATTTCGCTCAAGTATATATTTTCCCTCCTTGTATTGCTGCGATTGTTCGTATGCACGATCCTTGAACGACAAAAGAAAGAAATGAGGTGGACTATGCAATGAAATGTCTAGATGTCATGACGTACATATTTCCAGCCGAGGACGGTGGCACATTTGACGCAATAAATATCCCGAACAGTATGGTTGCCTGTGGTCATTTGGCGGTCATTTGGTTCGCCTTCTATGACATTAACACTGGAATCGGAACAGTGAGATGGGCGTCGATGTTAGTACGAACTCAGAGCTCACACGCCATCGAAGAGATATGCGCGGCCATGTTGGCCGTTGAAAGCCTGACAAAGCCCGCATCAACACACTGGACCTGGAGACGAAGGATGAGATGAGAGTTGTGACGCACTCGTGAAATCATAGAGTGGATCGTTGCAAGATGAGTCTTGCACTTGGAGCAGCCATAGATGCGCTCGCCAGCCAGATAACGACGGTACTTCATCCCCATTTCGTCTGGTGTTCTAGCTTAGGAGTGAAAAAGCGATTATTGACTTGAATGAAACTAGAGACGAAGATCGCTTGAATAGCGGAAACTTATATGAAACACTATCCTTTATACTAGGGACGTGTGAATGTAAGTAACAAGAAAGAGCAGGAAAGAGTCGGAAGTGGTGAGTTGACATAGACCTATAGTACGTCCCCGTCACACACCTAATTAAGCTGAATCTTAGCTGATACGTTTCCCACCTTGCTCCGGCCCCTTCAAGTTGGATAATAACCGATCTAGTTGACCTTTTCCATTTTTCTCTTCGCGGCTCAGCTTTACAGCCTGTTCGCATGCAACAACGGCCCATCGCATCTAGGCTAAGGCTCTGCCAAGGCCTTACAGATCATCGATCAGATGTGATACCGGGATCTATTCAAACCACTTGGAGACTGGAGCGGTGCACGGCCGTTATCGATTGGTGGAGGCACTCAAACTTTCATCCCTAGTAGGTCTCTATCTACGCATTAACGCCAAGTTTATTATGTCTTGATATCGCACAATATTTAGCTCGCGCTACCATCGGGGATCCTATGCAGCTTGTATATACTATACGAGGCTACGGTCTTGTCCCCATGATCCTCAATGGTGCGAGGAGTCGCTGAGGACTATTATTGGCTTGAATTGCCTGTGCGATCTGTAGCAGAATTATCTCCATCTTGCCATCCTGTGGCAAATAGAACTTTCTTGGAGAGCTTTTCCAATTCGGATAATAATATAGTCTGCCTTCAGTACAGTACTTATGTAACTCATGAGCGCTTCTCCTTGGAACAGGGTGGCAGGGGTCTCGGCGTACGGAGTGGCGGATGTCCTTTTTCGGCATCATGAGTGTTTGAAGTGTTTTGACGACCTCCCTGGTGTTTACTAGTTTCGCGGAGGACCTGTAAAGTATTGTAACGAAATGGCACAGGGTATGGTCTTGTAATTAAATAATACTCATTACTCACACCCAAACCATCACAGAAAAACCGGACTCAGTGGTGCGTTTGCTGTCGTGTGCCCTTCACCGAATCCGCACAACGCCTCCCCGAGTAATCGCTTCGCCAGCAACTCGTGAGTCGTACGATCTTTCTCTTCGAATTCTGAATTCTGTATCTTCTGACCTGTTACGAACTTGTATCCCACAGAGCCTCGTCGGGCCGCTGTTGCTATCATTATCCGTGTCGTACCTCCCCCAAACACCATACCGGTGTCGGTCGACAGTCCTCTACCCACTTTAAATCAATTCTTCGAGTTAGATTGGGTCAAGGACCCTCTCGCGTGCCCAGAATTTCTTCTTTTGAGACGCGATGGTGCGGGCCCTTCTGATGCAGTTCCAGGGCGTGCATCTGCATTCCAGAACTTCACTGGCGATGGAACTTGGAAAAGCAGCGGCAAGGCTGGAGCTCACGTTGCTTTTCCCGGCGGACGTACTGAAGAAGGAGATGAAGGAGGTCTCTATACAGGTATATGCGTTTCATCTACTTTCTTGACTTTATCTCACTCCCGACCTCACGGTAGCCATGCGTCAAACATGGGAGGAGATCGGCTTGGACCTTGCAGAGCGTGACTTTCTTTGTATAGGTCAACTCGATGACAGAGAGATCACTACATCGCTGGGGAAGCGACTCCTCATGATTCTGTCTCCTTTCGTCTTCCTGCAGCTCACTCCAAATCCTCTCCCCACCGACCCAACGGACGGGACCACCATCCACTGGGTGCCGCTTGCGACTCTTGCTAGTGCAGTTTTACCAGGACACATAGGTGACAAGATGAACGCAAAGAGCAGATGGTCCAGCGTGACTGTGGATGCTGCATCCAGGCTTACGCCTCGACGCGCTGCTATCTTGAAAATATTAGTTAGAGTTCTCATAGGCAGCATGCAGTTCCCTGCCATATTACTCGATCTTCCGGAGTCCGACGCGATATCAGGCTCATCCACAGGTAGCCCTGCAGCACTCCAAAATAGCAGATCGTATCCCCCACTGACGCAGGACAAGCTCGAAAAAGGATTTACAGCTACGAAGCTACTTTCTGGGAAGAACCGAAATAAGTCACGGCACCAACTCAAGTTGTGGGGTCTTTCCCTTGGCATGACGCTCGACTTGATGGCGACTATGATACCACCCACTTCGCTTCCCTCTTCTGCCGGTCTCAATAAACAGCCCACATCTCAAGATCTGCACAAAATTGCCTTGCCTAGTCTGCACCTCCCTTTCCACCCTGTAGGGGGTGAAGGAATGCGCATTGATGCTGTCGCACCCAGCCTAGCAAGTGTTTTCCCTCGTTTCTCTTATCCGGATGTCAACTTCTGGATTTGGTATGTCTACTTTTAATATTGGTCATGGGCAACTAAGTGATATTCCTTCAGGGTCTTTGGAAAGCGTTATCGCGAAGTTGTACGTGGGTGGGAAGCCAGTGTACGCGATGGAGGCTCCAATGTCCGACGGTATTTGGCCTTTCCATTGGAATCTGGTATATTTAAATTTTAATGAAACGATTTTCAGGGTCAACTGGTCGGGCACGGCACTGAATACATTCTACGCTGCGGTTCGCAAGGCTTTACTCGTAGTCTTGGTTCTTCGTGCAGTTGGTGTACTCGTTGGCCTTGTGTTTGCTGGATGGTGGGTGTTTGCATGAAGAACCTCCCTTGCTATCGTGGATTTAGGATCTTCGTTGAATACTATTCTTTTCATTACGATATCTCACTAATGCGATCCCGGACCGGCATCTCACTCGTGGACTTATTCGTTTTTACAACTTTTTCGGATCTCAAAAATCGTGAGACACTCTGCAAAATTAACTTTTCTTCATCTCTCCTGTTCATTATTCCTGATGTTACAGTTGTGCAATCTAGTGATGTATGACTTCTCTCTTTCCTTCGCAGTAGTTTCGTTCCCTAGTCAACTACTAGCCCAAAGGCAATCCGCACACCTCGCAATCTGTCTCTCCCTCGGGGTTCTCAAATGTGCAATGTGGACAAATCTTGACACCCGAACCTACTCCACTAAAACCTTCCCTTCGGGTAGCTTCTTCGGCAGCGATTTGATCGAACACGTCTTGAGGAATGTCTTCGTCGATATGTGACGATGACGGACCAGGTGCAGGTGTAGATGGCAATGATGCTGGTAAAAGATGCACATGAGAAACGGCATCCAGTGATTGACAACCACACTTACGAGCACTCTCCCGCGTAAATGTCATGAGTGTCTGCCAGCTTTCGGTCTTGAAAAGTGCATTCAGTACCGATGGATCCCCCAACAATGATGGTGAAGTCACTGTGCTGACGAGAACTTTCATGTCGACCTTCAAGGTGTCAGGAATTGTTTTGTGGAATAACACAGTTCATGCCATACCTTCGATACAAGTTGCGTGGTCTCAAGGAATGCAAGTAAATGCCAATCGCTGAGCCATTTGGCGAGCTCCAGACGTTTTGACGCATCGCTCGTTGATGTAGGGGGACTATCTGTCAACTGAGGGGCACCAAGCCTGGCCAAGGTCTTGAGAACATCTTCTATGTGTTGGTCTTCAAGTCCTGGGCGGTTCTCGATGGCAAACTGGTTCGAGCGGAACAACGGTGATGGATTCTGGGGGAAACCATGCGTGACCTGTATGAAGTGAAGCATGCTCAGTTATATAAATACCTCATCCATTTACTGAGCCTCACGTTAACGAGCAGGTATTCAACCGGGAAGCAGGGTTTGGCAGTCTTCTTGACTTCGAGGTTGTATTCATTCTTATACCTGAAAAATACGTCGGGCACGTAACGTGCCGCATCCTGACTGCGGTCTTCCTCTTTGATGCGGACAATTCCAGGTTCCACGCTAGCTTCGATCATATCGGCGTCTACCATTGCACACGCTTGCTCGGAGACTTGATATGCGGATATGTCCACTTTTCCATCTTCCGTAGCAGTAAGAATAGCGGTAACCATCCGTGATCCGAATGCTCCACTAGAACATGAGCGCGAAGGAGTAGGGTTGGACTTCTGTATAGTGGCAGCAAAGATGGCCTCTAGGGAGGACACAAAGAAGGAATGAGGGTGGCGTTTATATATGCTTTTAGTCCTATCTTCTGGATCTGGATCCAAGTCCGTGAAAATGTAACCGACGATGGTCAGTGGAGCTGAAGACATCTTGGCTAACTCTCGAATGCGAGGCTCATCCTCCCATGGAATACCAAGAGTCAATCCGTCGAGTTCACCTTCTTGAGGCGGCTCATATAGAGCCTCAACTACAGCTTTGATGCCCATGGGCGCCTTTTCATACGGCTCGTAGCGTCCAATAAGCCAGCCAAACCTTTGCAACCCTGTAGATCTCCATGCTTTGAGGAAGCGTTCTATAATATCCGGTGAAGCGATCTCCAGGTGATCGACCATACGGAAAGGCTGAGACTGGAGCGTGATTGCAGAAGGTTGACAGCCCGTACATATTCCGGCTGGCCAAGGCGGGTGCCCGCCACTGGGACAAGGATTCTTAACCTTGTACGATAATGGAGATAGGGGAGGAATAGCAGTGGCGGCAGCGGATGATGTCTTTGGCGATATCTTGTGAAGATACGCGTGATACGACAGGTGCTTTATGCTATGTTCAGCCTGATACGCAGCATCGTATGGCTCAAGTGGCATGCAATAGTCACACATCCCGTTGGCGCCATGTTTGCAGAAACGCGCGTCGCGATCTCGTGGAATTTTTCCGTTTTTCGAGCGCCAATATATGTCGACCACGTCTTCTTGTACAGTTTCCCATATATTTGACTGCACTCGCGTTGAGCTTGGCGCATCGACGGTCATTGGTGTTGCAGGAGCTTGTGAGACTTTGGTAGCATATCCCACAAATATCATATCCCCATGCCTGTCCTGTTTAATTCCGCAAGATACAGAAAATACAAACGTTTACTTACTTCAGCCCAAGGGTTTGCAGATTTCGCCCTTTCAGAGTGGACACTAGGGTTTCATTGCCTCTAGGTTGGTCCGAGACCGTAAGAGACACAGGATCGGCATCCACAGTCGTCTCTAAGATCTGAAATTCGAAGGCGTAAGATGTGTAGGCTCAAGAGTGGTTGACATCGCTGACCTTGTTCACGAGCACTGAGATATCAGCGGTTGAGGGAAGTTCGAACCGGAAATTTCCATCTTTCGACCTGACTCGCAACAACTACACAGTAGTGAGATCCTGCAATATATGGAGCACTTAATACTGACCATGTCACTTCCCTAATTCAAGTGAGGTAGGATGTCTTGTAGGAGGAACGCGTAATGCAGTACAGCACTTGAATTACATCTTCAAAATCTAAATATCCATCGCTGACTAAGCGCTACGTAGGTCTTTCCTCAGCACCTTTAGTAAGAACTGATGCACTTCACCTTAAGCTTGGCTGGAGTGCAGCTGTGGGGCCAACATTGTACTGATCAAGGTCAGATTTTTTCGTTGGTAGACTGGTATCAGTCTCATCCAGCTATGAGCGATGAGCGCTAGCGCTAAGCAGACTTTTCAAATCTTTCCTTCCTTACGTAATAATACCACTCGGTTGACTTCTCCTAAGGAGTGTCGCAATAATGGGAAGGGATTGCGACTCGCTTCGTGGTAGATTTGGGTCTGGAAACAATGGGTACTTATGATGCAGGTGACCTTTCTTCTCATCATGCCACACTCTCAGGACAGTTCTATCACCTACGAACAACTTGATTCACTCAGATTCGAATACATACAAGCAGAGCTCGCCAATTGGGAAAATATCGTGTTTCAAGGCGACATGGATGACTCGCGTAAACAGAGGGAAGCATCTTCCAACAGTGGCGATCATACATCAAATCCAGTCAACAATTCCGCTGACAATACAGGGGTACTTGACAAGATTTACTAACCGAATCAGACTCCTGACAGTTTTTAAAGACAGGACAACACTTTCACGGTGCTGCACCGCCTCATGTTCCTCCTGAGGCATACAACTACCTTATACATGCGTTACTTTCAATGCAAGGAGCTGTACCACCCCCACCCCAAACAGCACATAATCAATCGTTACCATACCCTCAAGGACAATTCCCGGCAGGTCCTTCTACATCCTCAATTTTTTCCGATGTGCCCTACCAAGCCATGCACCCCAATCTACCCCTTGCGATGTCGTCTACGGGATCCCTTTCACACTTTCCCCCCGCTATGATGACCCCACATTCAGGATTCCACAGTACAATTAATGAGCCTTCAGCGGTTGCATCATCGGCTTCTCCAGACGCAAGTGATAACGCAGACGAAACTTCTGCCATTGCTGAAGATAAGCGCAGACGAAATACTTCAGCCTCAGGTTCGTGGTTATCTCGAACTACAGACACGACACGTGAGTCTGAATACGGATCTTCCATTAGCCAGATTTCGGATCAAAAAGAAGCAGAAGACGCTCAACCTTGAGCGAAGCGTTACTGACCTGACCGGCAGGACGGATGAATTGGAGCGAGAGGCATCGGAGCTGCGACGAGAGAATAGCTGGTTGAAGGAAATCGTGCTATTAAAAAGCAGAAGGAGGGGCGCATCTGGTGGCTCACAATCCAGGAATTCACAACAAGCCAGTACTTCGTCCGCACAGGGGGGCGGTCATGACGGTGATCCTAGCAGCGACGAAGAAGAAGGTCACGAGACACGCGAAGGGAAATAAAACATCGCGTGGTGGAGGTTGAGCCGTTTACGCTATGTCATGTATGTGTGTGAGACTTATATTCAAGATCATAGATATCATGGAGATGCTTTTTTTTTCTGGGTGTGTTTGGCAGCCCCATCTCTGATAAGTTCAGCGCAGCAGCCAGAACTTTGTAGCAACCAGGACTTTGTAACCGCACGTTCGCACATTTGTATGTACCTTGTAAGGCCAAGATTTTAACCATAGTTAAACCTAATATGGCTGAAACGTTCCTTTTTGTTCGTTCATATCGGTCAAGTATCTTAATGCGTACATGCTAGCGTTTCGACAGGAAATGCAGAATTTTTACTTGACATCACAACAACAACACATATTCGTATCGGGTCTACTTTAGGGTGTACCTTAGGTCCCTTTGAGTCCAATATGATTTTTTTATTTTGTTGCGAGCTTGTTGCAGCGGCAGCAGCGGAAGTCGGTCGAAAATAGAAATGCACAAGTTCGTCACGCTATGTCACGCGCGGCACCAATGGTATCTAAAGTCCGACAAGACTCAATCGAGTCTAATTGGTCGATATACAGCCACAACGCCACGGACAATTCCGATTTTGCCTAATGCAACAAAGCGGAGATTCAACCAAGCCGACAGTGTATTTAGTTTGACTGTCACACTGCACTCATGTAGCACGCTGTAGCCTGTGGTGCTATTCTATTGACATAGAAATACCTGGAGTAGATTCAGAATGATGTATTTTATATATGCTGAAGTTCCTATGATGATAGAATTAATGGGATCTGGGTGGATCTTGATTTTAGTGTCCAAAAATCACACATTTTGGGTACACTTCCATAATGTTTCATCTCGGAAAGGTTCCAGAGCGTTTTTTTTTTGATTTGGTAGGCTTATTAAAATATGCTAATACTTGTTCTCCAGCTGTTCCGAATGAAATATATAAGGCTGAAGTGTGTTGTGCATTATGGATCAGGTATTGGTCAAGTATCTTACATAATGCGTAATACCTGCTAACGTTCTCACGCATATGTCTTTCGGACGCCCACCGTCAATTAACGTCGGATTCAAGACTTCCCCTCCAGATCGCGGTTCTTTTCCTCTGGACCATGATGGTTTGGCTCGCTGTCTTCATCATGACATGACTTGCTGATTGTAATATGCAGGCGAGTGCAAAGAACAGATGATGCAATACATGGCTTGCTTGCGCAAGAATTCTAGTGAATCCACCCCATGCAGAGTAATGAGCAAACAATACCTTGATTGTCGAATGACCAAGTACGCCAACGTCTGTTTTTGTGCTCTCAATAGCTCACATTTGCTGCAGAGGACTGATGGAGCGTGATGAATGGAGGAATCTTGGACTAGCCAACCTTGAGGGAGATTCCGCCGAACCAACGCGCACACCTGCTCCACAAAACAAAATCCATGGAACATCGCGGATCTGACGAACATCTGGCTGAGGCGTGAGTTGCGACGAACTGTAGTAATGCAAGAGTACACCACCATGATATGACAGCAAGGTCCATGTCATATCCACGGACCAATGGACATGGGGAACGGGAAGGGGTGGCGTATCCTAGGTTCTTTTTCATGGCATTAGTGAGACTGGCATGATCAATAATCTTCGGCAGAGCTTGTCGCAGAGGGGCACTCGACTATAGTCTATAGACCCGGTCACCCACCGGCTTGTAACGTATTTTGGTTTGTTTACATATTGGATAGTACTACTTACCGGGGGGTCTAAGCATAAGCATAAACCATACAATCCGTTCCAGGTCTGAGTATCCCTATTAAATATTAGCGCACGATCTTTATCTCCTGACCGTGGACTCTGGAACGCTCGATGTATGAAACTAGCTTTTTCCATTGTTGTAACCCACTACGGCATGAAGCTACTTATATCGTGTTGGCTGTTCATCACGCACGTTCCTCCTACCCAACCAGTCCACCACTGGAACAATACTTTGATACCGCGGTCATCTACTTGCATTCAATGGGTCGACGCACGTTACTAGTATGAGTCGCAGAATGGCACATGCTACTCTAGTAACGAGACCACAAAAGCAGCAGTGAATGATAGCCGGCAGGCCAGTGACTTGCCTTGCCAGGAAGTGAACGTTTCAGCTGGCAGTGCCACCTGTTCAAATCGCTGGCAACAGGAAAACATCGGGATCTTTCACTTGAACGTTCGTCTCGACACTGGTCGTTTTGAACGTTTATTGATAACCGGTGTTTTGCCGAATGCCGTGGTGGGCAATTCAAGAGAAAGGAGAGATCTTATATGAATTATGGACTGGCTGAGGTGGAAAAATAAACCCCATCTTCATCATGTGCATTATATTTGTCTATGCCCTCGTATTCACAGAGATTTCTCTGATTTACGCATCGCCATCTCAGGGTCCATTTCGAACTGTGTCTAACAATCATCAGTTCTACGATGTCCAGGTGCGTCACAGTAGTGCACTCAAGGTCATGGCTTGTACAAACCGTAACCCAGGCTCATCGTGGAGGAAGAGGAAATGTTGTCGAGAGCACTCTACCGAGCTTTGCATGGTATAGTGGACGAGGTCGATGTTTGATTCACCTCAAGCGAATTCCCGTCACAGGGGCCTCATCGACGGCGCCACCACACTCGAACTAGACAACGGCATCACTCAGGCAAGCTCTCACTTCTCAGAGTCACGCATCCTTCTGAAGGGGCTTACAGGATGGTGAAGTCGTTGTATGGCATGACGAGAGTATATTACCAGAAAAATGCTCTGACACTGCACCGGTGGTGAGCAGTGTTGTAGAATCGACTGTGATGCTTAACCGACCCGAACAGGTCCCAGATGATCCCGCATATCCTTATGTCGGAAAGTTTATATCAAATCTGACGTTGGCTCAGATAAAGACCCTCGATTGTGGATCAAAGCGTCAAACGAATTATCGTATATACTCTCTTTTTAACTGTAACCATTGTCGTAAACATTTTACACAGCTCACCAGCTTGCATATCCTGGAGCACGGATACCCACATTACGGGAAGTCTTCGACTTCGTGTCCTGCGCAGATCTGTCCCACCAGATCCTTTGGAACATAGAGTCAAAAATTAACGCTCGATACCCAAATCAAACTGCTGGCGTGGATGATTTTGTCCAGAAGCAACATGAGATATTCATATCCAGCCCATACTACCAATCTATTACGGTGAGTATGGCTCTGTTACTACTGCTCCATACTCTAATTGCCTTGCCAGTATCAAAGTTTTGACTGGCGAACTCTGGTATCCATGAAGGTTTGTGTCTCATGTTCGTCCACTCTGCTTTTTTGATCATCAGCTGAAGACATTGGATGATAAACTTATAACTTCTGCTCTTATCGATGAGTGAGTGAATTTCGAGCCAATACATTGCACGCCAACTGTCACCATTCAGGGACACTGCTTTTACGCCGCGTGGCTCAACTTCCCCGTGGCTGGCTGGCCTACGCCTTGAATCATTTCCCGGACCATCACTGTCCGAGCAGATAGCACAAGCCGCCCATGCTATACAAGCGGATATTTTATCTCCCACTGGAACATTCCTCATTCCCTCTTCGTCCCATGAGGGATCCTCTCACTTCACAACTCCTGAAATGATTAGCGAAGCTCACAGGTTCGGTATGAAAGTTGTACCTTGGACTGTGAGCACTTCTCATTTCTTCACAATAAACGATATTCACAAATCACCCATTGCAGGTGAATGGCTTGGACCGTGCCGAAGAGCTCTTCAAGGATGGTGCAGATGGAATTATTACGGATTGTAAATTTCAAGTCACAACAAGTGTTATTGATTGCTCATGGAATGCATATCAGACCCAAACGTTGTTAGGCGGTGGGCCAAGCAACAAGGACTCCGGGTGGCGCCTAAATATCCCAGACAGCGTGTCTTCTCCTGCTTATACCAGCACATGCGTTAGTGTTCTTGATGCGGTGCACCGAAGGATAGATTTTCCCCATTCGTGTAAGATAGCGATATCACATTCTCAGTATATGATTACCAGGCAGCTTAGATTTCATCAGCCACAAACTGAAAAACCATACAAATCAGGACATCACTACCATGTAAATAAGACACGTACCATCTACGTTCTATTACACTCGAGACTTGTTAGGGGTTGACACGAATACATCAAGAAATATGGAACTTCTGTTGGCCTATTGAGGGCTATTGCCCTACGTGCGGCATGCCGCCACACCGAGAACGTAAGTACATATGTCTCCAAATCACACATTCGATCGGCAAGTTGTCTACCACGACTAAGGAGGTAACTGCAACTTATGTATTCGAAAGACTTGTCTCAAATGCCACGATGAGAAAACGCTGCGTCAAAACTTGAATAGGGTAAGTTGCTCATCATCATCAGTGTATGTATCGTTAGTGCAAGGTCATTGACGATCCATGCCACAGCAGCCCTACCCTGATCTTACTTGAATGTAAATACTGTAGTACTCGAGAATTGCCCAAGGCGTACGAAGTCAATCGAAGTTGAAATCGTAATGTTTGGGCAAAACGGGATGCATATTCTTCAAGGACTTGACTTGGATTGGAGGAAGCCCCTCATCACCGACCCAATGGCGGCCATAATTCATGCTTGCAGATATATATGTCGTCTAGTGGCCTCTCGGCTAGGTCTTGTAGAATGCCATGGTTTTGCTTCCACGTTGATCGTGTGATGGGACAATGATATCAGGAAGTATTGCTGGGCATCATGAAGAAGGTTGATCATCGTGTGGAGCACCAAGGTCGATACTTGAGAACGCAGGCTACCCTCTGAGGAATTATCGTTCGCTGGCGTGAAGGGAGCAAATTTGAAGAAAGCGAACCCTTAGTCGGTGCTGGTATATGGAATACTGTCAGGCCGAAGTGCGCGAGACTTTGTTTGTGAAGGATGTATGCCAGCTTGAATCAACCTGCGACCTAGCTCAGGCATGGCGGTTTGGTGAGAGTGTTTGTTGACACACCTGTTTGGCCAGTCTACGAAATTGAGAACCTACAACACTGTTGGAGTACGTCTATCGTATTAGTGGGTGCAGCTCATGATATTCGCCTCATTTCTGATGGCTATCTTTCATCTGGGAAGGCTGCCACTTGCTAGCGATGCCACCACGCTTAGGTTAAGGAGCAGCATCTCTGAGTCACTAATAAAGGACCTCGAAGACGCGAATACTGGCATATCGGCTCCGGCAACATTGGCAGTCAACTTTATTTCGGATCTGAAGGCTGTATTGAGTGTACTCACGCAATTCTAAAGGGTTCGGCAGCCTCAAGTTGAACAGATCGTTGCTGAGGCTAACCAATATGGAGACAAGAAACGGGAAACAAAGTGCTTTCGGGATCATTACTAGAACTGTAATAAGAATCGCGCTCTACTTCATGAGGGACAGCTCTGTGGATGGATGAATGGACGGCTTGGGTATAAGTGCCTGGAAACAAAGACTAGACCGACCAAATCAGCCAATCCAGCTAGTGCATCTCGTGTTCCTATGGGCATTGGGATGTCTGGATCCCGCCGTTTTCAGGTCCTGGAGGTGGCTCAGATACCTCCGCCTGTCAAAGATCGAACTCGTTCAAGATGATTTGGCCGGGTTGAAGACCTTCTCCGAGTCGACCCAATGAATCTCAACGCCTCGAGGGTGTCGCCGGAGATAGTTGGCCTTCTTCCACTCGGTCGTGTTATTATGTCACGATGTATGTAGTCATTACAACATGCTTGGTCGCACCAACCAAGTTGAAGCGGACGAGGAGGCATTACTATGTAATTGATTGTTTGTCTGTGACTAAGATGTCACGGTGCCATCCATGGTTATGATATACTGTATTGCAACCTGATCGTTCGTTTATGTTTATGTTTCACTGCCACGTCCTGTTCGAATGCCTCGAGGGTTCGCAGTTATACCCAGCTACTTGATGCTTATGCGAAAGCTTTGAGTGCTGCCAGTGACTCAGTGTACCACATGGTAACGGACGAACTTGAAGGCTCCCCAAAATCCAAACTGTTACTCGGCACTCGTGTGCCCATATTGAATGACTCAAAGCTTCTCTTACCACAGAAGTACAGCAGCAGGTCTGTAGACTTCCACTTGCTCATCTTTCTCTTAGGTTGACGGTCTCCAGCCGCTGAATTCGTTCGCTGGAGATGAGCCACCCACTGACAGGCCATGGACGATAGCCACTCGAACTATGGAAACGCGGCTGTAGAATCACGCAAGAACTACCCAGAGGATTATCCTGAGCTGGACCACCTCTTAGAGAGGTGGGATGAGCATCCATCTAATCTTGGTGCCCCTGCAGATCCAAGCGTGTACAATACTGATTCTGATGAAGAAATCTTCGAACGACTTGGCCGGCTCAATATCAAGGATCTTGAGCACTCAAGTAACGAGGAACTTCACATCCTGAGTGGATGATGGTGATGCAAACGGACAACCTGATAGTGCCCTTTTGTTTCTCAAGGCGTTGATTTCAATCTCGGATGAAGTTCGTGAGGCTGCCGACATTCATGCTAACTCCTCGCCCTACATGACCGCAGTCAGGAATACCTACATTTGTGCCTTTATTTCTGCAGCACGCTGCTACCCACGCATCTGTATACCATGGCCTCGAAGGCAAGAAACGCCTCCGCGCAACTCAATACACAAACACTAACGAATATTCGGGCCTAGGTAATTTTGCCCGCACCCCGCTTAGCATTCAGTTCTATTTCTTCTAATGCGATGGGCGCTTCATCATCCTTTCGTACTTTCCGAACTCGAGCCTCCTAATTGCACTGTTGATGACTGTGATGATACATCGCACACCCAAAAATGACTATCCGACGGCACACTAAAATATACACCGACATGAATCATGTCCGATGTACCTCCAGAGTACGCTTTACAACGACTTCTTCCACACCCGGGAAAGTGGGCACAAATCCAGAATTGGTGGCGTTCACTACAAGGAAGTAAATGGACATTATGTTATATGTAGTAGCTCATTTACCGTTCGCAGTAGGATGCCTGGGTCTTAAACCATCCAGCTGCGCATGATCAAGGAGTCGTGCCCTTGGTTCAAGAAGGCCATCAGCCGCTTGACCAGTGGCTACGGAGCCCTCGAGCACTCTTCAGCAACCGTAGTAACAGTGAAAGGTTGCTTGCTCATCGCATTGTGATAATAATAATATGATTGTTCAGGAAATCACAATCGCGCATTATCGAATCTAGTGGACGCGCCTGCTCACAAAGCGGTTCATCATTCATCCACAGTCCACAAGTCCACATCATCTAGACATAAACTCGCTGCTTAGCATGACATCTCCCATCAACTCATCTTCATTCACACCACGATGTTTTTCACTACACCTCTCTCCACGAGTCCCTACCCTCTCGACTACTATCTCCGCGACTGCCCCACAGTCTCATTCGCTGTTAGTACTCGTGCTGCCCAGTATCTTGGGGAGCAACGTGAGCGTGCATGGGCTTTGCGGTACCAGCAGGAGCCTGTGAACCAGCCTACCCTAATTGCTCTTCTTGCTCAAGAATACGATGAATTTCCCGACCAACAGCGCGTGATGGATGTCTTGTGTGCCTGTACGCCACAGGATGAGGAGAAAATTGGTGGTACCATGGCCCGCAAGCACGCTGAAATGCGCAGGATGCGAGAGTTGCAGCATTTTGTTGCTTTGCAGGCCCACATCGAGGAGGAACAAGGTTTTGCCCGTCACCGCGCAAATGCTGAGAAATTCCTCGCAGAAGCTGAGGCCTCCCTCAGCGATTTTCTACCTCCGGATCGGGAACCATACCTCAACACCTTTCAGCCTTTCGACCTGCCTGATACTTCTGTATGTTCTCACGTGTCCAGTGGCTCTGTTTCATGTGACTTACCATGATCACTCAGATCCGCACTTCCACCTCCAAGGTCATCGTAGAGGATGAACCTTTGCCTAAGGACGTGATTGAGGGCTGTGCTATGACAGAAAATTGTGTTGTGGCAGAGTACCGGTTTGAAGAGCGCGATACGCTCCAGTCGATCTTTGACCGTCTCTCCGCAGGCACTTCGACCGAAGTTCCTATTGAACGCGTTCCCGTACCATCCACTGCCGCGGAGACTTCTAGCTCCATGCAGGTCAACGTCAACGAAGAGGGATAAGGAAAAGCCAAGGAGATCCCTGGATTTGACGCCGAAGACCCTGTGACTATTGAGCAACCCGTTCACCCGATGCATATTGACCTCTCGGAGGACATGAGCAAAGTGGATGTGAGTGCATTCTTCCTCTGTTGAGAGCTGTGAGAATGAGGAATGGTTTCATATTGTTCAACGCTTGATCATTTTGTATCTTTTAATTTAAATATCACTTATGTTCTACATATACTTTGTATCCGTTCATATTTACTTGATTACGGTACTCCAGTATGTAAAAGGAGTACTAACAAACTCAAATGCATATATCTCGTACATAATTGTCGCATGATGGATAACGCGGTGCATCGATGATATCGATCACTCCGGACAATGGACATGTCATCTTGTCCAAGACAGGGCTTAAAGTCTTACATATAATCATATTCCTCATGCCATTAATGTCCCTGAAGCTACGACGTTGACTCGACCACACAAAATTATTCATGACATGAAATAAATGAGCCTTCAGTATCTACACCATGTAAGTGCCTAAGCACAAATGACCCTGAATAACCACTGGCTTGGTGGCACTTGCGTCATGCTATTGTTGATTGCATGGATCACGTCGGGCCATGTGCCTGCTTGGACCAGCCTGAGTCAACAGTTAACCCCTCTTCATCGGATCTGAAGGATGTACTCACGCAATCCAAAGGGATCAGGAGCCTTGAGTTAACAAGATTGTTGCTGAGGCTACGCGAGGCAGCAGAAATCGGAAATAAATGCTTTCGAGATGTGATGCTCATGAAAAAATGGTTGAGTCCAACTTCATGAAGAACTGGGTTGATGCCTGGAATCGAGGACTAAGTCAACATGCGCGAAAGTAGTCCCATGTTGTATCCATCCTATACACATGGGCTCCAGTGGGGTGTCCGTCCATGTGTATCGTTGCCATTTATTTCTAGATCCTACCGCTTGTGTTCTCCCAACGCCTTAAAGCGAACGAGGACAAGGGAATCGGTGGGACCGTGCGAAAATTTACTAGTACTGGCAAGACCAACGACCGTAAACGTCCGATTGTTAGAAAAATACTCCGCTCGAACAGTTACTAGTTACTTGCAACCACCGCCAGCATCGTCTGACATGGCTTCCTATGCCATCAGGAAATCTATAAATCTCGCACCGACCGTGCGCGCACTCCCAAATGGAATCCCGAGCGCGCCGCGTCTCAATCTCGTGGCACGAGCACCTTCGGATGGCCATGGTCATGGTGCGGCAGGTCCCCGTGCTGATGTCCCTACACGCTTGACTGGAACAGTCACGAGTCCTTCAGTTGGTCTAGTTTCCAAGACTTTCGTTGGTAAGTAATAATTTTTCGCCTTCCTTCAACTTACCTTCTCAACACTAACGCTGACCCAAACGCGTCCCTTGCCATTAGCTCCTCCCCCCACAACCCATCTTCACCAGCGCCTCATCCACACATCTGTGGCAGTGAAAGATGCTCCTCAAGTGCCTGATTTCACCCCCTACACCCCGAAAGACGAAACCACCAACCGTGCCATGTCGTACTTCATGGTTGGCTCTCTCGGTGTCCTCTCCGCTTCTGTTGCCCAGTCCACTATTACTGGCTTCCTGGAGACCATGGCTGCATCGGCTGACGTCCTCGCTCTCGCGAAGACCGAGGTAGAACTTGCCAGCATTCCGGAGGGCAAGAATGTCATCATCAAATGGCGTGGAAAACCTGTGTTCATCCGTCACAGGACCCCCGATGAGATAGAAGAGGCACGGACTGTTGATTTGAAGGCACTCAGGGATCCTCAAAGGGACGAGGACCGAGTGAAGAAGCCCGAATGGCTGGTTATGCTTGGCGTTTGCACACACCTAGGTTGTGTCCCGATTGGCGAGTCGGGTGACTACGGAGGATGGTGTGTTATTTTCCTTCCATTACTCGACTGTTCTGACAGTCTCGTTATCTAGGTTCTGTCCATGTCATGGTTCTCACTACGATATTTGTATGCCGCCATGGTTCCTTTGCTTAGAGTTTTACTAACCAAGTTCAATTTGCAGCTGGTCGTGCCCGGAAGGGACCTGCTCCGGTAGGGGTTTTTCCTCTGTATTCTGAATTCATACTGACACTATCTTGCAAGCTTAATTTAGAGATTCCTCCTTATGACTTCAATGACGCCGAGGGAAAGCTCGTTGTTGGATGAGATTAATCATGTGCTGTTTTTACTGTCCTGTCACGGAGTCATAGACATCACTAGAAATCAGCTTGCAGTTGCGTCTCGTCAAGATTTGTGTGATAATTATTGCTGAGGTGTTCTGAGTCTGAGTATAAGTGACAGCGGCCGGTACACAGTACAGTGGGATAGACAAACTCGTAACGACTGGTTGGAATGAACTTTTGGCGTCGGAAACGGACCCGTAAGCATATAAGGCGAGAGATTCGCAGCGCTTGATTGCAACTCTGCGTTGTCCAACATTTGCCGCCGTGCACTGTTTCGGAGTTCCTTGACTTTCATGGAAATCATTTGCTTTACCATTACTTTCAGTAGTAATCTTGGTGTATGTATCAAGATGGATATGCCAGTAAGTCCCCGACTCCACTTTAGTGGAAGAGGGTTCTTGATTGCAACAAACGGCCATTTCTCTGCAAACGCATGCCTGCGAACTTATTTCCTGTTTTACATCCGTGCGAATAGATTAGCTCAGCTGGAACTGCACAGTTTCTTTGTCGTTTTGATCCGGTCGTCTCATCTCTTTCGCCTCTCTACTCAGCCCGTCTCCGTCATTTTGTTCCAATCATCTTAATTTATTGACTGAAACGGAGGGTAATGAGCCTGACGTGGGGCTTGAGATGGAAGAATTTCGGGGAAGGAGAATGGACAGTGAATGCAAACGCGTTCTCATGATTTCATACGTGGGAATCAATTACCAAAACCATTGGAAGAAATCAACGAATTAACAAATGACCTCGAATGTGTCACAGCCCGTCTTGTAAAGATCAGTATAAGGGCTTCAACTTTGGCCGGACAGCTGCAAGCCAAGAATTGATGGGATAAATGATAAATATTTATTGGAGTGATGACAACTGGCCATATTTAAAATCAGGGAGTCGGGGAATTGGTGCGCACGCACCGTTACTGATTAGGTAGCTCTGAGGAAGAACCTGATGACAACAACAATATTGTCTTCTGATCAGATGTACACTAGCTCCCACAAATGTCTCACTCAGGTGCTTACGGGGTCCTCTTCTGGGCATTTCTGAGCGCAAATTTTGCGATTCCGCATGGCAGCTGTAATGGTGAATAGGGACTAGACTGGCTGTAGATAAAATTCAACGTCCTGTGTAATATTGGTGTAGGTAGTGTAGCCTTGACGATGGTAAAAGTTACGAGACGATAGGACGTTGAGCCAAAGAAGCAGAGCTCCGTCTGCTGAGTATACGTGATAACCCGCTCGTTGTCTTCTCTTTGGTAGAGGTCTCTTCATTCATGGCATTACGGGAAGTGGCGCGGGTTAGGCGCTGCCAAAGTTTCGGGGAAACCGATGATGGGGGAGAGGTGGGGGCAGACCCGGCAGAGGCCGGGCCGTCTTTGGAATACGAGACAGATGAAATACGAACGTTGGGTGACGCTCGCTTTGGAATGGGAATGGGATCAGGTACGGGACGTGGCTTAGGCACATATACAGGTGGCGATGCAGGAAATGACGAATCCGAACTTGAAGATTCTCCGTATCCAGCGTGGGCTTGCGAACCCGAAAGGAGAAACTCAACCGTCTTCTCGTTCTTAAGATCCAGAGCTTGGACGTCGATGGACGTCGAGTCTGAAGTAGGTGTTGTTTCTTCTTTGATACCGCGTGAAAGCTCGAATCTTGGATGTACTGAGCGAGTCAACTGGTGATCGTTTGATCCAACATCGAGACTTCCCCTTCCGGATACACCCCCTGAACTATCTCGTCCTGGACCCAAAGTGATCGATGATGAATTTGTCTCTGTAGAGTTAAAGTCCCACGATTCCACTGTTCCATGAGTAACCGTGCTTGGATGATGTCTGCGACGTTCTTGGCGCATTGTAAGGGGCGGGAGGCCGTCTAATATTGTGCTGACCAGATAGGATTTCTTCTTGGCAGACTTGAAAAATGGGGTGAGAAGCAACTTCGCAGCCGTTGGACTGTCAAGGAGATAATATGAGATATAGAGTGACGAGGTGCTGGAAACAAAAATACCGTTTAGAGGGATCTTTTACCAGACAGGCATCGACTACGTCCTTGAAGGCGCGTGAATACCGGTGAACACCCCCTACCGAATCAAGCTTCGGCGGTTTACCCTGAACGCTGGAAAGGGTTTAAGGAATGTGATCTAAACGGATAGGTTAAACTTACGTTTGCAAAAGGACATTATGAGCACTTTCTCTCGATCGTGGAGGACGACCTTGGGTAAGCTCGATAGCAGTTATTGCAAATGACCAGATGTCAGCCTTCGAATCATAACGATGACCCTGAATAAGCTCGGGCGCCATCCAACAGGGCTGCATAGTTTAGAAACGTTCGTGTCAGGGCATCCTAGGGTCTGAATGGCACGCACGGTCCCGACAAACGATTGTCGCTTTCCCATACCAGGACGCGCAAGTGGGGATGCAGGATAGGAGCTATTTGCAGGAGACACAGGGTCAAAGTTGATAACACGATTGCCAGTGTCATTGTAAGATCTACTGGACATATCAGCATCATCTGTGAGAGATGCGGCTACCCCAAGGTCGCCTAGCAAAACGGTGCCGTCATCATCAATAAGCAGATTGGCAGCTTTTATGTCGCGATGGATAAATCCGTTAATATGCAGGTAGCTGTGCAAATGTGGTCATTGTAGCACGGGAAAGGAGATAGAATGGACTAACTTGAGGCCTTCAAGGGCTTGCTTGAGGATGCATTTAACAACCTCTTCTTCCATTCCACCGGGCCAACCGTAATGCATTATATCGGCGGCGCTACCTTTGTTCATGAGGCGGAGGGCAATATATAATTTGTGGCCAACCATCCAGCTGCCACGTACACGTAGTACATTTGGGTGTTTTGACAGGGACATGAGTTGTGTCTCCCGCTGTAACAAAGACAGCGACTGAGGGGGCAGCACGTCTAAGTCAAGAACTTTCAACGCGCATGGCATAGGGCGTTGTGGCCCTGGCGGGGGAGGGTTGTATACAGCAGCATATACCACAGATGATGCTCCGAAACCGATGGGAGATCCGATAGTGTAGTCCGTGGAACGGTCACTGAATGGAAGTGAGTCTAACTTATTTACTTCAGTAGATATTTGTATTACCTATACAATTGCCAATCGTCTTTAACGGAACCGACGAATTTCCTGGCGATATTAACAGTCATTTGGTTAGCCCTGCAGCATACCGTCAAAGCTGCCCTGGAGTGAGATATATAAGTACTGCCACAGAGCCAGGGCCCGCATCATACGACGTACGTGGATAGCCAAATATCCTTAAACGACAGTCACCCGGTGTATTAAGATTTGCCGTAACTGCGCGCGAAATTAAGGTTATAACTTACAACGTTGATTTTCATATGTTGTATGTCATCGCGTGACAACACCGTCACACTCTGTTCCGGGCATTCCGAGTCCGTTGGTAAACCATCCCTTCACAAAGTACATGGCACCGCATCAACCATGCGCTAAATATCAGTACGTACTTACATCGTCCACTCCGAAGATAGTCCCGGTCACAGACCAGGAGCTCAAGGATGAAGAATCACCAGCTGACTACAATGCTGGCGGGTATATGGTCATCAAGATCGATGATACATTCAAAGACGGTCGGTATATCGTAGCACGCAAGTTAGGGTAAGTCATCATATTTTTTGCCATAAAATTCTTGTTCATTCGACAAGCTGGGGCCATTTTTCAACTGTCTGGCTCGTCAAGGACACTCAGTGGGTATTCCAGTTCTGCAAACACACGTATGTTCTCATAAAGTATTTTTTTCCTAGCGAGAACCGCTACTCTGCTGTCAAAGTGGTCAAGTCTGCTACGCGTTATGCTGAGACTGCACGCGACGAAATCAAACTCTTGTCTCAGGTAGCTGCTGCAAATCCGCACCATGCTGGTCGACCACATGTTGTCTCGTTCCTCGATTCTTTTCAACATCACACTCCCCAGGACACTCACGTGTGCATTGTCTTTGAGCCCCTCGGAGAGACGCTTCTCGCATTAATTCAACGCAACAAGAAGAAGGGTGTTCCAAAACCCCTCGTCAAGGTCATCGCGAAGCAAGTGCTTCTCGGCCTTCAGTATCTTCACGATGAATGCGATCTCGTTCACACTGACGTTAAACCTGAGAACATTCGTGCGTATCTAATTGTTTCTGTATTCATATCCGCCCTACTAACACCTTACTCCGTTAGTCATTTCCATACCAGATGTCGAAGCTCGTATCCATGCTGAATTGTCTATTTCGCCAAAGCCAACGTCGCATCACGTAGGCGTTCCTCAGCCCACCAAGTCCCGTTCTGGCTTAACCATTCCTTATCGACATGCCCCTGCATACGAGAGACGCGTACAAATATTTGATTCACAGCCACTATCAAGTCCATCATCGAGATCTGGAAGTATGAGCGCTAACGCGAGTAGCCATAGCTTCCAAAAGCAATTTTCTGGGACAACTCCGATCAGTGGCGCACCCATCAGCCAGTTGCTTAGGAAGTCTGCTAGAGCGGACCCTACTACCACCCTTCATGACTCACCAGCAATACCTTCCAGTAGCCCATCGACTTCGTCTATCATCTCCTCCTCGCTATCCACGCCAGCGGCTTCTAACAGTACTGTTAGTACACCTCCCACCTCGGTGGGAAGTGCAGACATACCCATCCTGACGAAAATGGCCTCGCTTACACTCATGAGTGCTTCGCCGGATGTCACATTGCGTCCAAGTACGGAGAGTGACATGGTCTCCGCGCAACACGTATCTACGTCTCCCCTCATCCAATCACATTCTTCGGATATTCACCACATCGCTTCCGGGCCGTCGCTTCTGACCCAGACTGCTCCGCATCAGTCTTCCGGGCCGTCTCTCAACCGAACTCCGTCGCCTCCTTCAGGGGTGCCCGTTCTAGGACCGCCATCAACGCCGCTTTCTACGCCGTTTTCTACGCCGCTTTCTATTAAGATTGCCGATCTAGGCAATGCGACACCTTCTAAGCAGCATTTTACAGAGGACATTCAGACACGGCAGTATCGCGCTCCGGAGGCTATTCTTGGACGGCGTGACTGGGGGACAAGAGCTGACGTTTGGAGCGTTGCTTGTGTTGTTTTCGAGTTGTTGACTGCGGAATATCTGTTTGACCCTCACGGACAAGGCGAGATGTTCACAAAGGACGATGACCACATGGCGCAGATAATTGAATTACTGGGTGATTTTCCGTTAGATGCGAAGATGGGAGGAAGGTATAGTCGTGAAATATTCGATCACGCAGGTAAGTCAAATTGGAAACAGAATTCAAGCAAAGGACTCACGCTACGTTCAGGGGCGCTTCGTTACATCAAAACGTTGAAGCCATGGCCTCTGAATCGTGTCATGACAGAGAAATACCTTTTCTCTGTCTCGGAAGCGAACGATTTATGTTCCTTCCTTGAACCCATGCTTGCAGTCGATCAAAGGGAACGCAAAGAGGTTCGCGATATAGTTGACCATTATTGGCTAGATGTGAAGGACGAAGAGTGGGTAGGCGTTGACAGTTGGTAATGAACCTCATATTTTGCTTGTGTTGGTGCTGTCGTTTTATGGGGTTTATGTGTCTTGGGCTATTTGAAATATACCCCGCTTTAACTTTTCTTTCACCCTACTTCAACAGTATTTATTCCTTATGGCTGCACGGTATATTGATATCACGATGACTGTTCACGACTTAGATTCAGTCACCCCTTCATTTTACACTTTTTTTTGCTACATGTATTGCACTCATGCTTCTGATTCACTTCGAAACGCCTCATGGTAAACTCAATGCGTGTGATCGTCAGGAGGAGTCACTGTGACTACTAATAAGTCGAACAAGTTCTGAACTCACATGATTTTTAATCATATGTGCTGCCAGCCCCCGACTCGTTTATTCTTGCCAGAAGTGTTACCTGTAACCTGACACTGACAGATTGATCTGTTACCAGCACTCCATATGATGTTTTGTTGGCAGTTCAGGCACCCACGGGCATTGGCCACCTATGGATCCACGATTAGCTTGCAGACCAGAAGGGTCTCCCCTAGTTGATTGTTGTACTGTAACTATGACATTTCCCTGTTGACTGCAATAATACAAATGACGTTGTAATCGAGTCTCTGCTAGTACACGTCGTAGAAAGCAGATCTGGTATGTACCGCCATGCCATGTGCTTACCATTCCCAAATTTTAGGGATGTTCGCGCAAGCTTATAATAAACACATACTATATCACCCATAAGAGCACCCATCTAGCAAGTCGTCATTTTCCCTGAGGAAGTTCCAGAAAGCTGAAGAATTAAGGGACAAATGGGAGACTTTTGCAACTTCTCCTTCATTGGTCGAGGATGCGAAATTCCCTCCCCTTCTTGCACCACCTTATTCCCCTTCTCCTTCTTTTGCCGAGGCAGTGATCGACGTCGCTCACTGGTCGATAGTTGAGAAGATATTTGTCAGTAATATGCATCAGTTTAGCAGACACTTCACTGATGTATTGCAGCCTAATGAAGCCACGCGCATCACAAATGAAAGTCGACGCGTAATCAGCGAGGCTGGTCAACAACTCATCCAAAGCAAGAAGTTCGCCATTCTTACTGAAAAAGCGAATGCGAGCGAGATAGAAGAGAAAGATATTCTTAGTCTACTCAGTCAGCGCTCATGCCAGTTTTTGTTAATTGGATCTGACATTTCACTTGTAGTCAAATCAAACCTATCGGCAGATATTTCTAGGCGACTTTCTGACGCAGATCTTCTATCCCAACTCTCGACGTTCCTTTTCGCCAGCTCTGACTCTACTATGTCCTGGTGCAGCCACCTCCTTTCCATCCATCCTGATGTCCAAGGTCGCCTACGCTCTGAACTAAACTCGATGTCTCCTTGCGCATCCAATTCTTTATCAGTGTCAGGCTATTCTGTACCGACACACACAGCAGCTATCGACGGGCTTCCTTTCTTCGACGCAGTAGTTTGCGAAACACTCCGCCTGTGCCCTCCCGTCCACGGTACAATGCGAGTTGCTACTCGTGATGACGACTCGGATATCCCGATATCTTCACCCATAGTTCTTACGTAATGGCACGATCATTCAACCCCGGGCGAGACCATCCATATCCGCAAAGGCTCTTATGTGCACATTCCCATCGAGGCTTTGGATTTTAGCACTGACATCTGGGGCGAGGATGCAAGATTGTTTAAGTTTTTCTTCGCTGCGCCGGTTTCCTGAAAACTTCAGCCCTGATCGCTGGTCTTCTCTGCCTCACCCCGCACGAGCTCCCTCTCATCCAGGAATTGCAAACGTGATGACGTTTTCATTCGGTCCACATGCTTGTCCAGACTGGAAGTTCTCGATGTTGGAAACCACCAAGATATTCCTGGCGACTCTCATCCCTCATTTTGTTTTCGAACCTGCTGCGGATATACAAAAGTTCAACGCAATTCGGACGCGGCCCTACGTGTACGATCGATTCGAATTCGGCACATGGTTACCTGTAAAAATTGGACGAGTAAATCTCTGATATTTGTACAAGGTCCTGTTGTAGCAAATCGGTTTTGTATCTTTAGTCTATCCTTATCATCATTCAAATATTCATCTGATTACCAGCCTGATAAATCAATGGATAATTTATCATGGGCTAAATGATGGACTATATGGTTCGTGGTGGAGTTTCACCACCGTGCAGGGTCACATCGTTGATGGCGCCGATCAATATATCCACCTCATCCTCTGATGATATAGCATACACTGTGCTATTGGCCGGGATTTGCCTGGTTTCCTCGAGAGGCGCGACAGGACGAGGAGAACCTACAGGAACTTCGTGAATCCAACAATATCCAGTACTAAGGCAGATCTCACCTTGAGGCAGAGCAGTAGCCATCCTGCTGACCTTAGGGGTCCTGGGTGCTCTTTGCGCGAAGAGGGGGATGAGTTTTCCGAGCTTGCAAACACCACAAACTAGGACATATTCAATGAACCTACGTGTGATATTGAAAGTACATTCGAGAGCCGCTCACCACATTCGTCTGGTCTGATGGATTTGCTATATCGGCCATATCTAGTGCCAGACCATCAGACATTGGATTCTGGTGCTGGACCGCAACTCGACTTACATTTTTGAACACTTCTCGCATTCTTAATCAAATTATCAAAGTGGCGCTTCGTTGAAGCTGAATCTCATACTCACTCCATTCGAATGGGTACGAAATCTCATAGTTGTGCCTTGTCTGGGATTACAGCTGTCAGAAAACAGTCACCTTGCGGTGGTGGTTGCCTACCGTGATTTCAATTTCTGGACGCTTGATCATCACTTTGTTGGCCCTAGTGATGTATCAGATCAACAGTCAGTGAAAACGAAAAGGATGTAGGGACCAACCAGGCTTTGAAGATCTGACCATGGCCTTCTTTCGGGTTGCCATTGATGATCCAGGATGCCAGGTGACACATCTCATGCGACAAAGTATTTCGTATCCGTTCTAAACGCACACAAATCAGGGACACGGTAGAAGCAGAAACAAAGACCTCTCCACCATCACAATCCAAAATCTTGGCGGCCAGCTCGACCTCTGTCGTCTGAACACCATCCCTAGACCTGCCATCAAGATGAGCATAATAAGAGATGTAGCATAATGACTGGATACTTGTGCCACTTGGCCCTCCCCGCGGTAGTTAAGAGGCGCTTATTCCAATTCAATTTTGTCTCCCGGGGGAGACCGTTATCGAATATTGTACTATTCAGCTCTTCAAAGAGCTGTGCAGCATAGTTCTCGCGACGTGCCTGCTCCTCTGCTTTTCCCTGCTTGGGGATCCTCGGAGGTGGTTTTATCCGTGGCGTGCTGTCCAAGATTGCCCGAGGAGTACCAGCCTGACTCTTATCCTCTCCAGATGAATGTGAGTGAGATGACCCGTCATTACATCGAGTAATCGGGAAGGAGGGAATGGTTTCATTGACAGTGGATATCTGAGCACGGCGAATGGGTTTGCGTGCACTTCGAGGCTCGTTCCTGCCCGGTCAATATATGAGCTCGAAATTAGCACGAGTGGATATGGCCTCACAAAATAAGAATAGAACCATCGTCTGCATCGCTTTCATCAGCATAAAGTGACAAGAAATCTTTCGGACACTGAGCCACAGGTTTCCTCCGCATTTTTGCGGGGCTCTTGACGAGATCAGTTAATTTGTCCGGAAAGTCGGAGGATGTATCGCAGGTATCACTATCTGTTAATTCAATGATTTCCGACGATCCACGGAATGGGCTTGTGTTAACAGGAGTGTTCTGACCCTGTCGAGTACTATGTCTTCATCAAGTATCTGATATCACGGTATACAAGACATTACTTACCCGTATTTTGTGAGTCTGGATAGGTAAAAACACGTGAATTTATTTAGACATATATCTCTGCCATAGAATCTTACGGGTTGCCATCGTCGTCTGAGGATATTTCAATGACTTCAAGAGTGACAGATTTACACTTTCTATATGTGCGGGTCAACGTCAAAGAGTGGTTTTCACGAGAAGGTCACGCACCTGAGTCTTTCTTCCTCGCTATCTGATATCAACTCTGGATTCAGCTTCTTGATCATTAACCCTAAGTAACGAGTGACAAAGACAGATATAAAGACTAGTCTGTCAACAATATATGGGCACTAAGCCAGTGGTAAAATGTTTGAAACTGACCTGCAATGGACTATTAATGTGTCTCGCGACTCAAGACGCGCTTGTTCCCAGCGTCCCGTGACAATGTCAACTTGATCATGTGCATCTGAATGTGATGAGTGCTACAGTACGGTATGTTGGCGCCTCATTGCAAGGCCCGCCTAGCTCAATCGGATAGAGCGTCAGACTTTTACGAATTGTACGAGTTTGTGCAAGGCGGTGATCTGAAGGCTGCGAGTTCGACCCTCGCGGTGGGCTAAAGTTTTAGTTCAAGTTTGGAAGGTAATCAATACCTTTTGCAGTTCAATATTGCACAGGGTTTTCTGATAAATTCAAGCTTTGACCTATAGGCCAGCCAAATACTGCCGAAGCTGCAGTCGGCATTTCTCAAGTTCATGTCAAACAAGCCTGGACTGAGCCTAGATGATCACATGGCAAAAATTATTGCAGCGGTATACGCATTTAAATTCTTCTGACTTTCTACTAACCCTCCTCTACCTCCTCCTCCGCAATAAGCCTCTCTGCCTCAAGCGCGGCCATGCACCCACTCCCCGCACTAGTGATAGCCTGTCTATACTTCTTATCCTGCACATCGCCAGCGGCAAACACGCCCTTGACGCTCGTCTGCGTCGTTCCAGGGACAGTGATGACATACCCATCAAGGTCCGTTTGCAGCTGGGAGCGCACGAGGGACGTAGCTGGTTCATGTCCGATCGCATAGAAAAGTCCGCGCACTGGTAGATCATGTTCTTCCCCTGTCCTTACGTTTTTGATGCGGAGGTTGTTGAGGAGGTTGCCGTCGCCTTGGCATTCGGTTGCGACGGTGTTCCAAAGAATCGTCTGTGGAAGCGGATAAGATGTGGTAGGTAAGGGAGTATGGGAATAGAGGGAGACATACAATCTTGGGGTGATTCATGAGGCGCTTGGCCATAGTTTTAGAAGCGCGGAGTTCGCTACGGCGGACAAGGACATACACGTGGGAGCCGTATTTTGTCAGATCTGCCAGAATTTGATGTTTGATTTTCGATCTCACAGGATGGGAAGATTGAAATATCTTACAGGTCGCTTCTTCTGCTGCAGAATCACCACCACCGATGACAGCTAGCGGTTGATTCCTGAAGATAGGGACGGCAGCATCACAGACTGCACACGCGCTGATGCCGCTCTGCCAGTATGTGACTTCGCCCTTGAGTCCTAGCCTCTTAGTGCTCGCACCAGTTGCGATGATAATCGCATCGGCAGTTTCTGGTTCATCGTGTTCCTCACCCTCTCGCCAGTAACGGAAGGGGCGTGCAGAGAGATCGATCTTGGAAACGGTCTCTGTGATGATCCGCGTTCCGAAGCGAATGGACTGCTCGCGAAACCTATCCATAAGCTCGGGACCAAGGATGCCAGATGGGAAACCGGGATAGTTCTCGACTGCAGTGATAGATGAGATGCAGTGAAGATAAGGGCGGGATGGGGTGTGTACGTACCATCTGTGGTTGTGGTAAGTTGACCACCGGCAGCGAAACCATTTGCCATAAAGCCCTCAAACAGGACAGGGTTGATGTTCGCGCGCGCAAGATATACAGCGGCGGTGTGTCCTGCAGGACCTGACCCAATAATAACCTGCGCATGGGTGAGTGTTGGGGAATGATAGAAACGAAATGGATGATACAGACGACTTTTGAATGCATCTTTGTGCTCTTTGGCCCTTTTCTATTTGTGAGTGGGGCCATGTTTGAGTGATCTAGTGCAATCCAAAGGGGAGGCAGTTATAGTTGCGAAAGGAAGGGGCCTTGAAGCGAATTAGAGAAAGCATATCTCTCTAACTTTCGCCTGCTTGTCGGAAAAAAACTAAGGGCCATGACGCCGGATTACGGGTCTGGTTAGCGCGCTTTGAGTATAAGACCTAGGCCTTGAATGACTACGAATTTGGTGTTGCGGCAGGCTAGGTGCAACGTAAGGCTGTCAGAAGATCATCAAAAAATTATCAATGACATGTTTAGAGCCGGAATATTTTTTTGTCCGACATTCTTCGTCGACAAACCCTTTCCACATGCTCGGACAGAGACTAGTGCACCACCATTGCCGACATAACTCCTATAACGCAAATACTAAAATTATGCAAAAACATTAGCCCACCGCGAGGGTCGAACTCGCAGCCTTCAGATCGCCTAGTCATAAGAGTCTGACGCTCTATCCGATTGAGCTAGGCGGGCGATATCACAATGCCCACGTGTACCTGTATAAGGCGCAGGAACAATAAAAGACACTATGTTCACCTAATACGAAGATTCAATGGGTCTGACTAGGGGAGACTACTTATCTACAGATATTCAAAACAAAGAGCAAATGTATAGCATTGTCCGTACAACACATTGATCAAACACCGACCCTGTGGCAATATTCAAGCCGTGCACTAATATCAAAATAAATAACTTACCGATGCACGACCTTTTTCTGCAATACACATGGGTTATCATCTCATTTTTGTGGTCCGACATAGAATACTCACCTGACCAGAGAATCGTATCACCTCCCTCTTCTCAAGGATGAAGAGTGTTCGTTCCAGTGCGTGATTCGAGTAGCCCTGTTGCGTTACAAATTCCCTTACTAAACTTTGGTAACTCGTACTCCAGCCCACAGGAAGACGTCTGCGCAATTCCTTCTCTATCCGCGACATCTCGTCATTCAGCTCGCCGCGAGACATGCCATCAATGGAACCCGCCGAGACAGCGTCCATCGTCGAGAACTTGAAAAGCCGGATGGCTTCCTCGACATGATGATTCTGAACAGTAGGTGATAATGTCATCTTGGCAAGCGATTCCGATATTCGGATGATGGCTTCTAATTGGCTGTGAAACGCATTAATCTCAACATCAGTGAATCTGGAAATTGATACTAACCGAACTGTTATGGGAATTGAACTCCGTTCGTCATTATCACGTTCCACTTGCTGAACCTGCTTCCGAAGACTAACAAAATGACTGCTAAGCATTTCTTGAGCATCTGGAGATAACCGCGGTGCGCATTTGCTGGATACCACATAATTAGCTTGATTATCTTGCAACAATAGGAGATAATTCAAACCTCTTGCAATACGAGATATACCGCTTCATTTTGTCAATGTCAATTTCGCCAACAGCTTCTCCATTGTCGTCTGTACTCTGATTCGGCCGGTTCATGTGTATGTTCATGACGTGCTTGGCAATCATCTAAATATTCGGTCTTGAGTAAAGGTTTAGGATTAAGGAAGTGGACACTGACACGATCTCGTTGTTCGTTGTGCTCGTCTTTGACGATGAAAATCATATCAAAACGTGACAAAATGGTTGTTTGAAAGTCGATGTTCTGGATGCTATGTCAGCAAACTGTAAAACCCCCTCGTGAAGTAGAATACCTCGCCAGGGCTCCGACCCTCATCATATCGTCCCCAAACTGGATTTGCTGCTGCAAGGACACTTGTTCGGGAGTTCAGCACCGTCGTGATACCAGCCTTCGCTATCGAAATGGTTTGCTGCTCCATAGCCTCATGGATGGCAACCCGATCCTCATCACGCATTTTGTCAAATTCGTCTATACAGACAACTCCAGTATCGGCAAGAACCATGGCACCACCCTCGAGATAGAACTCGCGCTGCGATGTGATGCAAAAAGTTAAAGAGCACAAATTTCTGTAAAGGAATTGATACTTACAGAAACTGCATCCCGCTGGACGACAGCCGTTAATCCAGCTGCGCTAGAACCCTTTCCAGAGGTGTACACGGCGATCGGTGCAACCTGCAGGATGCGATGAGAGGGCGTACAGCGCGGGATTGGTGCTTCTCATACCTTCTCGACAAACTTGAGCAGTTGACTCTTTGCTGTCCCTGGATCTCCGAGCAAAAGAACATTGATATCGCCTCTCAATCGCATACCATCTGGTAAGACCTTCTTAGAGCCACCGAAAAGCAGACAGGTAATCGCCTTCTTGATATCTGCAAAAGAAATGAGCAAGGATCAAAAAATCAGTTCGCAGTTCGCGACAAACCGAGGCTGCCATAAATACTCGGACCAACACTCTTAGCAAAACGTTCATAGAAACCATCGCTGCGTGCCATTTCACCAAATTCTTCCTCCTCTTCAGGAGTGAATTGCACTCCAAAGGGATTCGAGGCGCCACCACCGGCAGTCGGCGAGGACATTTCAATGTGGACAAGACGAAGATAAGGTTGTCGAAGTGCAGCAGGACCAGCAGATTTCTGTCATAATTTAATATGTGTATCGGGGAAAAATTGAGATGACACTCACGTTCTTTGCCGAACTGAAAGTAGAATAAATCCCAGTCGCGACTATTCGTGAGCCAGGGACGACCTTGCCCGTTAGGTATCGGTCTGCAGAGAGAAGCATGTGCCGTGGAAGTTCACCAACTGGAACCATATCTGGTGCTTCTTGCAGTTTCAGAGTCTGCTGGTCAACAAAAGCCGACTTTGAGTGAACAATGATGTAAGGGTCTATTGGGCAATCCTTCTTCTGATTCTCCAACTCTGGTGCATCACAAACTCTTGGTAGGCCTCGATCTGAACCATTGCCTATTCCTCCAAGGCCGCCAGCAGGGTATACAACTTTTGTGGACCGGCAAGCACGACATTGAAGATGAAGCTTTGTTGCCCGCGAGGAAAGGACAGAGGCGGAAATAACGATTCCTGGTATACGGACCAACTTGTTCATCGTATTTGCTGTCAAGTCGCGAACACGTTGCATCTGGAGGCCAGATTTGATGGTGATTTGGACTCTGGGGATTGATTGAAGAGCAGCCTCTGCGCGTTCATCAGAGCCACCAGCTAGCGGGAATAGGATAGTACGAGCCGCTTTAGTAGCCGCGTTTTCAAACTGTAAATGATCTGAGCTTCGAGTGCAATAACACGGGAAATGTACTTACCAGCGGCAATATATCTGCCGGTCTGTCCTGAATTGCATGCGCTAACTCATCATTATACAGACCAACATGACGAAGATCGACCTCCAGCTGGTATTGCTTAAGGAGCAAGTTTGCACGAAGCTGATCTCTGCAAGCTTATTTAATAACTGTCAGACGCTCAGGAGAGAATAAAACTGACCTGTAGATGAATTCGCCTCCGACGCGATATTGCAACAAAAACTCTAACAAGAGTTTCTCGGTTTGGGATGGAGAGTCAGGAGATGTAACAGCTGGTGGGTCGTGGACCGAGACGGTGAACACATGATTTCCGTCGAAACCTGACATTTATGAGCAAAACAGAAAAGAGTAACTTATCTTCAATGAATGGATGTGGGAGACGCGAAGGTATATTATCCTTTAGGGCAGACAGATACGCGACATCAGACGGATATAAATATTTATATATATTCAACGTTAAATCCCGTTTAGCTCAGTTGGTAGAGCGCGTCACTAGTAATGACGAGGTCAGTCGTTCAAGTCGGCTAATGGGAATCTTTTTTGTCTCCTATTATTTTGTCTGTCGCATCACTAGGATTCAACGCTGTGGCCGCACTCGTTAATCTCACTGTCCATCATGACCTCGCAAATGGATACAGACGAACAATCCATAGTCCTCCCCTCTAGCACAACGTCCGGATTGTCTTTGTCGCTGTTGGTCCACTTTCTGTTTGATACTGTTAGTAACCTTGACGTCGTCCTTCAGGCATCCCCTGCCGATCCTGAACATTTCCGAACATTTGACGAGACTAAAGCTTCAGACTCGGTCCAATTCACCTTTCGGCATGTCCATTTCTCTGTCGTGCTTGTTACCTGTCACTGACAGCAGACTGATCAGTCCTCGGCGCATTGCTAGGCACCCAGAACGGTCGAGAAGTCGAGATTGTAAACACATTCGAACTTGCCACAGAAGAGGGTCGCGATGACCTTGTAGATCACGACTTCTTGGTGTCTAGACGCGATCAGTGTAAGTCTTCTATGTGATCCGCATCCTCGCTGGCCGAACGATTTTCTTGTCGAAGATAAACAGGTGTTCCCCTCTTTAGAGTTCATTGGATGGTACACAGTAGCTTCTGTACCGACATATCGTCATATCGCATTACATGAGCAGGCATGCCGATTATTCCTGAGCTCTCATTTGTGAAGCTCATAGCCCACAGTTCACAGGGTACTGCTCAACGCCACTCCTGCTTGTCCTACAACCCTCCACGATAACTTCATCATCATCTGATATCACTGGGCAGACACTTCCTTTCAAAGCTTATGAGCCTACCGTCGAAATAAGGGATAAGAAGACACGTTCTGTGTTCATAGAGGCACCATTTAAGGTAGAGACAGGTGAAGCTGAGCGTATTGCTGTCGATTGGACAGCCAAGGGTGGTGGTGGAAGTACCAGCCGTGGGTGAATTGCTTCATCTACTGATATACCTCATCATCCTTTCTGCAGTTGAATCTCATCTTCAAGCTCAGCGGGCAGCAGTCAAGATGTTACACGAGCGAATATTGGTTCTTGTGCAGTATGTGACAAACGTGATCGCAGGTACGTTATATGCGTCAACTTGAAATCCAGGTTATATACATTTGTACACAGGCCAAATTCCAACAGATCATACAACTCTTCGATCTTTGTCCGCCTTGATTGCCTCGTTACCGGCAAGTGAGAATAAGGGCTTCCGCGACGAATTCAACACTGTGTGTACCATTTCTACTTTACATCCTCCATCTCTGTTCGATATTCACGCTACCCCTTACTCACTCTGATACATCATACAGGAGTATGAAGATGTCCAGCTTACTGCGCTACTCTCATCGCTTACGAAATCGACAAACATTTTGAATGACGTGAGTGATATGCAATTGTTAGTCTCCTAATTCAGTTTTGATCAACGTGGGCGCTTGCCATGTAGCTTGTCGACAAGCACCTTGTACTCATAGGAGGATCGCGGGAGGATCGCACTGTAACTGTAAGGAGGAGGGGGATGGGCAGACAAGGGATGATGCCAGGGGATTGGGCCATGCACCCTTAGTTACTTGAAGAATGCTATGCCACGTATTGTGTATCCCTTCCTTACCCGGCACCAATACTCATGGATCATACTTGCCATCGAAAGGTGATTCGCTGTTCCCTGGGACCCGTATATTTGTATTGGTATATTTTTGTCTTGGACTGCGTTCAACTAGTAAGTCTGCCACGTATAAATGAGACTCCACCGTGATCAAATTCCATTAGTTCTTCCCAGTTGACCATGGCACATGTCGAAGTCGTATCACCAGCCTCCCTCCTCGGTACGGTGTCGCTTAAAGGCATTTACATTCTAGGTTATGGCTGGCTTTATGGGATGTGTAAGATCGTTCCGTCATCGTATATCCGTCTACGCTGACTCGCGAGACGATCTAGCTGTGTGGGTGTCATTTTTTGGAGGTACGAGACTATCAATATTCATCATGAACATGCATTTCTGATGGACATGTGTTCAGGAATAATTGCTTTTCGGACGTTGCGTTCGTCTTTCTGATTTACGTGTACCTCGTGCTGTCGATAATCAGACTACTTCGTTGAAACAGCTAGACACCAGTTTGGTGCTCTTCAGCACAAGACCTTCCCGATCTACTTTTCTTCCTCGATTAGACTCTCCTTGGCTTTGCTGGGGCTTTGGGCATATGCTCATTCCGAACTTCTTGCCAACATCACCAGTCCTCTTCGGGCTGATGTTGCACAGACATATGTGCTCGGATCTGTCATAGCGCTACAGAGCTGCAACCAGTTCGTCGTTGGGCCAATGACTAGCAGGCAGGTAGAATGTAGTTACAAGACCACCAGGTACTGAATTTTCATGTACGCGGCCACAGGACCATGTTCCAGCGACATAAGTTGGAGAAAGAAGAAGGCAAAAACTACAATGAACCCGGCGTAAGCTCTTGCTATTCTTTCAATCATAACAATGCACTGACGAAGATTTGTAGGTTTCCGCCCAGATGAAGGCATTGAATACGAAGTTTGGAATGCTCCATGGCATGAGCTCGCTGGCCAACTTGGGTGCAGTCATTGCCCTGACCTTTCACGGCCTGTGGATTGGAAGCTACGGGTTGTGAAGCACTTTCTGGGTATCATAAACCTGTCCTTAGAGCATCCGTGTAGCTCTCAACTGTGTCAACAGCCAGAGTAGATATTACGCAAAAATACAGTTCTAAGCAGTACAGTCATGCACCTACAGACTCCATGGATGGCATGTATCCTTCTCTTAAACTTCTCTCCAGCCTCCTGATCTCTTCGATGGAGGTTGCCTTTGCGATGGCCAGTTTGACCTTCTCGGCGTCTTCTTTTGACATCAGCCGACCTGCCTTCCCTGACAGCGCCGCTGGTTTGGGCTCGTCAAGAGTGACGGCTGCTTTTGAACCCTGCTTCGATATGGTGGTGGATATCGTTGTTGCAAGGGCAGTAGGTAAACCTTCTGCTGTAAGGAACAAAGACTTTCCCGCCTCCCGCTCCTGAAAGGTGCGAGTGTGCTGAGCTATCGACCGCGTTGAGTTTCGAACGTCGTGGGCGCACCTTATCGCGAATCCTCTGAAAATCCAGAACTCTCAGCGATGCTATTCTCCACGCAAGCCACTCGCGATACCATTTCTTTTCCCTCGCGGGGTTGCCCAAAAGGGCAAGGTACTTCAATCCCTTGATCTCCTTGAGAGGTTCGAGATCGCCAAGCTCAGCGATACTGTTGCCAGTGAGGACAAGAGTTGTTAGATTTGGAACTGAAAGGTGAATTGAGGGTGAAATCGAAGCAACTCGGTTGTTGGCAAGAAGGAGTGTTCTCAGTCGTTTAAGCAAGGGCAGATTGCCCAGCACGGTGATTGAATTATCTGTGAAATCTATAGCATCGTGCTGGTCCTATTACAAATGTAAGTTGTAATATTTACTGCCACGATATACGTGAGGTCAATGCACGTACCTTGGTCACACCAAGGTTTTCAATAGTAGGGATTTTGTAACCTTTGGAATGATATGAACATGGTTCGAGATGCAACTGATTTTTACGAGCTCACCTCGTAGATCGAGCTGCCGCTCTTTTACGGGGTTAAGTGCAGACGGGGCCTGCGCGAGAAGCTCGGGCGTGAGCTTGACCATGGCGGCTCTAGTCAAGCGTGGAGGGTGCACGCTACGTTTCAGACTCAGACAACGAAGAAGCAGCCACTTACGACGCGACGTGCTCAACACATTACTTCCTGACCACCATGAAGCCCATATACCAGAGACTCAATCTGTGCGACCCGTTGCCCACTAAATTTTACTTTTCTGCTGACTTTTTTTTTACAGATTTATTGACGGCCAGGACGCCTACACCTTTGTTCCCGTGCAACCTATTGGAGCGCAGTCTCTCACCATACACAGGGCTACCGGTGATATAGTACTCAATGGTGAGCTGCCTTTAACACGTGGCATTGCAGCTACATATGACTCTGTTCAGCACCGAACACACCTGTCCATCCTACCGCCTCGAGATACGGCAAGACAATTTACGGGATCCTGGGGATGATTTCACTGGCTCTTTGTGCGTATTGCGATTTCCAGAGGCCGCTTTGCATAGACCGATCCATATTGCAGCGGAGTATGTGATTGTAATGACAGGCCGCGAACACCGTGCGCGCCTGATGGGCCACGACATATACCGCGCGGCTGACTTTGACATTCTACCTCTAAATCCAAATGTCTCTGTTCAAAATCCACCCCACCCGGTAGAGAGACACTTGTTAGCATTGGTTCGCTCGCATCTCCTCGGCGGACACTTCTTATTTAGTTACGGTTGGGACTTGTCGAGGAGACTCCAAGCACAATGGCAAGACCGGGACAACGAAGGGAGAAAGGCCTTGTGGGAGGTGGTGAGTGCTGAGATATGCATTTGAAACTATGAAAATGACCGAGTATTAGGCCGACGACAGGTTTTTCTGGAATAAGTTGGTCGCTCATACAGTTGTGCAGAATATGCATATTGACATTTGTGGCTTCCCGCAGATTCTTACAGTCTAGGCTCACAGACACAGACATCGCACATGATGTGGGTCATTTTTATCCAGTTTTAGTGCACATTTCATGATTTATACAGCTCAGTCCTTACATTCTCCCAATTATTTATGGAAGTAAGTCTGCGCCTCAATCTTTCTGCTCATTGTTTGACGGCTTTTAGCGTTCGACATGCGCACTGTATATATCCATGGACATCGCATCCAGCTTTGCCTCATCAGTCGACGGTCGCGCTATCGTGCAGGCACTAGATACTTCCGCCGTGGCATTGACCATGAAGGCCACGTTGCCAACTTCAACGAGACCGAACAAATTCTCCTGGTTGATGAGAAAGCCGCGGGACGCTTATCGTTTGCCGAGAACTTAACGCACAAACTGAGCTTCACTCAGATTAGAGGCAGTGTGCCGGTCTTCTGGGCTGAGGTCAACACACTCAGATATAAACCTGATTTGCAGGTTATGGACCTTCAGGAGACGGTAATTTTACTTCTCATTTTCGACGGGTGTCATCGTTTTGACCACTTATAGGTTGACATGATTAAGCTCCACCTTCGAGATCAAGTTTCAGAATATGGCAGTCAAAGTCTCATCAACCTGGTGAATCAAAAAGGTCACGAGCAACCGGTAAAGGAGGCCTACGAACGCGCTGTTTCTAAAGTACATTTCCATTACACTGCTTCTGCATCTCATTGATGTGATTTAGGTTGATCTCCTGGATGTGAAGTATCAATACTTCGACTTCCACAACGAGTGCAAACACATGCGATGGGATCGTATTAGTGTTCTCATCGAAAAGATGCAAGAGGATCTCGTTCAGCAAGGGTTCGAACGAGCAACCCTTAAGAATTCTTTTACTGATGTACATGCAGATACTTCCACCTCGACACGGCACAGAATAAGGCCGTACAAATACAGACAGGCGTGATGAGGACAAATTGTATGGACAATCTGGACCGCACGAACGTAGTCCAAGCAGCGCTAGCGAAATGGACGCTTCATCAACAATTGAAAGCCATTGGGGTGGTGTCCGACAATGAAGAACTGGATGACTTTGATGCATTAACCAGAGGTTTCCGTGAGAGTAAGGCCGTCGCTGCAATCTCATCGTTGCATACTCATTATGCTATCTAGTGTGGGCCGATCATGCGGACTTAATCTCGAAGGCATATGCAGGCTCGGGGGCGCTAAAAACAGACTTCACTCGTACGAATACGCGAACGAAAATAGGTGCACTCCAAGATGGGTACAAGAGTGTCGTGCGATACATCAAGAACAATCATTTCGACGGCGCTAGACAAGTCCGTGTCTCCCAGCGCTTGACTTTGCTACCCTGACAGATTTGCAGGATGGATTTGACCTTGTTACTGGAGCTTGGACTCCTCAGAAGAATCCAGTCACCGCTTCATCCCTGGTCGCTGATACGCGACCATTAACCATCCGATCGGTACGTTTGTTCGCACTCGGAACAACTCATTGTTGAATCTGCTCCTTCAGGTCCCTTACATTTTGTTGTTTGCGCTGTTCATGATCTGCGCTGGACTTACTCTGCCAAGAACATCAGGTTAGCTACAATGTACATCATTTAGCGGAATTCGCTGACTGGTAGTTGCAGACTACTCGCTATTGTATTACTTCATGTTGTGGTTTGTTATCGCTTCATTGGCTGTTGTGTTCATGATGGTGCATGGCATCGAGTATGTCTCGTGGCCGCGGCTCATTCCTCCCACGGATATCATCTACTACAAAGGACCAGGATTTCGCTCAGCTCACAACGGGAAGGGCTTCACTGGCCCTCTAGCTCACAAGTTGGATCTTTTTGGTCAATCAGATTACTTTGGTTCCAGGCTACTCTTAAACGGGCGTAAGAGAGCTTTGACGGTCAGTGGGATGGAAGAGGGGACGAAGAAGAGAGTGGATTGAGACCCGCTACTGAACTATGTTACGCAGCGCCTATCTATCCCGGAGGCCACATTTGGACCACATATATAATCGCCCCGTACTTAATTGGATTTGCCATCGTGCCTTACATAAGCTTGGAAAATTTCCCATTTTGGCGCCGCAAACAGAATTCAAACTCCGCTGTGGCGCGTCACGCTAGGATATGCATATGTTTGGAGCATAAATCCTCCTGTCCCTTCCTCACCATGTCTGGCAAAAAACGCGCTTCCCCCGGCACAGACGTCGAGAAAAATCCTCTGGCAAATGTCGAACTCAACAATGAAGATGCCAAAAAACTCCAGGACATTCAGAAAGATGTCCAACGCGTCGAACTTGTCATAGGTGAGCTTCTCGGTGTATGGCCAGAGCCCCCGCAGAAAGCAGTAACACAAATTGACAATTTTTAAGAGCGCCTGGCTATGGACAAACTGACCCCAGTCTATGAAAAACGCCGTGCTGTCGCTAAATCGATAGAGAAATTTTGGCCTGTGGCTCTTATGAACAATAGCATGATCTCTTTTCATGCACAACACACTATTGATCAACTTGCGCTGAGCTACCTTGAAGATTTATGGATCGTTCGCGATCCTAAGGAGCCACGATGCTACACTATCGAATTCGTGCGTCATTGTTGATATGCGCCATGATAATCAACACTCTAAATTGTTATGATAGTTTTTCAAGGCAAACCCGTACTTCACTGACTCCGTCTTAAAAAAGGAATACAAATACGTACCTCCACCCGCCGCTTCGGACGACAACCCTGATGCAGACGGTATTACCGACTCCATGCTCGAGTTCTCCTGGGCCCGTGATGTCCAGCCTTCCGTAAGTTACGTGTATCCTCACTGAATCACACTATTAAACTTGTGGTAGGCAACTCCTATTCACTGGAAGGATCCTGAGAATGCCCTGACCAAACTCCACCCTCGTGTGGCTGAGGTGGATGGGGACGATGATGATATGCCTGCAGAAGCTGGCAGCTTCTTCAACTTCTTCGAGGTTGCAGATGATCCATTTGAGGTGAGTGGCGCCAGTCGGTCGCCATAGGTGCCTAACTTGGCATATTTTCTAGATTGGCGCGCAAATTGCCAATGAGATCTTCTCCGAGGCCACAGATTATTTCATGGGTAATATTGCTGGCGACGAACTTGATTCTGAAGAGGAGGACAGCGAAGACGATGACGATGACGCTGAGGAAATTGATTTGGAGAAACCAAGGGCGAAAAAGCAAAAGAAGGAATAGATGCTATCATCAGTGGCCATCTATTCGATACACATATTTATGTCTTGTCAGCTACCTAGCTTGACTGTCTTATTGGTTTATCCCGCACTCGTGGGTTGTTTACAGTAACACCTATTCTTGCGTGGTTTTCTTGAGTGATCTCTATTATCCCTGGTGGTAAGATGAATTTCGCAGTTTTCAGTCTGACCAAAGAAATTCTGAAAATCTACATGTTGGCGGTTTCAAGTACTGGGACCGCAAGGCGTACTTGCATGGCGTGTTTTGACCAGGTGAGATTGGACGCGATGGCGACGTGACGCGTGTTGTGAAAGTACATGTATGCTACTAGAGAAATGTTGGCTGTTTGCTTCCTACAAACCGTAGGAGTCGGCGACATCTGGTGTAGACACTAGAAAAATATAGCGTCTTGAGTTCTAATTTCTAAAAGTGCCATATCACATCTCGGTACATTCAATACGAAAGTAGTATAAACAAATATGTGCCCACGAGCTTGCATCCCCCCAACTGACTTGTCACAGTGTTCTGCGAACCGTAAGCGGTAGCGAACTCGAGCCTTCTCCCTTAACTCGGGGACGAATGACAAAACTCTGGAAAGCTTCAATTTCATGTGGACAGGAGAAGGCGAAGTGTCGGAGTAGAGTCACTGTCAGAGCCTTCGGCAAGTCATGATCAGATGGGGTGATCAAGGACGAACGTCATGAACGCCTACCTTTATTTCGGCAGCCGCAAAGTTTCGCCCGAGGCAGCCCCGGGGGCTGTCAGGGGTGAGCAAACAAATAGGCATCAAAAGAGGGGTACGCCTACCCGACACTAAAAGCCAACAACTCGCGGCTAGTTCTGGTACCGCGGTGGAGCCAGCGTTCTGGTCGGAAGTCGTCTGCGTCGAACCCCCATGTTGACTTGTCTTTTTGAATGACATTGACAGGTAGTGAGATGATTGTGCCTTTTGGAATGACGAGGTGAAGATCACCAGACCCTGCTACAGGTTCCGAAAGAGGTATACTGATGGTCTCAGCAGCCTATGCGAACAAACTCTGATAAATCTTTCGGCTGCCTACATTTAATCTTACCTCGTGATGATTTTCAAGAACAGGTGGATGGAGGCGGAGTGTCTCTAGGAAAAATGCGTCGAGAAGAGGGTAGGCATTGTTGAGTTCATCGAATGTAGGGTCTCCAGCAGTCGAAACTTCTTCACGGATTGCTTGCTGCCATTCCGGGCTCATGGAAAGCTCAAAGAACAGCCACTAGAAGACACTGTCAATCAAAATTTGGGACTAGTTAAGTGAACCTACAGCAATCGTGGCGGAAACTGGTTCATAACCAGCTGAAATGATGGTTCGCATCTGCGCTGCAACTTGCTCTTCATCCATACGTACAGCGGCAGTGGCTTTATCGGCTCGCACTGTGTAGATCATTGTCAACGAAGTGATGATCCTCGAATAATTCGAAATCATACGCATCAGTGACATCAGTGTCTTACTGTTCGGATCACTGACAGCTTCCGCATCCTTCAAGATATCTGTAGCCAGATCCCCAAGCTCTTTTCGGGTTTTTCTGATCATCTGCCCTTTCTTGCCGAGATGCAAGATAGATGGTAATAACCAAAAAAGAGCTTTCATGTAAAATGAGGTAAGCGATTTTTCGTGATTCGTCAAGCCATCTAGGGTTTCTGCGAGAGCGTGTGGCTGGCCTCGAAGGCAGTCAAAGTCGTACGACAACGTTGCTCGTCCAACTGTATCCAACCTGCATAGAATTGAAATGAGGGCGCACGAAACACTTGCGGGTAATACGTACGCAAAGCGTCCAGCCCAGTTAGTCATTTCAATCACAATTTCGTCGCTATGCTGGGCATCAAAAAGCTTGTGCCACTGGGACACCATCTGAAAGAAATTAGAGAAGTATTCAACACGATATATGCAGCTTACTTTGGCAGCGTTTTCGTAGAATACCGGAGTCAAGTTCCGTGCAGACTGCACACTGAAACTACGTCAACGTAGAGTTACCACCGAGATAACGTGCGCTTATTACCTTAATGCTGGGCCGACGCTACGCCGTTGCTTCTCGTGAGCTTCTTTGCCTTACCACACAAATCAGTGAGTGGGTTAAGATTTGTATTGAATGATTACCTTCCACCCAGAGAATACCCTCTCCGAGCAGCATACGAAACCAGGCACGCACGCCTTTTGGTTTGGGAAACTGGTATGCGCCCTCTCCCAAAATAAACGATATTGCGTGCGGATCCGTGACGGAAAGGAGCTGATGCTGATGAGTGATGAGAGCAGTGAGCGAGGCAACACAGTTCGAACAGAACGCCCTTACGCCAAACGCTCCTGTAAATTTCACGACATTGCCATATGTGCGGTGCCAGTCCAGATATAAGGCACCAGGTGTGTTGTAATACAACACCTTTTCTTCGCCCCACACCCAGGAGGAAGACTTCGGGCCCGGAACATGGCGCAGGGCGAAGAGAGACGAGAACCGCTGTTGAAAGAAACGTAATATGTATACGAAAGCGAAAGCAATGGAGAAATGGTAGATGTACAACATGGAATACGCAACCGGTTGGAAGAGACTTGGAGCGAGATGTGTCGTTTGTTATCAGTGGCACGATTGAGGATGCAATCAGGAGCACCTTTTTATGCGTCCTGGTACATCCAATTCGCGTAATGTTTTTGGCAAACATTTTAGATCGATCGGATTATGATGTTCGCCGTGGCGTTATGATCGCATCAAGGCTTTCAGCGATGTAAGAAAATCTGATCAGTCATAGATGGCAAGTCCTTGCTCCTGATTGACGCTTTGCCTGATTCGATGACTTGAATCTAAATCCTGGACATTGCATGAACTGACAGAGAACTCTGAAGAAGGCAATGATGAATTCAATCGAGACATGATTGAAAAGGCACCATAATGGACTCAGTCACTGGCTCGCTGCAGTACCCATCCGCGAGTCTGCTGAATCGCACTTGATCCTAATGTGGAATGATGGGCAGCAGAACGATGGATGCGAAGAAGATAGGGCGAGTTTTCGTTTTGGATCTATCTGCAAACAGAATAACTGCCTCGTGTGTGTCATGTTAGCAACGGACTGGGCAGTGCTACATTATATCGCATCGAGTATATTCCTTGCTAAGTTGCTTGACCGACTTGGAGGGTACAAAGCAGTCGTGAGATCTGATAATTCATAAGTCAGTTTCACTCCTCAGACCGGGCGCCTTACGGCAGTGATTCTGGAGTACCTTCTAGCTGAAACCGCGACAGAATTCGGAACTATAACGAATTGTCTGCATCAGTATTAATGATCGTTGGTTGATCACTAATAGTAGTATGGATGCCGTCTTCCTATCGATCCATGTCCTTTACTTTTTACGAGTGTGTCATCATGTTTTATAACTGATGGGCGGTGAAAACCTAAGCGAAAGCGCGAACATCGTGCAGGTAGATCAGTCATGGAAGATCAGAAAACCAAAGGACACGTGAAAGACACCGGGCCGTGTAGCAGGGGAGGGTAGAGCGGGGGTGACTCGAGCTAGGGCAGTGGCAGGATGCGTTCTGTCGTTGAGTCGCTGTGGCGAGAACTAAAAAGACATGAGTTCCACCGGAAATATCAAAGCTGCATGGTCGAGTAGGAACGTAGGAGAACATAAAAATGATTTCTACTTTGATGAACCTGACTACGACTGCTAAACGTGTTTGACGGACTCACACACCAGCTGCCACAAATTATGGAAACATACCAAATTTGGTAATTGACCCGGTGTCGAGCCTAACGCGATCGTGTCACTTCCTTGCAGCTTGTTACGAGCAGATCACCCACGTCGAGTGAATACAGTCAACCAAGGGTCGAATTTGTTTCGCATGTCTGCTACCCGGAATAACTCTCCTTCAGAAGATCCTCATAGCTTGCGCCACAGGTCCAGCAACGCTAACGTCGTCGTGGAGGCCCGGGACTACACCAGTCAAATTGACATGTCTCCACTACAGCCTTTTCACAAAAAAGCCATCTCATCCTCCTTGGACGGAATTCGAATACTGCCTCGCGTGCCTACGGTATCACCTTCAAACCTCGAAGATGTCGAGCTAAGTTTGTTGTCCGAAGAGGAGCGGATAAGTGCTGGGCGAAACCTCCAAGATGGTGACGCGCGTTCTTCTGCAGGTGGTGCGAAAACAATTGCTATGTCTTCTAGAGACAAAAAGGCAATGACCCTCTTGATCATTCTTTGTCGGTCACTTTCATATCTCCGAGCTTTCAATCCAGTTGACATGACCTTATAATCCTATTAGATTTAATCCAAGGAGTTCCTGTAAGTTATTTATCTTCCTCGGATGTCGCGCCGAGTGAGATGCTCACTATTCCACGAACAGCTTGGCCTTGCCCTTGGTATGATACACTTCTTTTTTCTGCTCACTCTCTGACATTTCTTAGGTTCTGTCCCGTTCATTCTCCGAGAACATCTATCATATTCACAACTTGGCGTGTTCGCATTATCTAGCTACCCATATTCGCTCAAGCTATTATGGTCTCCTATCGTTGATTCAACATTTCATCCTTCAATTGGTCGTCGAAAATCATGGATAATTCCTATGCAACTCATAATCGGCTCCTTGATGCTCTACATAGCATCAAACGTCGGGAGATTGATGGAAAATGTACGTCACAACTGCTAGACTTTCAATCGTTCACCCTGACATGCATTCAGCCTGCGGATAATATCCATGAACTCACTTTTGTATTCACGTCGCTGGTACTCTTTTCTGCAACGCAAGGTACGTACATTTATCGCGCCCCTTGTTTCATACTCAAACGTTTTACAGATATCGCTGTGGATGGTCCCTTATTTGATTTGTTTTCAGTCACGTCAATACTAACATCAATCCAGGATGGGCTTTGACGCTTCTCTCTCAGGACAATCTTTCCTACGCGTCTACATGCCAGACAATCGGGTTGAATACAGGCTTCTTCGCCTCTTTCACCGTCTTCCTAGCGCTAAACAGCGAGGCATTCGCGTAAGCAGTTTATGTTCAATACTACGCATTATTTAGTGACAACTTGCAGTGAGAAATGGGGCATTCCACGCCTCGAGTTAAGCACATATCTCCGTTTTTGCAGCCTCTTGTGTTTTGGAGTAACTTTTTGGCTAACCTTCTTCGAAACAGAGGTGACTATCAGCGAAACTTTTTGCAACAAAATTGATGACAAAATGATACATTTTTTAGGGCAGTGAATCATTGGACGGATCAGAAATGACTGTTACATCCGTTTACAAAACCATATGGAATATTTGCAAACTCAAGCGTAAATAGGTTCATTTTCGGATTGTTTGGTAACTGATGTTTTCCTTCAGACGTCCAGGCGCTCATTGTTATGCACTTCTTCGCAAAAATCGGGTTTCAAGCTAATGAGGCAGTCACTAGTTTGAAAATGATTGAGAAGGGTTTGGGTCGCGAAGACCTCGCTATTGTTGTCCTCATAGATTTTCCTTTTCAAATCTTGGGAGGCTATTTTGCGGCGAAATGGTCTAGTGGCGACAGGCCACTTCGTCCATGGTTATGGGCATTTTGGCCCCGATTGGCATTTGCCTTTTTGTCGACGCTCATCGTCTACTGGTTCCCAACACCCCCTCTTTCATATGGATTTTTCGTCTTCCTTATCATCCACACAGTGTTACAAGGACTTGCATCGTATGCCCAATCAATGAAATCCGGAGCACGGCTGATTTCTTTTGTAGGACGATTCAGTTCGTTGGTATCTCAGCATTCCATACCAGAATATCTGATCCTCTCATTGGAGGGACTTACATGACGGTATGAGATTTCCACGGTTCCTTACTTGTCGACTGATAGCTTCATACCTATTTAGCTCCTTAATACGTTTACTAATCTAGGAGGAACGTGGCCGAAGTACTTTGTATTGAAAGGTAAGGGTGTATGGCAGCCATATTCGTCGAGCGCTACTAATGCTCTAATAAAGGCGTCGATTACTTTAGTGAGGCGTACTGCGAAGTGAAGGAGGCGCACAGTGAGCTGCTTGTTAAAGGTAGGCATGAATGCTTTCTGCTCTGGGCGCCCCTCAATGCTTACTCGAAACCAGCTGCCGAATGCGTCTCTGACCGCGGTAAGGAGGTCTGCTCAGAGATCGATGGACAATGCATCACAGAGCGCGATGGTTATTACTACGTTTCAGCGATATGCATGTCGTTTGGCGTGCTGTTCCTATTTTTTTATATCATTCCCACTGCACGCAAACTCCAAGGTAGGTAAAGCTATCTATGTCACTTCGGAATTAACTCAGGCATTTGTCTAGCCCTTCCCGTGTACAGATGGCGGATCAATCCAGAGTGAGCACGGGTGCAAGATTAGGCTGGGGTTTGGGCTATCGTTCGTTACTTATTTTAATATTACTGGGTGGTAGATAGCTCTTGTTCGTTTCACACGTTGATCAAAGTACCATTGATGTAACCAGTACACTCATTGTTTGAGGTGGCTCTCGCCTGCCCTAAATTCAGATCGCGTCCTATGATATCCTATTTTCCACGGAAACGTGCAAACCATACCGCTGAGATTTTTCGCTAGTCACTTCTTGCACTAAGCAATAGCCATTAGAATCGATCACTCTGCACTAACCACACTGCAAAATGGCAACTACAACCATGCATTTTGGCCCCGAGTGGATGCGGGCGAAGCCACAAAATCCTGCCGCTCGCCCCCAAGCACCTCCTTCTTCACCTCCTCCGGCAATTTCTAATACACAGCAACAGCAAACGAACGCGTCAACTTATTCTGCACTCGTTACACCTGCCGCCGCACCAGAGCCTGAGAAACGTGATGAATGCCGTCCTTTCAGATATTCAAAGGAAGCCATGCTCAGAATCTACAAAGAAGGTGGCGGGAGAGGCGGTCTGGGACTAGAGGTGGAAAGGTGGGAGGGTATTGTACATGAAGTCAGCAGTGAACCCACAGGATTGCGCGAAATGAGCGATGTGGAAAAGAAGGTCAGGCAAATTGGACTTATAGCTTATGTCTTTGGCCTTATTGGCTCACACGAGGCATGTAGCTTTTTGCTGGGCCACTTAATTCCGAACTTCGGCGACGCCAGTCTACCGACCTTATAAGCACGCTGTCATCTCCATCTGATAGACCTAGGTTGAACCATTCCAATACCGGAGGAGGGAGTCCTATGAGAGGGTTTGGTCTTATGGGAAGGAGGAGGGACAGCACAGGTGAATACTGGAATGTCCCTGACCCATGTTGTGACACTGATCCAGGTTTTGCTAAGATCAACCACCACTTGCACTACCTCGTAAACTGTCTGTGTCTAATACACAAGGCAATTCTCCACGCGACGGAGCACTGCCTTCTCCTCGTACCCGAATAGGCGGCTTTACCTCAGGATTCGACGGTGTTCTTAACGGTGGAGATTCTTGGATGGCTAGACGACGAACATCGGAGAGTGTACTGAAAGTTGGGGGAGCATCTACGGGGACTCGTCCGGAGAGTAGAGAAGAGGATTCAAAAGGACATAACATCAAAGAAGATGAGGAAGAACAACACCCAGTACAAAACACTGCGCTTCAGCCTAGCCCTTCTGCCGCTTCTCAATTATCTGCAATCCCTGATGCCCTGCCTCCAGACACCACAAGCAACAGTCCGAGCCCGCGATCTGCGCTAAGTGCAGATTCCGTGGCACATCGTATGACTGGAATGAGTCTTAGTGAAACTGAGCGAACCAACGCAAACTTTCATCCCAACCCGGTGGCCGACAGTCTGACGACAGGTCCACCACCGGGTCTGGATCCAGCTAGCATTGAGTGGTCGTACCTGGATCCTCAAGGTCAAGTGCAAGGTGAGTTCTTCAGATTGCAGTCTTGAGTTCCAGAGGTGATGTTCCTTCCCAGGTCCTTTCAAAGCTGATTTGATGCAGAAATGGTTTGATGAGGGCTATTTTACTCCTGACCTCCTGATGAAGCGTACTCATATGGATCGAGAATGGACGGCGGTCGGGATTCTCGACCATCAGTCCGCTGGCGGCAAAATATTTCTTTCACAATTTCCAACGTCCGCCGCACCTCCTGGTCTCAATATCCGTACCGATTCCTCCCAGAATTTTACCCCTGCCCAGAATTACTCCCCCGCTCATGAGCACAATACATTCAGTGGATACCAGCCTGTGCCAACCCGGACTCTCCGTACTGCGACATTGGACCCATACCTTAATAGTGCCTCTCCCTCAGATTCCCCCTCCTCGTCCTTTGGTGGCGGGAGGTTCGGCAACGGTTCCCCCGATACTTCTGCATTGGCGGGGAGAGTCGGAAACCTTTATGCTGGTGATTCAGGACTCGGCTCCCACAGTTTCACTGGAAATACAGGTCCGTTCGGCCCAGTTGGGGACCCCCGCTCGTCGTTCAACACCCTGGCACCCGGCAGAACTTCATCACTGGATACATTCAGTACCTATAAGAACAACAGTAACTCCCAATGGCCACCGTCCATGACCCAGAATGCACAGCATTTTAGCGGTAGTGAACATTCCCTTGCGACTGGTTTCAACAATGGCATCAGCTCGGGTGTCATGCCGGTACCTGTGCCAATTGCGCAGAGCCACTCTTTCACACAGGAGCCCTCGTATGGCGATGGTACGTACAGTGCCATGGGCAGTCTAGGTGCCTCGCATGATTCACCCATCGCACGGCAGCCCGTCGAGGCAAACGGGCTAGGCTTCAACAACCTAGGGATGAACGGCTCACCTTATGTGCAGCACTTCCCCCAGTCCCCTGACGTGCCGCAGCAGCGCTCATCTACATCGCCATTCGGTGAAGTTCTCGCGAAGGTCGCTGAATCACCTGCCGTGCGGACACCAGTGTCTGCGGTACAGCCTGAGAATGTATCATCACCTTGGGGCGCACCCGAGCCTGTTACTGTACGCCGCCCGGTAGTTGAGATCCCTACCCCACCCCCTGTTGCCAAGGCACCTCCAGCTGCCTGGAGTCAACCTCCACAACCCGCCCGTAATGCTCCCAAGTCAAAAGACCCTTCACCATGGCTGACGGCCTCCCTAGGCGTTGTTGATGATGGATGGCGCGAGGTTCCTGGCCCAAATAGTCTCACTGTGAGCAACCTCGGGCAGCACAATAAGATGTTTGAGGATGTGGATGAGGAGTCCAACGTTGCTGTGTCGCCCATTGGGGAAACGGAGGAGGAAGCTGCTACTGCACCCGTACCCGTGTCAGACATACCTCAACCAGCGCCTGTGGCCCCGGCTCCCGCTCCCCATATTGAGCTCCCGGCATTTACAGCGCCCAAGGCCAAAGCCAAATCCACCGTTCGTGAGGCCCAAGCGCCCGCAGCTTCAGCCCCGAAATCTACACCTCCCGCACCCATACCCGCCTTAAAGAGCCCATCTCCTGTTCCAAAGCCTGCGTGGGCGACTGAGGATGATGCGAAAAAGGGCAAGGCATCGCTCGGTCTGCGCGAGATCCAGGAGGCAGAGGCAAAGAAGGCAGAGGCACGTAAGGTTGCAGAACGCGAGAGGCTTGCACGCGCCAATGTGCCGACTCCACCTGCTGTCGTCGAGGATGCGCAACCGTTTACCGCATCGTGGGGACTTCCAACCTCTCAAACGGGTGCACGAGCTACTGTGACACCAAGAGGTGGAGAAGCTGTGGTAACACCTGCGGCGAGTGCTCCAGTGTGGACGTCAACGAGTACAGCGCCTACCAAGAAGACGATGAAGGAGATCCAGGAGGAAGAAGAGCGCCGGAAGAAGATGGGGTTAAAGGATTCAATGGCGGCGACAGCTGCAAGGCGCGGATATGCAGAGACTACTTTCAAGGTGTGTGCAAAGACCTATGTAACGCGGGACTGCTTATTGATTCCCTTTCGATTGTTGTATAGGTGGTTCCCAGTGCACAGGCTAGTGGTGGGGCATGGACGACAGTTGGTTCAAATGGCAAGACAAACGCACCCGTACCTGCTCTTGGACCCGCACCGGCGCCTGCTCGTCCGGTTGCTGCTCCATCTGTGTCCACACAACCAGCGCCTACGCCTCGCCCCAATGGTATAGCAGTCCGCTCGACATCACAGACTTTTACAAAGGCTGCTGCTGTCACACCATCACGCATGGACGACACGCCCGGTTCGTCTGCCAACGATTTCCTCAAGTGGCTGAGCGATGCATTGAAAGGGCTCAATCATTCTGTGAACTGTGAGTTATTCTTCTAGATCGCTTCATTAACTGTTTCTGATATATGATATTATTTCGGGTGAGCAGTGGAAGATATGACACAGATGCTACTATCTTTTCCTCTTGACCCAGACCCTTCTACATCAGAGATCATTTCCGACCTGATTTACGCGAATAGCACTACGCTTGATGGGCGGAGGTTTGCGGCAGAGTTTGTTAAGCGCCGCCGGGCTAGTGGGACAGCTGGACCAGGACCGAACGGGAACGGAAAAGTGTCGATCGCAGACGTGGTGAGGACGGCGCCACGGGCTGCTCAGCCAGAATGGGGGTTCAAGGTGGTGAATAAGAAGAAGAAGGGAAGGGCGTGAGTTGGAATTGGAGTAGGAGGGGGATGGAGGATATCTTTTTAGTGTCACATGCATACTCATAAGCATGGTCAGACGCTCGTTTACTTGTTTTAACATCATCTTATGAATTAATTTTCTGTGCTCAAGTCCTCGCTTCATGAGGTATGAAGAATCACTGAAAGGTTCTGACAATTTTGTATAACATAGATGTATTGGGTTAGTACACTCATTATACATACTGGAGTACAGTAATTAAATAATTATGAATGAATATGAACAAAGTATAAGACGTGCCAAAACATAAGTGAAACTTAGAGAAAACAGAGTCAAGGAATCCGACACATATAGTCCACGATCTACTGGCGCTCAGAGAAGCAGGAACGTATCTACTTCTGTCTCACTGACGGGAGACGAAGGTGCGGCCAATTCCACGCTCGAATAAGACTCTAGCACGTTCACCTCCGAAGGCGTCTGCTCATGATCAGATCCCAAGAACGAAGACGCCGCCGCCGCCGGTACAAGCGATGCCGGCTCATCTGTGGTATCTACCACTTCCGCGGGAATATCAGCGTCCGCATGGGTTAAAGTCTCAAAATCGGCAGGAGAGACACCGAGTGTGTTTTGGGAATGTGAATCGGACGTATCAAGTGGAGGTGGCGTTAGACGCGTTGCGGATGGGGATGATGGTTGTATGAGGTCCGCATTGGTGGGTAGGTTAGTGGCCTCGATGATTACTGCGTCCTCACTTGTTGGGTCCTCAGAGACAGCGGCGGTGCCGACTGCATCGACAAGCGGCTCCTCGGACTCTTCTTTCTGCGGGACCGAAACCTGCTGAGCTGTCAACGTCTCGGAAACCTCAGAGGATGCTGTGGGAAGAGAAGCAGAAGTAGAGCTCGGCTCCGCCACAGATGCAGTTGCGATCCCGATGGAACCAGTAGGTGCTTCTATGATAGCGTCAAGCACTACAGGCTCGACAATTGCTTCGACTTGAAGTGCAGGAACAAAGCCGTTGGTAGGAGCTTCGTCTATAACGGGGACCTTGATGGGCGCGAGATCCGCAGAGGTCAGATTCTCCGGCTCCGAGGGCTGCTCGACAGGCACGGTAACAGTGACAGGGTCTGCCTTCCTGGCGCGAGCACGACCCCTTCGCTCTTCCACACCTTTCTCAAGTTCTTCCAGCGCTTGCTCTACGCGTGCCACAACTGCGCGCCTTGCGTCTCTCACTGCGTGTGATCCAAAGCTGGGGATGTTGTCCAAGTCTCCGAGGAGCAACGACAGCGCATGTTCCTGAGCGCGGAGAGGTGCATTCGTCGCGGTGTATGTCAACGCAAATGTATCATCGGTGTCAAGAGCTGAGTAACCTGGGGACGGCGAACGCGAAGGAGAGAAATCGAGCTCAGCGGGGAACTGGAAGTCAACAAGGAGCGTCTCCAGGCGGGATAAGATCGAAGTGATTTGGGAGAGGGAAGATGCGACCTGGGCTGGAGACGCAGACGACTCTTCTTCGGCATCAGAGTCAGGCGTCTCTTTGACTTTTCCCTTTCTCGTGCGTGACGAGGTAGTGCGCTCTTCGTCGACATTAACTTGCGTAGAGGTAGGGGCAGCAAATGTTACTGGAACGCCTGGAGTGTCTGTCGACGTGCCTTCGGACAGACTAGTAAGGATTGACCGGAAGGTATTGCTTAATTCAGACTGGAACTGGTCCATGAGACGATCCTCGAGTCTGTCCTTGAGGCTTTCGTCGGAGTCAGGAATCTCCTTGGCCTTTCCTTTCCCCTCGTATGAGGAGGTGGTTGGCTCTTCGTTGACATTGACCTGCGTGGACGTAGGGGTAGTGGATGTGACTGGAACACATTGGACAGGAGCTTCGGTTGAAGTGCCTCCAGAGAGACTGTCAAATATCGATTGTAACTGTGACATACGACCATCAAGCCTTTCCTGGAGGCATGGCTGGTTCTGGACAGGGGCCTTTGAGGTGGAAGCTGTGGCCTGAGTAGGAAGTTCCTGGGATTGTGGTAAGTCGCACAAAGCAGAATCAGTGAACGAAAGTGAACGTACAGCATCCACAGGCAGGCCACAAGGCAAATATCCACTGAGGTATGGTTCGGCATGTGCGAGGAAGCCATTAGCCTCTATAGCGCGACGGCGGGCGTGGAGTTCTCGCTCCCTTTCTTGCTTCTTGCGTTGAGCCTGGGAAGCAGCACACCAGCCTCGGATAGCTGGGTTGTGGTCGCGATGGAGCTGCTGGATTGCAGCGTTGCGAGTAGCTCTGGAGAGTGCAAGCTCGTACTCGAACTCAGCAAGGTCATTTGTGCTGTAGCCGTAGTACGGCTCGGGGGTATGGAGATAATCATCGCGGTCTAGTATACGGTTAAGCAGGCCATTTATACTGCGCAGCTGGTGAATGCTCTGCTGGTTTGGATACTGTTGGGCATAAAGAGCATTTTGGATGGATTGATTCCTGAGCTGCTGCTGATGGCGAGCCCATGCACGTTGGCGTGTAGCATAAGGGTCGACAGAGCGGTAGGGAGTAGCGAATACCAACATTGTGAATTGAATGAGAAAGAGATGAGATTATGGAGGATATCATTTTGAGCACTGATTTTATATGCCAGGACTGTGAACTGTGGATTGCAATGAAATGACGAATCTGCTTGGTGAGCAGATGGACGCGTAATTTACAGACGCGTCCACCCGTTCATCGTCACTTCCACTAAATTCGAGAAATTACCAAATTAAGAAGGTCACACTTCGCAGCTTCGGCGAGAGCTCGGCGAGTGGATGACCACAACTTTCCATCTAACTAGCTAGTGGCCTACTGAGGAACGTATACGTAGACTACATAGTACTAGGATCATTTTGTTTAAGATATTGAACGCGTGGCTCGGCAAAAATGACGGCTGCCAGTGCTCTACGCGTTGTTTGTGTTGTGTTTGGCTCGCCTTCCTTCTCTCCTTCATGGCCTTTCCACAAGCTGCAAGTCGTTTCCTCGGTACGAAATTATTTGAATAGAAAGAGGTCTTTTAACATACTATTGCTAAAGTTCCCCTTGGCTTGGCCTTTGCCGTTGCCCAAGCTAGTATCTACGATGTGCCAGGCGGTTTCCAAGCAGTCATGTTTGACCGCTTTTCTGGTGTAAAGGACAAGGTATTCAATATCTTCAACAAGACTGCCGCTTTATAGACCATCCTATACAGCCCACCAGTGAAGGTACCCACTTCCTCGTTCCATGGCTGCAGAGAGCAATCTTGTACGACTGCCGGATTAAACCCCGTGTACGTCATTTTCGTTACAACTATCCGTCTGCTCAAAAATTCAAATTCTTCAGAATATTTCAACAACAACCGGTTCAAAAGACTTACAAATGGTCTCCATCACACTTCGTGTCTTGTCCAGACCAGACGTCGAGCATCTACCCCGCATCTACCAAAGCCTCGGCATGGACTATGACGAACGTGTTCTACCTTCCATCGGGAACGAAGTCCTAAAGGCTATCGTAGCACAATTTGATGCTGCTGAATTGATTACCCAGCGTGAAGTGGTAAGTCACTTGTCAGTCATCGTCACGTCAGATCCATAGAGCCTCCCCCAGGTCTCGTCAAGAATACGCGCAGACTTGCTACAACGTGCCGGCGAGTTCAACATCAAGCTTGAGGATGTGTCTATCACCCATCTCACATTCGGAAAAGTCCGTAGTTCTTGTACTTCATTTTATCCAACTGACACCCTTTGTAGGAATTTACTCAGGTTCGCATGACACTATGTACGACATATCGGTTTTTCACTAATCAAATTTACAGGCTGTTGAAGCCAAGCAAATCGCACAGCAAGGTAAGGTTTCAGCTGCTTATTACTATAACAATCTAACCTGTCACAGATGCCGAGAGAGCCAAGTTCATCGTTGAAAAGGTAGGTTCTTGGTAAGGAGTTGACCTGATCAGGTTACTGACGGCATGCAGGCGGAGCAAGAGCGTCAGGCCGCCGTCATTCGTGCAGAAGGTGAGGCAGAAGCGGCAGCAACGATTTCAAAGGCCATGGACAAAGCTGGAGACGCTTTCATTGCACTTCGTAAAATAGAGGCAAGCAAGGCAATCGTGCAGAGCTTGGCCGCCAATGGGAATGTGACATATATTCCGAGCAGTGGTGTGTTATTAAACGTACCTACAAAGTAGTCTATCTACAAAGTTCCTATTGGTGTTGAATTGAAATCGGCGATGACCGTGGGATGAATTCCCATGGGTGATGTGGTGAAAAATGGGATTGTAGTAAAGATCTTAGTAGTCGACGACGAAGTGCGAAGAGGCCAACGTTGTTCAAAGTCTCTCTTGTTCTCTTTTTCTTTGTCTCTTTCTCTCTCTCTTCTCGTGTTTTTCATTTTTCTGTCTATTCTCGACGGACAATCCTTCTCTGATTTCAGTAATCAATTCTCCTGTGCGTCTTTTCATTTCCTCATCAATCTCTGGCCTAGCTCACTCAAACTCATAGCCTCTCATTCTCATTCACTATCCATATTAAATCATGAATCCAATGGGTGGTATGGGTGGCCATGCGGAGGCACCAGTGAGTAACAATCTCCAAGCCCATAGATATGGTCTCATGCATGGCAGCGGAGGGCCCATCTTTACGTTGGGAATCTTAGTCCAAGAGTAACCGAGTACATGCTCACAGAGATCTTTGCCGTTGCCGGTGCAGTTCAACACGTCAAAATCATCCCTGACCGCAACTACCAGCATGGTGGTCTCAACTACGGTTTCGTCGAGTACATCGACATGCGCGCAGCGGAAACTGCCCTTCAAACCCTTAACGGACGCAAGATCTTCGACACCGAGATTCGCGTTAATTGGGCCTATCAAGGCCAGCAAAATAAGGAGGACACCACCGGTCACTATCACGTTTTCGTCGGTGACCTCAGCCCAGAAGTCAACGATGAGGTCCTCGGCAAGGCTTTCAACGCGTTCTGCACAATGTCCGATGCTCGTGTGATGTGGGACATGAACTCGGGAAAATCTCGCGGTTATGGTTTCCTTGCGTTCAGGGATAAGACCGATGCAGAGCAGGCCATCGCGACTATGAATGGCGAATGGCTTGGCTCGCGTGCTATCCGTGTCAACTGGGCCAATCAGAAGACTCAAGGAGGGCTGCCTGCTCCTCCACGCCCCGGAGGCAGCGTCGGCACCGCACCCGCCCCCATTAACTTCCAGGGTGGGCCCCTCTCTTATGAATCCGTCGTTCAACAGACTCCTTCGTATAACTCCACCGTCTACGTCGGAAACCTCGTCCCGTACTGCACCCAAGCAGATCTCATCCCACTGTTCCAATCTATCGGGTACCTCTCGGAGATTCGCATGCAGGCAGATCGCGGATTTGCATTCGTCAAGCTCGATACGCACGAGCACGCTGCCATGGCTATTGTGCAGCTGCAAGGACAGATGGTCCACGGCCGTCCCATCAAGTGCAGTTGGGGCAAAGACCGGGCTGATGGGACTCCTGCGCAGCCCGGAGCGCCGCTCAGCCCGACGACTCCAGCAGCTCCTTATGGAAACATGGTGAGCATTCTCACTTGTAAAAATATTTCTTAGCAGGCTCACTGGTCCTATGACAGCCCATGTATGGGATACCGCAGCCTAATACTTATGGCCAGTATGGGTTTGGCGGATACGGTGGTTTCCCTAACCAAGGTGGTGCTGGTGGGTCCCCGACGCCTGGCATGCCTCAGCCTACTCCTGGTGCCGTCGGTTCTGGCCTTGGCGGTGCAGGAGCTGGTGGTGCGGACCCCTCTGCTGTTGGTGCTGGTGGTGCTGGTGCTGGCGCTCAATGGCCCACTGGAGATGCTGCTGCTAGCTACTATGCTAATTACTGGGGTGGTGAGTGTCTTCTTTTCACACATACCAACCATCTCTTACCCAACGATTCATATTCCAGGATATTACGGTCAGCAAGGACAAGGCGCCGAGGGCCAGGGTGCTTAAAGAATCCTTGTTTGCTCCATATTTTATTCTTCCCATTCATCATCGATAACGTGCTCGTGCCTCTCGAATGTAGCCTGCGAACATCGTCCATTCAAGCCAAAGTGTTTTTTTTTCCCTCGTCTCACCAAAATTGTGAAAGATGTGCTTTTGTATGGTGACTTCATCCAAGAACAAACAGTATTATCCTTGTTTTTCGCCTCATCATTTTGTTATTAACTGGTTCCAATTATTCGTCTCCTTCCTGCGTCTCCTGCTAATGAAGTATTTCATCTGTCTCTTGTTCTTTTTCTTCCTCGTTTCTTTCCGTCTTTGATTGTTGTTTGTGTATATATCCTCGGTAGATGTGCGGCTTCTCATTAAACTACGTCTACTCCACGGTGCAATAGGTTTTTTTTGATAGCAAAGTCAACCACTTACCTGAACAGTTCGATTAAGATGAATCATTTGTTCATCCTGATGTTCCATGAGTCAGAAAGGGTATGTGATTATAAGGGGGTAGTATGTGCATGAAGTAGGGTCTACTCATCGTCCACCATCAACCATTCGGAGTCTGATCCAAGCTCGTCTCCCCCTGCAATTTTGTGCCATCCGTCAATGTCTCCTCCATTATCTCCCCCTCCTTCAACCCATTTCCCGACAGCGAAGTGCCATTGCCTGATGCTGGTTTTCCATCTCCACCATCACGCCAGTTGAGTACAGCCTGATGCCGCGAACGCATATCCTCATAGAAATCGTTTGCCTCGTTCATCTTGTTTGCTTGTGCCTGCTTATCATCTAGCCAGCGTTGAAGGAGTTTAGCATTATCTCTCGTTAGCGTCTGATTCCGTTCATCGATCTGGCCGAGTTCAAGTTGAAGCGTGTTGATCTCATCATGGAGGATCTATGCACAAGATCAGGACTGATCAGAAAAAGGGATATATATATAAGCGCACCTGTGCAGTACGATCTTTCTCAGCCATGAGCTCAGCATGCTGATCGACCTTCCTGCGTAGATGCGCGACCTCTTCGCGCGCTTTGCGGAGGTTCTCAGTCTCGATGCGCGATGCTTCTTCCTTTTCGCGAAGGGTTTCGTTCATGGCTAGCAGGCGCTGAGCATTCTGGCCTTGTGTCTTGTACACAGTCGCGAGCTCATCGCGAAGAGATGAAATTTGGGATTCGAGCGAGGCCATGTACGCCGCACGTACGGGATTGCTGTTCCAGAGAACGTGAGATCGACGTGCGTGCATTGGATGAGATGGCTGAACTTACTCTTCGCTTGGTGCTGTTCCAGGTACATGGACTGTCGAGCTACTTGGGTTTGCGCGAACCGAGCCAACGGCTTTGAGGAGAGATGCATTACGCTCTTTGAGAAGCTTGGTTTGTTGAGCGAGTCTGCGGTCTGAATTGGGGGATCAGCGGAGTCTTGTGTATTATTGAATGGAGCGTACATTGCTCGATTATAGATGCGAAAGCGTTTTGTTTTGCGTTTCGCTCTGATAGTCTGAGGCGGAGGAGCTCTTGCCAGGATGGCTCGGCCATGGAAAGTTTAGGATATCTGCAACTGCACACTGCATGACTCGAAGTTCGGTATAGAGCGTGACAGGATAACAGTCACGCAGCCTTTCTTGAAAAGGAAGGTAGTCCTTGTGTTAATACACTACTTCCCCTGAGGAATTCACTTTGTATTTTAAGGAACGAGTATGATAGGGCAGAGTAAATAATGCATGGGACATCATCGATTCATCCGCCATGTGTGGATAATTTGCTTCCATCGAGATTTGAGACAAGGTTCATAGTAATATCGCAATAATATCTCACAAGGGAAACGAAAACTTACCGCGTGAAATCGGCGACGGGATTCACCACCACAATCTCCAGTTAATAAGACATTATAAGCATTTCGATGAGATTGGGCAGGGACAGCGCTCTAGCTCCGACAGTGAGAACGATATTTCTCCACGAATTTATCCTCGGAAAACGCAATGAGGCCCTCGCCAATGGTGAAGGCGTGATACCCGCACCTCAATATCCAGGTATGAGCGCCCCTCGCAGGAAGCGTTCTATGGTTACAGTGGTTCTCGGGACTATGACAATCAAAGGCCTCTGCCCGTATCGGTCAATTGAGCTGACCATCAGGAGACGGTAACCAAGAAAATGCGGAAATTCATTGGCAAACACAGTCCAAGTGACGTCGAGACCACATAATTATCACGGATGGCATATCTTGGCGATGGACTTACATGTAGAAATGATTATGCCTCGATGGTCAGCCGAAAATTCCACCTTAAAAATGATCTTGTGCGTCTGTCGTCCCTCAACGTTCAACATTTGGCGACCGAGCCTGGCACACATAGAACATTACCAGCAGCCAGTATGCGCAGTCAGTTGCGGTCCAGCTATAGACGAGCTATCCGTTCGTGACGCGAATTATTCCGTTAAAGAGAACTGAAGAAGTCTGAAGCACAGGGTTGACGGCGATGAAGCACCGTGCAAAGAGTGTGACATGAGTGTGACAGGGCGGCGATTACCGCAGTTACCCACGAGATGTTTGAAACGCAGACCAGTTGCTTGCCTTTCGTTGGCATACCTTTAATTTTCCTTTATACACCTTTTCCTATCCTCCTCCCCTTTTTCTGTTCCTCTGGTCTTTCCTTACCCCTTTGTATACTTTTTGCTCGCACAGAGCTATGGGCGCTGTCAGCAGTTGTTGTGAATCCTGTTGTAAGTCTTACCAACTCTAATACAGACTCGAATCCCCCTCATAAATTTCTACAAGTCCGTTCCAGGAGATCTCAGCAGTATGAACCTCTTCTTCTCGAGAATGAACGAGAGGCAGTCGCAGACCTTCTCCAATATCTAGAGAGTATGTATCCAACAAGCCAAAGCTAACTTCGGCTCACATAAGCACATAGACCGCACCACCACCAACTTTTTCCAAGGCTCCCCACTCACCGCATTGACGACCCTCTCTTTTTCCGATAATGTCGACTTGCAGCGCAGTGCTGCACTTGCATTCGCCGAAATCACTGAGAAGGAAGTGCGCCCCGTGGGGCGGGATACGCTCGACCCAATTCTTTTCCTCCTGAGCAGTCAGGACACGGAGGTGCAGCGTGCTGCTAGCGCTGCCCTTGGAAACTTGGCCGTTAACAGTGCGTTACACCACGCTCATGCATGCTCCCAATCGTGACATTAATGATGTCACTTGTACAGCTGATAACAAGCTCCTCATCGTGAAACTCGGAGGCCTGGAGCCACTCATTCGCCAGATGTTGAGCCCAAATGTTGAGGTGCAGTGTAACGCGGTAGGCTGTGTCACAAACCTTGCAACGCATGGTAAGTCTAGCCCATATCGATGGTGATTATCGATGATTGACCTGCTTCTAATCACTTGCGTGTCGTTTCTGATTGGCTTCTGTCACTTGAACGTTTGACACCCTAAGATGACAACAAGACGAAGATCGCTAAGTCAGGCGCACTTGTTCCGCTTACTCGCTTAGCACGGTCCAAGGATATGCGCGTTCAAAGAAACGCTACTGGGGCCCTATTAAACATGACCCACTCAGGTACGTAACAGTTCCCATCGGAGAACTTATTATTGAAGGAACATTTATAGATGAGAATCGACAGCAGCTTGTAAACGCCGGTGCCATCCCCGTGCTGGTGAGCTTGTTGAATTCGATGGACACAGATGTCCAGTACTATTGCACGACCGCATTGAGTAATATTGCCGTCGATGGAGCAAATAGAAAGAAACTAGCACAGAACGAATCAAAGCTCGTTACGAGCTTAGTAGCCCTTATGGATAGCCCGAGTTTAAAGGTTCAGTGTCAAGCTGCCCTTGCTCTACGGAATTTGGCTAGTGATGGTACTTGTTCTCCTCTTTGACGTTTCTTCTGTTTAACATTGGTTCCGCAGAGAAATACCAACTAGAAATCGTCAAAGCTGACGGTCTTACTTCACTTCTCCGACTGCTCCAGTCTACTTACCTCCCACTCATCCTATCTTCTGCTGCCTGTGTCCGTAACGTCTCCATTCACCCACAGAACGAGTCCCCTATCATCGAGTCCGGGTTCTTGCAACCGCTCATTAACCTTCTGTCATTTAAAGACAACGAGGAGGTTCAATGCCACGCCATTTCCACACTGCGTAATCTTGCTGCCAGCTCGGAGAAGAATAAGACGGCGATCGTGAAAGCAGGCGCGGTGCAGAGCATTAAAGAACTCGTGCTAGAAGTGCCAATGAATGTGCAGAGCGAAATGACTGCCTGTGTCGCCGTGTTAGCCCTGAGCGGTCAGTTACATGCGTTCTGTGATAGTCTCTACTGACGGGTTCGACAGATGAGCTCAAGGGCCAATTGCTTGAGATGGGTATCTGTGAAGTACTGATTCCGTTGACGAATTCACCTAGCTCAGAAGTCCAGGGCAACAGTGCTGCCGCCCTTGGTAATCTATCATCGAAAGGTGGGTTTAGCTAGGTTTGATCTTTCCAGGAATTGACCTTTTTCCAGATGGCCGAACTGCATCTGATGACTACTCTGCATTTAATGACGTATGGGAGAAGCCTGATGGCGGCATGCACCGATACCTTTATAATTTCTTGACAAGCGTAGACGCCACCTTCCAGCACATTGCGGTCTGGACGATCGTCCAACTACTGGAATCGGGAGATCCTCAGTTGATCAGCAATATCCGCCTTTCTGGCCTTTTGAACCCCTCGATCAGACAGCTTGCACTGTCACGTACACCATCGGCGACGTCTTCTGTTGGTACGCCTCGCTCGCACCGGTCACAGTCACAGTCATACGCAGATACCGATGCTGGCGATGGTCAGGGGGAGATCCAACTGCTTGCGCGGCGTATTTTAGAGTTTGTTGACGGGGATACTGATGGAGGACTTCCGCGAAGCGTAGCTGGATCTCATATGGCGGGGTCTTCTGTTAGCAGTGCTAGGGATGAGGAACTCAGAAGGAGCGTGCGGGAGGCGTTCTCGTCTGGTTCGCACCACTAGCCGGGGTGGCTAGTAGGAACGGTATATATCCTTCGTTCACGGTCTGTGCTTGGCCTTTCCGTTGTACATCCTTTGCCTTGTTGTGCATCTTCTTTCCTTAATCGTATACTTATGTTTTTAGTTTTTTTTGTCTCGTGGCTGATGAGTTTTCTTTTTTTAACGGTTTCCGATGCCTCACGTTGGTTGAACGGTGATGATTATGACTGGATGCTTGTGACGAATAGACTTTACTGTTGCGTGTCACCTGGTCAGGTCCCGGTATGCAAGTAATTTCCTAATGGAGTAATTGAATTACTAAATTTAAATCTTACCATTGTTCCACGACGCTGTGATCATATTAATTTTCATCCTTGTGCCGTAGCCACAAAAGCCACAATGACAATGGTTGCTGCCTTCGAACCTCCAAGTTTTCTTCTGTTGCTTTTACCCTCTCTTCCTTATAGACTTACGCCAGCGTACGGTTGAACCGTTCCTTAGACTCGTAGGACCCTTAGCGCCTGACCGGCCTCGTGTTTTTAAAAGGCCGAGGCAGTTCCGAGTGAGGCAGACTCATTTTCGAAATCAAATAAGCAGAACGGGTTTATCGCGTGTAGCTCGCTTGATAAGGTGTGCTTGTATTAAAACTAAAGTCTCTCTGCACTCTAACTCTTTCCATTTCTCTCTACTTATTATTGGACCATTAGGCTCAATAAGTTTCTCCGCTGCTCACGCTCTAGATCGTGGCCCGGTGCTTCGATCACTCGTGAACTCTTTTAATCGCAGAGCACGTCCATCTGTCCTCTAGACCCCCACACCCCCATCTAATTACCGCCCTCACGAATCACGACTCCCAATGTACACTTTCCTTCTGCTCATTGCTCTCGCACTCGCCCCTGTGCCTCTGGTGCAAGGGAAATCATTAATTCTTACCCATGCCCACAAGGCCGCCGTCAAACGCAGCGCTGGCCTCGCGCGCGACCTCCGCGTGGCGTTCGGGGGCATCCTGACCACGCAGCCCAGTTCCTCATCCAATCTAAACTTCTACTGTGTTGGCTCCGATGGGGAGGGTGTCAGCATGCCTTCATCTGGCAATTCATCTTCATCCCCAAAAATGAACGGAAATGCGACTTCCACTGGAACGGCTGCGCCGTCAAGTACCAGTGTTGCATCATCATCTTGGAAGGCAACAAACAGTTACAGTGGGCAAACATTCTTCAACGGCTGGAGCTTCTTCACTGCGGCAGACCCGACAAGTGGGAATGTTCAGTATGTAGATCAAAGCACCGCTCAGAGCGCAGGTCTCATCGAGATTAACTCGAACGGGAACGCCGTGATGCGCGTTGAAACAACGCCACAAGTCCAGACCAATCGGCAGAGTGTGCGAATTACGACTCAAGCCACTTTCGATGGTGGCTTGGTTGTGATGGACGCCGTGCATATGCCTACTGGATGTGCAACGTGGCCTGGTATGTAGCGATGTATTTCATTTTGTCGGATTTTTCCTGACATCGGTGTTAGCCTTTTGGACCAATGGCCCTAATTGGCCAGCCGGAGGCGAGATCGACATCATCGAGGGCGTGAACAACTACACGAACAATCAAGCAACAATTCACACTAACCCAGGATGTACATTACCCTCAACCAGCAGTGCCTTGCTTAATATGTCTGGCACATTGGTCGCGTCTACTGATTGCTCAGCAGCTCAGACTGGTAACCAGGGGTGTGGAATTCGTTCTAACTCGAGCGTCTCGTTTGGATCGGGGTTCAATGGAATTGGTGGCGGTGTTTATGCTAGTGAGTATTTTACCATGGTCTTCTTTAAATAAGCTAATGGTGGGTGCAGTGCTCTGGGACAACTCCGGCATTAAAGTATACTTTTTCCCTCGTGGATCAATACCATCAGATATCTCTGCAGGAGCACCACAACCTCAGAATTGGTCCGCTCCTATGGCCGACTGGCCCTCAACGAATTGCAATCCATATCAATATTTCAATACCCATTCCGCTATTTTCGATACCACGCTTTGGTAAGTTTCTATTCATACAAAACTAAGTATCTTGATAGTAATTGGCATTCAGTGGTGACTGGGCAAGCGCCGTTTGGAGCGGCACAGGCGTGCCTGGGCAAGCAGTGAGCTGCGCACAACAGACTGGTTTCTCGACGTGCTCGGCATTCGTTCAGGCCAGTGGTGGCTCATTCAGCCAAGCTTGTGAGTTCCGAATCTTGTCCATGTTTCTATCCGACATCGCTCATTGGCTACAGACTGGGAAGTGTCCAGCGTTACGATCTACCAGAACACATCATGAAACATTCACGACACTGGAGGAAACATAGACTTGTTATAGATCTATCGTTGTATTTACTAGGATGTATATTGTAGCACTACGTCTGGAATTACACGGCCATACACGCCAAGCCGTTGTTTTAAGTTACCGGGGTGTGATCTTAAGCCAAGCTTATCGCAGATAACAATGTGAGGATGCGCAAGTATATTCCATCTATGGCTCTGAGACAGTCCTAATCATAAGATCCCCCCTCTTCTCTGCCTCGCCAGGCTCCATGCGAGCGGAATGACTGCCAAACTGCATTGCCTTTTTCTTCCTCGTGCTTGCCTCAAGAAGCCCCACCTTTCGCGCAGCAAGCCGCAGCAGCATTTTATCCCCGAGCCCAAGCTCCAGCCGCGGATCAAGCTTAAGATGCACGGGGAGTTCCGCGAGAAAAGAGACAACCGTAAGCGAAAGGAATGGATGGCGCGTTTCCTTGCCATGTGAGGAAATCACACGGTCGTCTCGTCCGAGGTTGCGAGTCGGTATACGGTCGAGTTCGAGCTGGAGCTGGATGACAGCATGAGGATGTGAGCTGTGGAAGGGAAAGGTGACTTACCTCGTCGATGACGCCCTGCCAGCCTCGAGTTGCGTATGCAGTACGGTGACGGCCGTATCCACCAAGTAGTTCATCGGACCCAAGGCCATTGAGTAGGACTCGTGCTGTACTGGTGTATGGCTGATAATCATCAGTCGCTGCCGAAATTCGGAGTCGGCCTACCCCTTTGGAGGCAAAGTAAAGCGCCATAGCAAGACTCTAGGGGTACGTAACGTCAGAATTTTGACTAACTTAGGAAGGTAAGCTTACAAGATCCATTACTGTTCGACCGGGGAACATGATAGTTTCGACAGCTGCCCGCGCGGCTTGAGATTCCTATTGTAATATGGATCAGAAGCCTCGTCGATCTGAGTCTAAGGGTAGGAACAGACCTCGTATGGAACATCCACCTCGACCTAGTGGAGTGAGCAACGTTCCTGTCGAAGAATTAATACTCACAAAATTCCATGTCCTGCCGGGACATATCCGCTTGAACTCTTCGACCTCCTGCAGGCCTGTCACACGGTCCGGAACCATGTACGAGGTGGATTCCTTGAGCACACCATTGATCTCCGCTGCTTTGAGTTGTCGCTTCTTCTCGCGCTTGGGAATAGCTCCTATGTTACCGTCAGTTTGAACCTGAATCTTTCGCGGATTCTGGAAGGCCACATTAAGCAGATCTATAGGTTCATCCAGCGGTACATGTCTAGAGGAACACAAAATAAGAACAAGCACCACAATAGAGCATGACTCATCGAAGTACCTATGAGCAAGAAAGGCTAGCATGGTTGAATCGATACCACCACTAAAGAGAACTGCGACCTGCGCTCTCCCCTTTTCGGACGACGCTCTTCGCGGGATATTTCGAACCCGAAGCATCACACTATTGTTCAGGTGATCGATAAGATTATCAACGGCGATGGCCAGATCACGCGGTAATATTTCGGGGTCCAATGAGGGCACGAGCGGTGGTACATCCGGAGGAAGTGCGGTGTTCACGCGATTAAGCTTTGCCTAACAATAGGTCGTCAAATCATCAAAGCACATGTCATCTCAAATGTACTCACGAATGGCAGAATTCGCCGATCAATTTGTCGTGGAATACATGTCAAGCTGCTGTCGAAATGTTGCGTGACCTACATAGGTCAGGACTAGGATGGAACGTCTAGCGCGAGCTAATTTACTTCTTTGGATTCACATAGTTGTCCCACATCAAGGCAAAATATCCCATCAGTGGATAGCTCTTCCATGACATATCCTTGATCATCTCCAACAGAGACGGATGCAAGTAAGAAATATGGATTAAACACAGAAGGCTTGTGAATGAGCAGAGATCGGCGTCCAAGGGGGTCTCGAGCAAAGTACAATTTTTGGGATTTGGCCTATGGATGGTAAATGTTAGACGATCCATTAGAACACTGCCAGCGCAGCCTACATGGTAATAGACGAATGCATATCTATTGCGTACTGAACTTCAGCAGAGAAAGATGCGCCCACAACGAAAAGAACTCACGGTCCCTCGATCCTCCCCAACAGGAAAGGGAGATCATCCATCGTAGAGAGTGTGTGTATGCTTTGAAAGAGTTTTGCGCCATCATTTTCAGATGCATTGACCTATGTCAAAATGGTATTAACCCTGGCCACGAAGGTAGAGGCTTCCGACTCGCATTCAAACCCTCGAAAACTTCGCCATTCCAGCAAAAGACATCCCCATCCTGTTGATGAGGCTGCACTACGGGTGCGTCGCCTCGAAGCCGGAGCAAAGAAGCAAAGAACTCGAGATCAATTGCCGGGCTGCATGTATTGCTTGGAGATGGGGCCTGTGCTTCACCAGAGCATATCCTTTGGACTCGGATGTGATGGGTTCCTTGTGCATCGGGACCTGTGGGGTAGTACCTCAATCGGTTAGCCTAGCCGTCGAACAGAGATGCATTAAACACACCACGAGCGGCATTGACGACTTTTAATCGCTCGGACAACTCGTGATAAGCGGTATTGTTCGGTCCGCCATCAATGTTACCGGTGTGGCCACAGCATCCTACGTGAAGCGAGCAGAAGATGCCGCACATGAAGAGTCTAAGAGTATCGATCGAATGGGCCGTTCTCTTTTGAAACTAGATGTAACTCATCCGGGCCGTTTCTGGTCCTCACGCCAAAATCATAGAAGGGCAGTCATTGATTTATTTTGATACTCCCACAACATGATACGTATCATACTTATTTAATAGTGCACCCGAAATACAGTTGCGATACAAAATTGATGAGGAAACGCAGAATCAAATCTATTAAGACAAGACAAGTTGGTCGTACGTGTTTCATATCCCCTTTAAGCGGAGTACGAGCTGGCAGAGACATTGCCTCCACGGCCAGTCCAGTTGATGTCTGAAAGTTACATGGTTAGAGACATGTAGACAGATAGAGACGGAGCAATTACGGATGTCAGCGCCCTTGGGTAGGCGGGAGTTCTCCTTACCGGGCACCAC